CATCCTACCTTACCTACTCACGTGGCTGAGATCTGAGGACTGCAATTCAGTCTCATGCAGGAAGGTGCATGAGACTCTTATCTCTAATCAGCAATAAGTTCAAAGTGGTGGTATGGCTCAAATTGTAGAGCACCAGCCTTGAGAAAAATATGCTAAGGGACAGCACCCAGGCCCTGAGTTCAAGCCTCAGTACTTGCACAAAAAGAAAACAAAATTCATGTTGTAGGACTGGAGACTATTCAAGTAGTAAGTAGAGCACCTGTCCAGCATGCACCATGCCTTGAATTCAAACCCAGTGCTGCCAAAATAAACTAAAAAATAAAGAACAAATAGGTAAATCATGTTATTAATATCTGGTTCTATTCCACTAAAAAACTAATGAAGAGGAAGAAGAGGTGGAGGAGGTAAAAAAAAAGGAGGAGGAGGAGAAGGAGGAATAGAAGAGGAAGAGGTAGAAGAAAAGAAGGAAGGAAGGAAAAGAAGAAAGAAAAGTGACAGTAAACACTAGGTTTGCTTTCTTTAACATAGTCAAGAACTGGGTCAACTTGGCCCTTCAGTGACAGAACTGACTTTTGATATCCTTGGAGTCCCTGGATATCAGCCCCTCCCCTAGGCCCATGGCATCTGGGGAATGCTGGGAGCCCCCCCCCCAAAAAAAAAAAAAACCCTGTTCCCCTAACTTTATAAACTACATCCCTGGAACCAGAACCTTCGAAAGGAGGGCAGGAGTTGGCCTTCCTCCTAAAGCAGGAAGTGATGCTACCCCACCAGGTGGGGAGGGGCCTCAATCGCCACCAGGGGCTTTCCCCAAAGGCCGGGTGGCCATTGATCCTGGGAGAGAGATTACTGGATGCTTCGAGAACACCTCAGCAAACCACCCCCCCCCCCCCCCCCCCCCCCGGTCTTGCCGCCTATTACCCGCCAGGGAACCCATTGCGCCTGGGCCTCCAGAATGGCGGCCCGCCTCCCCTACAAACATCTCCCAACATTTCAGGCCAATTTGCCTTCACCTGACTTTAAAATGCCTGCCAGGCTCTTGAGTTCCGCCACTCAGGAGAAAACCTGGGTGAAGAAGCTTCCGCGAAAACTTAACAACCTCCTCCAGCCTCGTCAGATCCGCTAGAGCGACGGGCTCCTCGCGGACCCACGCGGCCTTTCCCGCCATTTTCCTGCGCATGCGTTGCCGCGCATATTGCTGACGTAGTGAACGTTTGGCTGCTCTACATCCGCCCCCTCTTCCATTCTCACTGGGCGCATGCGCACATCCTCTCACTAGGCATGTCTTCTTTTGGACCAGGTAACCCCAATTCATTTCTTCTCCTGTTGCCATCCAATACCTTGTCTGACCTGAATGAGAGTATGGTTTATTGGTGGGGTGCTGCTCAACAAGTGCAAAGGCCCTGAGTTCAAACACCAGTAGTAGCCAAAAAAAAAAAAAAAGGTGGGGAAACAGGGAAGGGACACCAAAAATCAAAGTTTTTTTTGTGTGTGCATACAGAAGAAAACAAAGCATTCAGCAAGCGAACAGCTTTCTATAAGACAGGAAGAGAGGCCTCTGCAGACTCCCACCCCCAGATGACACCTCCAAAATGTTTCACTTGTAGGTTTGAGGATTGTAGAGAAAATTACTGTTGTTTGAATCACTCAGCCCATTATGGTTGTTTTCTTCTTTCTTTCTTTTTTTGGTTGGTCATGGGGCTTGAACTCTGGGCTTGGGTGCTGTCCCTGAGCTCTTCAGCTCAAGGCAAGCATTCTACTACTTGAGCCACAGCACCACTTCCGGTTTTCTAGTGGTTTATTGGAGATAAGAGTTTCATGGACTTTCCTGCCGGGGCTGGCTTTGAACTGCGATCCTCAAATCTCAGCCTCCTAAGTAGCTAGGATTACAGGCGTGAGCCACCAGTGCCTGGCTTCTTTCTTTCTTTTTTTTGCCAGTCCTGGGGTTTGAACTCTGGGCCTGGACATTGTCTCTGAGCTTCTTTCACTCAATTGAGGCCAGTGTTCTTTTTTTTTTTTTTTTTTTGGGTCCGGTCGTTGGGGCCTGAACTCTAGGCCTGGGCGCTGTCCCTCAGCTCTTCAGCTCAAGGCTAGCGCTCTACCACTTGGGCCACAGTGCCACTTCCGGCTTTTTTTTTCTGCTTATGTGGTGCTGAGGAATCGAACCCAGGGCCTCATGCATGCAAGGCAAGCACTCTAGCACTGAGCCACCTTCCCAGCCCCGAGGCCAATGTTCTAACCTTTGAGCCACAGCACCACCTCTGGCTTGAGTCTCATGGACTTTCCTCCCCGTCCTGATTAGCTAGGATTACAGGCATGAGCCACCAGGGTCCAACCAAGTTTTTTTTTTTTTTTTAATTGGTTTTGTTTTGTAGTCCCAGGTAAATTGAGGCTTATGTAAACAATGGAATCCCTCTCAATAAGGAGAATATAAGAACAGTTGCTGCCAGTAGTAATTGTACACATTGATAATCTAAGCTACTCAGGAGGCAGAGGTAGGAAGAACAAGGCCAGCCTGGGCAAAAAGGTAAGAGGTGTAGGTAGGATAGTAATCACAGGCCAGCCTTAGCAAAAAGCACAACATCCTATCTAAAAATAAAATAACAAGGGCAGGGGGCATGTATAGAGTGCCTGCCCAGCAAGTTTGAAGCCCTGTGTTCAACCTCCAGTACAATCCAAATGAAAGACAAGTAGATAATAAATCCATTGAAAAAAAAGTTCAATGTTTTTAACCATCAATAAATGCAAATCAGGCCAGGCATCATGGCTCACGTATGTAATCCTAGTTACTGAGGAGGCGGAGATCTGAGGATCACAGTTCAAAGCCAGCCTGGGCAAGAAAGTATGTGAGACTCTTCTCTCCAATTAACCACTAGAAAACTGGAAGTGGCACTGTGACTCAAAGTGGTAGAGTGCTAGCCTTGAACAAAAGAGCTCAGGGACAGTGCCCAGGCCTGGAGTTCAAGATCAATGACCAACCAACCAACCAACCAACAAACAGATGAACAAACCCCCCCATAATTCTTGGTTTGCTTGCTCAGTTTGTCCTCATGCCTCCAGTGTGGCATTTTGCTGGTTAATTGAAGGAGGAATCTTGCAGATTTTTCAGTCTGGTCTAGTTTCAAATCTCAGCCTTCCAAGTCTTAGACTTCTGAGTAGCTAGATTACAGATGTGAGTCACATCTGTAGTGCCCAGCAATATCTAGATATTAAAAAAAGAAAAGGAGGAGTAGAACTATTTGGGAAAAGGAACCAGAAAGAAGGGGAAAAGGAGAGCAAGGAGATTAGTGAGGGCTCTAATAATAAAAGTGTATTATCTACATGTATGAAAACATCATAAGGAAACTCAATGTTTGGTACAATGAATGTAAAGAGCAGTGGGTAGACTTGTGGTGTATTTCTGCAGAGCTCAGAGGAGTTTGTCCTGGCTTTCAAGTTGAAGTTGGTAGAGGAGAGGGCTGTCAGTGTCCACACTGGGATTCAAATAGGGCAATGTGGCTTGGGGCTGGGTTTCAAAGGCGCCTCTGGGGCTGGTGGGGATAGATCAGGGCTCTCCGGGGAGGGCAGGAATGCAGAAATCCTGAACCAGGAGACCATGCAGGCCAGCTGTAAGGAAGATTTTGTAGGAGAGGCTGAGAAAGGGGACATAGAAGTTTGGTCCAGAGACTGGGTAGAGGGTGGGGCTGCTATTGATGGGGAAGCAAGGCAAGGGAGAGAATTCTGGGGAATCCTTGGGCTCTGTGTGGGATGAGGTGAGGGCAAGGGTCACAGGGGACATCCAGGGGCCAGTTGGTTCGTGAAGACAGACTGAGAAAAGTTGATGTCTCCAGAGACAAGGAACCTCTTTCTCAGGGTCGGGGTAGACAACTCAGCGGAGTGAACCCTGGAAGTTGGGGATGTGTATTGGACTTGACAAGAGTGGGTTGCCTCAGGGGGCATCCAGGAAGACTGAATGGCAATAGAGGTCTGCTCTCCACAGGCCCCCTCTGCAGGGGCAGGAAGTCCTGCTTGGTTTCTGCATACTGCTGGGCATGCTGGCTCTGCATGCGGCCCTCCCCCTGCCAGGGCCCTACCCCTTGGGCCTGAAGCACTTTCACTTCCCAGAGGTGCCCAGCCCCTGCTCCCCAGCTCATCAGAGTACCCTAGTCCAGAACCAGATGTAGATTTCCCCAGAGAGAGGCAAAGATGAGGGGGAGGGGAAGGACACAGGAAAGGGACACAGAGAAAAGGGGTCAGGCCAGGTGCTGGTGGCTCATGCCTGTCATCCTAGCCATTCAGGAGGCTGAGATCTGAGGATCTGGGTTGGAAGCCAGCCTGGGCAGAAAAGTCCTTGTGAGACTCATCTCCAATTAACCACTTCAAAAACTGGAAGTGGGGCTGTGGCTCATAGTAGTAGAGCACTAGCCATGCATGAGCAAAAGAGCTCAGGGACAGCACCCAGGCCCTGAATTCACAACAAACAACAACAAAAAGAACGAAAGAAAGGAGAAGAGAAAGATAAGGGGTCAGGGATGCTGAGAGACAAAGGGGACAGAGACCCAGAGAGAGAGGGGAGAGACCCAGATAGAGAGGGCCAGAGACAAAGGACAGAGATGGAAGGGGATGAAGAGAGGGGACAGAGATGGGGGAGAGCCAGAGACCCAGGGCAGGGAAGGAAAGAGCAGGATGCAGAGATAGCAGAGCTTAGCAGGCCATGAGGTCAGAGTGTCTGTGAGGTCGGCTGCTGTCCAGGGACAGTCTTGGGGTCCTGGTGCCCAGAGGGGGCCCAGGAGATCAGAGCACCTTGTGCATCCCCTCCCCCTCCCAGTCTGAGCCATGGAGACAGAAGAGGGTCTGCCCACTGTGTCCTTGGTGCCCACCAATCTCAAGGCCCCTGAGGTACTGGTGTGTGTCCTGATGGGGTAGGTGAGAAAGACAGGGACGGCGTTGAGTCACTTCATGAGGGGGGAGGGGGAAGGGCCCCACCACAGGGACTTCCTCTTTCTCTGTGTGCTTCCTTTCGACCTCCTCCCAGCTTCTCTTGCTCACTCTCTCTCTCTCTCTCAGAGTCTGTATTTCCACCTGTCTCCCTCACTGCCAACACTTCTGTTGTTCCCTCTTCTAGGTGAAGATGGCGGCCCAGGAGAGCTGTCTGAGTCTCATCAAGTACTTCCTGTTCGTGTTCAACCTCTTCTTCTTTGTGAGTTACCCAGCCTGGGTTCCCAGCCCTCCTTCTACAGCTCCTGGGCCTCAAACATCCCCCATTTCCCCCACCCCCAGCTCTTTGCTCACTGTTATTTTGTCCTCTCCCCCCACTTTCCTGCCCCAGGTCCTAGGCAGCCTGATTTTCTGCTTCGGCATTTGGATACTCATCGACAAGACCAGCTTCGTGTCCTTTGTGGGTGAGGGGGGCTGGGAAGCTGGGGGCGGGGGGGGGGAGGGGGCTTCCTGGAGCAGACCTGGGCTCAGCTTCCTGCCAAGTGATCCCTTGTCCTAAGGAGGCCTACAACCCTAAGTCCCAAGCAGGTCACAGGGACTGATCCTCTACTCCCTAGGCAGGTCACAGGCTCTGTTGCCGGGTCTTTTGAAGTTTCTTTCTTCCTCTGGTCAATGTGGGTTGTCCTTACTACTACTACTACTACTAATACTAATCACAGCAATGATGATGCCAGTCATTTTGTTTTTCTAGAACTTTCTGTGTCAGCTCTTGGGACTATCTTGCTGATCAGAGCCTACTGCAGTCTTCCTTCCTCCCCCCTCCCCCACCCCTCTTGGTGGTACTGGGAGTTGAGCACACGTCCTTGCACAAATGCTAGGCAAGTGCTCAGCCAGTGAAGCCACACCCCCAGTCCAAACTTTCCTCTTGAGATTCAGAGAAGGGAAGTCCCTTGCTGTGTGAGGAAGGAGAAGAGCAGAAATATTAATAGCAATAAGGATCACAATAATGGGTGGATTGAACCCATACTCGCATCTGTCCCTCAGAACAACTCTAAGGCCAGCCACATCTGTGCCACCTGTAATCCCAACTACTTTAAAGACGGCGGCAGGAAAACTGTGTTTCCAGGCCAGCTCTGGCAAAAGACCAACTGAAAAATGAAAATGAAAAACAAAGGGCGAGGGTGTAGTTCTAATTGTAGTGTTCCTGACTAGCATTTGTGCAAGGTCTGCTGTTCAATCCCAATACTGGGTTAAAAAAAAATAGAACCAGGTAAAAGGGCACAAACCTGTAATCCCAGTTACCCCCACAGAACAAGTGACAATCAAAAAAGGAGAGCAAGCTGGCAGTGGTGACTCACACCTGTAATCCTAGCTCATGAGACTAAGATCTGAGGATCACAGTTCAAAGCCAGCATGGGCAAGAAAGTCCGTGAAACTCTTATCTCCAATGAACCACCAGAAAACTGGAAAAAGTGGTGCTGTGGCTCAAGGGGTAGAGTGCTAGCCTTGAGCTGAAAAACTTAGGGACAGAGCCCAGGCCCAGCGTTCAAGCCCCTGACCAACCACTCCCCCTCCCCCCCAAAAAAGGAGAGCAAAAAAAGAGTTGTAGAAGAAAAAACAAAAACAGGGCTGGGAATGTGGCTTAGTGGTAGAGTGCTTGCCTAGCATGTATGAAGTCCAGGGTTCGATTCCTCAGTACCACATAAACAGAAAAAGCCAGAACTGGCACTGTGGCTCAAGTGGTAGAGCCTTAAACAGAAGAAGCTCAGGGACAGTGCCCAGGCTCTGAGTTCAAGCCTCAGGACTGGTTAAAAAAGGAGAAAAAAGAGAGAGAGAGAGAGAGAGAAAAGGAGAGGGGCAAGCAGATTCAGAGAAAGGAAAATCAGGAGCCCAGAGAGAAGGCTTCTACTTGGGGGGCTGCTGAGGTAGGACTCTGCCTAAACCTGTGCCCACCAATCCATTCTCTCTGCCTCTTACCACCCCCCAGGTCTGTCCTTTGCACCCCTGCAGACCTGGTCCAAGATCCTGGCCGTCTCAGGAATCCTCACCATGGGCCTGGCCCTCCTGGGTTGTATGGGGGCACTCAAGGAGCTGCGCTGCCTTCTGGGCCTGGTGAGTACCAGCCCCTCTGCCTGGCTAGGACCACTCTCATCCAAGCTTCTTTACGAAAAGGCCAGAGGAAGTTGTCTGATCTCTCTCCACTCTAATCTTCAGTATTTTGGGGTGCTGCTGCTCCTGTTTGCCACACAGATCACTCTGGGGATTCTCATCTCCACTCAGCGGATTCGGGTGAGTTTGTCATGGCTAACACCCAACTTAGGGCTGCTGAGTGTGGGGTGTGGGTCTGGGAGGAGTAAGGGGAGACCCTGAAACAAAGGCATGTGGGTGTTGACTGACATAGATAAAGAAGATGGGAACTTTGAGGGTCTACAAAGGGAAGGGGGAGAGAAACAGAAGGTCCTGAAGGACCCCAGAATAGCGCAGAGATCCTGAGGAACTGACAGAGCAGGTTAGAAGCAGGGAGAAGCAAAAGCCCAGGTGGAAGGTGTGCTCCGGGACCCTCTGGGTTGAACCTCCTGTGAGAGACTGGGCAGGGGAGTGGATGGGGGTGCGGAGAGGCCCCTAGCCCAGCCTCACCCTGCGCCTCTCAGCTGGAGCGAAAAGTTCAGGAGCTCGTGCTGGAGACCATCCAGAATTACCGCATGAACCCAGAAGCGACGGCAGCCGAGGAGAGCTGGGACTATGCACAGTTTCAGGTGTGTGGCCCCCCCCCATCCTGTTAGACCCCCTCCGGCTCTGGAACTTTGATGTGACTCTGGCCAGTCACACTCCCAGACTCTAGCTGTGACACAACTCTGTCAACTCGTCCTAGTACCCTTCCATGTCCAGCTGAGGCCCTGTGTCCAGATGACCCGGTCCCAACGTGGCCCGGTTCTCCCAACTTTCCACGCCGTGGTTCCCCACTCTGCCCAAGAATTTAGTGTGACTCTGGATTGGAGATACAAAGTCCCACAACCCCACCGACTAATCCCCCACTTATCCTCCGCAATCTCCCCCACTTGTCCGGGGAGACAGAATCACACGGCACTCGCTTAGCGCCCGGTCACCCCCAGTGTCTCTTTCCTGAATGTCCCCCAAGGCCCTGGCTTCACCCCGCTTTCTGCGGCCTCCCCACCGTGACCTCACACCCATCACCCCGTCCCTCGAAACCCCAACATCAGCTCGCATCATCCAGCCCTGGTCCCCAACTCCCCATCTCTCCCTCAGCTGCGCTGCTGCGGCTGGTACAGCCCCCGGGACTGGTTCGGTGTGCTGAGCAGCAACGAGACCGAGGGGCCTCATGTGCCCTGCTCCTGCTACAACACATCGTCCACCAACGACTCCACCATCTCCCACAAGATCTTCTTCTCCCAGCTCGGCCTGCTGGGCCCGCGAGCGCGGCCCAGGCCCAGCGCAGACCTCTGCGTGGTCCCCGCCAACGAGTACACATACAGCGAGGTGGGCAGGAGGGGCGTGGCCTCTGAGTGCTTGGTGGGCGTGGCTCCTTGGAAGGGGCGTGGCCTGAGCGCAGGTCTAGGGAGGGGCCGAGCTTGAGATAGTTGAAGGCCGCTGCTCCCAACCAGGTAGCCTAAACCCTCGTGAAAGCAGCTCAGTGCTTGAAAAGGAGAGAGGGCTAGGCTGGGCTTGAGGGTGAGTTCCAGAAAGAAGTTTAACCTTCAACCTTTCCATATACCCCCCCTCCCCCCCCCCCCTCCCCCCAGGGCTGCGCTCGGAGCCTCCAGAAGTGGCTGCATAACAACCTCATCTCCATAGTGGGCATTTCTCTGGGCGTCGGTCTACTCGAGGTGATTTAGCCCCGCCCACTCTTATGATTGGCTCCAGTCTACGCGGTCCCTCCCTGCCTGACACAAGCGGAGGGACACGCCCTACTGTGACTGTAACACGCCCCCTCTTGGTCCCTGTTGGGAAGGGGGCGGATACTTAAGTTTCTATGAGTCCTGATTGGTCGCAGGTAAGGAAAGCCTTCTTGTTATTGGCTGGAGTATCCTCCCCTTTCCCCGCAGGTGAGTGTCATGGTGCTGAGCCTGCAGCTACAATGCAAACTGCTTCGCTGGGAACACGGACCCCAAGTGTCCAGCGCCCACAGTTCAAGCCCCATGCCCGGCCTGAGCGCTGATAGCGGTGGCGGGCACGGTGGTATTCTCAGCAACAGCAGCGGGCGTAGCAGCACTTCGTGGGGTGGTCGAGGCATGGCGGGTGCCTGCCCAAACTGGGGGGACCGGGCCCCACAGGGCAAACTATGCCTGATGCCGGGGCCCAGGCCAATTTGTGATCAAGGTGAAGAGCAGCCAGAGACCCAGGGCGCGAGGGCAGAGATGAAGGTAGAGACAGAAGGGGAGACAGAGGAACCTCCAGAATAAACTGCCCTGGGCTTGCTTCTGACCTTACTCCTTCGCAGATTCGACCCCATCTCACCTCCCCCCACGGACTGCAGCTGGGCTTCCCCCACCCACGGTTCCTTTTGCTGCCACTGAGTCTGCCAATCAGCCTGCCAATACCCGGGCTCTGTGGCCCCACCCATTTCCTACCTACCCCCTGAGGAGTTCGTTTTATTTTTTTTTTAACTCTGGCCCTCAACCCTACAGTTTATTTTTTGATGCTGGTACTGAGCTTGAACTCAGGTCCTGGGTGGCGTCCATTACCCACCCAGGCTGGCACTCTACCACTTGCTTTTTGTTGGTTAATTGGAGGTAAGGGTCCCATGGACTTTTCTTCCCTGGGCTGGCTTTGAATTGTGATCCTCAGATCTTAGGATCTTGAGTAGCTGTTTAGCCACTGGCACCTGGCTAACAGCTCCCCCCCACCCACATCCCCCCCCCTTTTCTTTCTTGGGGATTCTCATCACTACCCTGTCCCCATCTCTGACCGCGTCTTCTTTCTCCCTAGCTCGGCTTCATGACCCTCTCCATATTCCTGTGCAGAAACCTGGACCACGTCTACAACCGGCTCACTCGCTACCGCTAGGTCCCATCCAGCCCCTACCAGGTGCCCAGGGCTTCTCCCTTGGGTCTGTACATGTTTGTTTCACCCCTTGACTCATCCTAGTCATTGAGCCCCTCCACCTCCTCATTCCCTGAGGACCCATGGTCTGCCTACTGCTCTGCGATCACCTCCCCCTTGGGACCTTGGGCTTCCGTCCACCAGCTTCCTGTACCCCCCCCCAAACCTCCCTTCTTTCTTTGTCTCTTCTGTTGGTCTACCACGTCCCACAAGATTATTTTTCGACCAAACCTCAAATAAATCCCCTGTGTTTTGGTAAAATAGCTTTATCTGCCGTCAGAAAACAAATCAACATGCTTCGGGAAGGGAAAGGGCCTAGCCTTCCCCTTAAAGGGTGACATCTGAGAGTCTCACCCATTTGCTCGCTGAGATAAGTCATGACCCCAACACCCACATATAAATATCTTGTTATATTAAAAAAAATATTTCCTGCACAGAAGGGGTTAATCTTCCAATTTGTGACATCACAGATCACAGAAAGGAGGTGGAGGCAGATAATGTGGGGAGGGGAGAAACTGGAAAACAGAAAGGAGCAAGCCAGTGTGTAACTAGGGCTCCCCCAAAAAACTTCCAGAAGAGGTTGTATGGACTCTTTCTGAGGCTGCTCCAGTCCCCAGTCCCCAAAGCTTTGGAGTGATCTGTCCTTTTCCCACACACCTCCTGTGAGGTCTCAATATTGGGGTCTGTCTTCCATCCCAGCCACTGAGCAAGGGTCCCTTCTAATTGGGGACAGTCCCAGCTGCTCAGGCATCTGAGGTCAGCCCCTTTTCATTGAGCCCTTCCCCAAATACAGAGCATGGGGAGGGCTGAAGGGTCCATGCTGGCAGGGGTTCTGGGGTCCCCCCTTCAGTCCCTGACCAGGCGGTAAATGTGGTGCTGGGCACCGTGCTCACTGGTGGAGACCTCGAAGACATAGGCAGTGCAGAGCAGCAGCTCCTGGGTATCCCTGTTTGTCACCACCTGGCAGGAGAAGGGACATAGGCTTAAAAGGAAGGACAAGACCACTCTGTCCTCCCCAGTTAAGGGATGCCCTCCCCAACAGACTTTTTTTCCAACCCCTAGAAAAGCTAGTATATACCATGGTTCTCCAACTAAAAAGATGTCTGCTTCCCAGGCAATGGGAAAACTACCCCAAGCTAAGGGTTGGCAGGAAAAGAGGAGGGGCTCACATCAGATGGGGAATCATGGCTCAGTCAGTGGGTTCACCACCATGTCACAAAGAGAGGAGGTGTCCGCATTTCAGGGGCCCCAAAACAGCACAGCTCCCATAGTTAGAGGGACTCCCGATATCCTGTGACCCCAGCTAGGCTACATTCCCTGGGAACTCGAGGGTCCACGTGGGGGTATTCAGCTTCCCAGGTGAAGGGGACCATGCCCTTGGCGACTTCCTGGTCTCTTTATGGCAGGACGCCGCTTTGGTCTGGCCCCACCCCATGCCTCACCTGGAGGATGGTGAAATTCTCCAGGACGCTGTTCATCATATAGCGCTCTGGCAGCTGCCGCAACTTGTGCAGAAAGTTCACCAGGTACTCGCACATGGGCGAGCGCAGCAGGCGGTACACGAACCGCCCATCCTCCAGCTGGGCCCGCTCTGTCTGAAAGCGGGGCAGGATGTGGAGAAGAGCGTGACTGGGAAACACATGTCACCTCAAGAACCGAGCTCCCAGTGTTGCACTCTTGGCTAATGTCCCATACCCCACCCCATCACCCCCACCCTAACCTCAGTAACCAGGGACAGGTATTTGACTCCATATCTGAGTCTGCATCCCACAAACCTCCCCAGGGTCTCAAAGTGATGGCTTGGACCAATGCATTAACACAAGCCTGGAGGCAGAGATCTGGAGGATCATGGTTCGAGGCTGAGACAAAAAGTTAAGCGAGCCCCCTCCCCACCCCACCACATCTCCACCAATAAGCGTGATGATGCATACTTGTAGTCTCAGCTAGCTAGACTGGTCTGAGGCTGGTCCCAGGTAAAAATTTAAGACTATCCCCCCCCCCAAAAAAAACAAAAGGGATTTGGGGGTCAGATATTGGAGACTCACTGCTGTAATCTTAGCTACTCAGAAGACTGAGATCTGAGAACCAAAGTCCAAAGCCAACCCAGGCAGGAAAGTCTATGAGATTCTTATTTCTACTAATCTACAAAAAAAAAAGAAAAAAGAAAAGAAAAGAAAAAAAGCTCAAGCAGTAGAGCACTAGCAAGAAGAAGCTCAGGGACACAGCCCAGGCCTGAGTTTAAGCCCCAGGATTGGCACAAAAAAAAGACTGGACACCAATGGCTCACACCTGTAATCCTAACTACTCAGGAGGCTGAGATCTGAGAATCTCAGTTCAAAGCCAGCCAGGGCAGGAAAGTCCATGAAACTCTGATGTCCAATAAACCACCAGAAAAACCCAAAGTGGCACTGTGGCTCAAGTGTAGAACATTCGCCTTGAGTTGAAGAGCTGAGGGACAGTGCCCAGGCCAAGTTCAAGCCACATGACTGATTTAAAAAAAAAAAAAAAAAGGACTTGGAAGAGAGCTGTGTATTAATAAAAGACTCTAGCAAGTACATGGTCCTGAGTTCAAACCTTAATCCTGACCAAAAAAGGTGAAAGTTTGTTTTCAAGCCTTCCAAAGTTCCCTAAGTGACATCTCTAAGCTATATCTGAGACACTCCCCCCCAAGTCCCCAGTACCCCCAAGCGTGACTTCTGATCTTCCTTACCTTCTGCATCCTAACAACTAAATCTGTGCATCCTCTGAATGACCTCTGTGACCTTGCACTCCATATTAGACCCAAGCCCTGCCTATCATGGGGTCCTCAGAGAGGCTGGGCTGCCCCCCACCATGACTCCCACAAATGCTCGCCCATCATTACTCCTAATCCAGGCAGTATCTGTAGAAGGGGGCATCTGGATACCCCCTTACCCCCAGCCCAGCCCTCCAGCCTCACCTCCACCTTCTCCACCACCTGCTTGCCAAAGGAGCAGACTTTGGAGGAGCAGGTGAGGGTCATGTGCTCCAAGCTCTCATACTGGCTGCTTACGCCATAGAAGCTGCTACCGCTGCTGCCACCACTGCCAGCCCCCGCCTCCTCGCCACTTGGGCCCCAGTTCAGGTCCGCCTGGGAGATGGAGGGAGAGGTACAGGTGAGTTAAGAGAGGCTGATGTCTCCTTTGTGCCTCCCACGCCTGCCCTTCTTTCTCAGCTCCTAAAAATGATCATCACTTCTTGCTGGGTATAGTGGCAGCCACCTGTAATCCCAGAACTTGGGAGGTAGAGAAGCAGGAGGTTTCAGAATGTAAGACCAGTCTGGTCTACACAAAGAGAGACTGTCTCAGAAAAAAAAAAAAAAAAAAAAAGTGGGCAGAAGGTTGAGGTTATAGGGTTATAGTTCAAATGGTAGGGTGGGTTGTCTAACAAGGCCTTGAATTCAATCTCCAGCACAAGAAAAAAAAAGCTGGGCACTGGTGGTTCCTGCCTATAATCCTAGCTACTCAGGAGGCTGAGATCTGATCATTGTAGTTCAAAGCCAGCCCAGGCAGGAAAGTCTGTGAGACTCTTATCTCCAATAAACCACCCCCAAACTGGAAGTGGCTCTGTGGCTCAAGTGGTAGAATACTCACCTTGAGCTGAAGAGCTAAGGGACAGCGCCCTGGACCACAGTTCAAGCCCCATGGCTGACCAAAAAAAAAAAAAAAAGGTCAAGGCCTCTTCTACCCTCTGAACGCCCCCAGGGGCTGGACAGCAGAGCTGGGAAGCTGTTGGTATAAGAAACCCTACAGGGGCTGGGAAGGTGGCTCAGTGGTAGAGCACTTGCCTTGCATACTCGAGGCCCTGGGTTCGATTCCTCAGCACCACATAAGCAAAAAGAAAAAAGCCGGAAGTGGCGCTGTGGCTCAAGTGGTAGAGCGCTAGCCTTGAGCTGAAGAGCTGAGGGACAGCGCCCAGGCCCAGAGTTCAGGCCCCACGACTGGACCCAAAAAAAAAAAAACAAAAAAAAAACCCTACAAATGACCACGATGTCATCAGCATATTGAACAGAGCCATTTCAGGCCTCCACTTCATACTCCATAAAGCTTTATTTATTTATTAATATGTTTCATATTAAAAAAAATTTCTGCAGTGCTCCAACACCCTAGTTAGCATAGGAGCTGATACCCTCAAGACATTCAACCACATTTACTGAACCCCTGTGATGAGAGAAAGTCAAACAAAATGGGCCTCAGAAAAAAAATCTAAGATGGAGCTGGGAATATTCATTCAAGCAGTAGCGCACTCGCCTTAGTTCAATTCCTGGTACCTTAAAAAAAAATAGAAAAGTGGGGAGCTGGGAAGGTGGCTCAGTGGTAGAGTGCTTGCCTTGCATGCATAAGGCCCTTGGTTCGATTCCTCAGCACCACATAAGCAGAAAAGGCTGGAAGTGGCACTGTGGCTCAAGTGGTAGAGTGCTAGCCTTGGGCTGAAGAGCTGAGGGACAGCGCCCAGGCCCAGAGTTCAGGCCCCACAACTGACAAAAACAAAAACAAAAACAGGTACCAGTGGCCCACGTCTCTAATCCTAATACTCAGGAAGCTAGGATCTGAGGATCTTGGTTCAAAGCCAACCCAGGCACAAAAGTCCATGAGACTCTTATCTCCAATAAACCACTAGAAAACCAGAAGTGGTACTGTGGCTCAAGTGGTACAGTACTAGACTTGAGCTGAAGAGCTGAGGGAAAGCACCCAGGCCAAGAGTTCAAGTCCCATGACAGATCAAAAAAAAAAAAAAAAAAAGTCAAAAATATATGGAGTCATCCCCCAATACACAAAGTCTCTGATATAAAATATGATTGTGTAAGTGAGGAACTGGTGGCTCATGCCTGTAATCCTAATTACCCAGGTGGCTGAGATCTAAGAATTGTGGTTCGAAACCAGCCTAGGTAGTAAAGTCCATGAGACTTATCTCCAATGAACCACCAAAAAAGCCAGAAATGGCACTGTGGTTCAAGTGGCAGAGTGCTAGCATTGCACAAAAAAGCTCAGGGACAGTGCTCAGGTCCTGAGTTCAAGCCCCACTATTGGCCCCCCAAAAGAAAAAGAGAAGCTGATGCTAGGATCTATGAGGCCCAACAACCAGTCCCACAGAGCACACCAGATTTCTGCCAAACTGCCAGAACTTACCCAAAACTTGACCAGGAAAAAGGCCTGGGGAGGCCCGCGGTCATACAGCTCCCGCAGCCCGCCCTTTTTCTCAGGGAATTTGTCATAGATCTGCCGGACATCCACACTCTCCAGTGGCGGCGCTCCCGGGCTGGGACAGTGCTGGCTGATGTGAACGAACAGGTGCCTCTGGTACTGAGGATGGCCAACAGTGGATGAGGAGTGGGCATGAGCCAGCCCCTGACCTGCATTGCAAGAAGCCCCACTCCACCCGCTCACCAGTCCCCAAGCTCCAGAGAGCAAGTAAGTCCATGTGTCTATCAGGGCTGAGCATGACTGCAAGCATTCACACTTCCTTGGTCATTTACTTTCTATGCATCCCTTCTTTCTCGCTCTTCTATTCCAGACTCAGTCTCCACCGCATCTTCTGTCACCCTTGTCCTTAGCTTCCAGCGTCTCTTCTCCAATTCAATCCATTCACAGTCAAACCTGGCCATGGCCCTCTCCTGCTCCCCACTTCCCCCAGGACAAAACCAAGTACCCTCAAACTAGCTCAGAAACATTGGATGGCTAGATGGACAGATAAGACATATGCATGGGAAACTACAAAGCCCCCTCTCTGTCCTGTGTTGTAAACTCCTTTTTTTCTTTACTCTTTTCTTTAATGGTTTCCTGACACAGGGTCTCACTATGTAGCTCAAGCGGGTCTTGAACTCCTAATCCTCCTACCTCCACCTCCTAAACAGGTATACATTTTCCACACCAGTCTTTTATGATTTTTTTTTTTTTTTGCCAGTCCTGAGGCTTGAACTCAGGGCCTCGGCACTGTCCCTGAGCCTCTTTGTGCTCAAAGCTAGCACTCTACCACTTGAACCATAGCACCACTTCCAGCTTTTTCTGAGTAGTTTACTGGACATAAGTCTCATGGAGGGGCTGGGAATGTGGCTTAGTGGTAGAGTGCTTGCCTAGCATGCATGAAGCCCTGGGTTCCATTCCTCAGTACCACATGAACAGAAAAAGCCGGAGGTAGTGCTTGTGGTTCAAGTGGTAGAGTGCTAGCCTTAAACAAAAGAAGCTCAGGGACAATACCCAGGCCCTGAGTTCAAGCCCCAGGATGACTGGCAAAAGAGAAGGAGGGAGGAGGGGGAGAGAGGGAGAGAGAGGGAGAGATGAAGAGGGAGAGAGAGGGAGAAAGGGAAAGAGGGAGAGAGAGGGAGAGTGTCTCACAGATTTTTCTGCCCAGGCTGGCTCCAAATTACGATCCTCTGATCTCAGGCTCCTAAGTAGCTAGGATTATAGGCATGAGCCATCAGCACTCGGCTATTTTGACTTATCTTGACATCCTGAAAATCCTCCCATCTTCTCCTCCAGTACAAATGTTTCTCCATTTTTGTAGACCCAAGTTCATCTAAATCTGCCCCTTCCTGGGAATCTCTGTTGATCACAATCAGACAGGGTCCCTTACCCCCATCTCCACGATGCCTGGGTTCTTCCAGAGCCAGCATCTAGCACCTCTCTGCAGCCTCTCCAGTTCTTACCATAGTCTGTTGTTTCTTTCCTAAAAATTCCAGTGTTCTGCCCATCTCTATAGCTGGTCCATTGGTTTGCAAATGGAAAACTCCGGTGACCTGCCAAGCCCAGTGCTAATCTGCCCATTTCAATGATGTAGTCACTGACAACCCCGGGGAGGATAGAGTGCTCTGAATATCCACAAGAACTTGAGCTCTCCTCATCCCTGCACAACCCATTATTCAGCAAACAGGCATGGAGAAGAGAGACCCACTGTGGGCAGCAGGACTGGTCTGGGTTCTGGAGCTACAAGACAAAGTCCCTGACCTTGTGGAGTTCAGTCTACTGGCAGAGAAGGAAAACTGAAATCACCCTATGGATCATATAAACTTTAGGAATGATTTGTGCTATGGGAAAATAGAAATTGAAAAAATAAATGTAAGGGGCTGGAAAGGTAGCTCAGTGGTAGAGTGCTTGTCTTGCATGCATGAGGCCCTGGGTTTGATTCCTCAGCACCACATAAGCAGAAAAAGCGGGAAGCGGCTTTGTGGCTCAAGTGGTAGAGCACTAGCCTTGAGCCGAAGAGCTGAGGGACAGTGCCCAGGCCCAAAGTTCAGGCCCCATGACCAACAAAAATTAATTAATTTAATTTAATTTAAAAAATAAAAATAAAAAGTCCTGTATAGTACCATATACTAGTAATCCTAGCAATCTGGAGGCAGAGGCAGGAGGACCAGGAGTTCAAGGCCAGTACCCCAGTAGCAGAGTGAGCTATGATATAAAATCAGGAGCAGACGGAGAATAATGACTAGACAGTGCAGATCTTTGCAGATAACGGAACAGAGTTTCACTTTTGCTACAAGTGAAATGGGCATTCTGAAGCCCAATCCAACAGGAATGTTACCAGACTCACCATTTGCAGTGATTGGTAATTTGGTGTTTATGTGGCATGGCAGAAACCACTGGACTACATTTCCCATGATCCTTTGCGCCTTTGCGGGCCATAGCTACATGGAGTCCTGGCCAATGGGAAGTGAGCAGACCCAAGCATGGCCGACCCAATTAAAACCTACATAATCTTGCCTCTCTCCCTTCCTCCATCTGCTGGCCAGATGCTGAGAATCCAGCAGCAAAGAAGCCCTAGAAAATGGCAGAGTCACAAAATGAAAGAAACCCTGATCCCAGAATCACTATCTACAAAGCTTCTGTCATAGCTAGGCATGGTGGCTCATGCCTGTAACCCAAAACACTTGAGGAGGTACCTGTTCCAAGGCCAGCCTGGAATAAAATAAAATAATTAAATTAAAAAGCAGGAGCAGAGGGCTGGGAAGGTGGCTCAGTGGTAGAGCACTTGCCTTGCATGCCTGAGGCCCTGGGTTCGATTCCTCAGCACCATATAAGCAAAAAGAAAAAAAGAACTGTTAGTGGCGCTGTGGCTCAAGTGGTAGAGTGCTAGCCTTGAGCTGAAGAGCTGAGGGATAGCACCCAGGCCCAGAGTTCAGGCCCCATGACCGGACCAAAAAAAAAAAAAAAGCAGGAACAGAGTAGAATGCTGTTGGCTCACACCTGCAATCCAAGCTACTCAGAAGGCTGAGATCTGAGGATCGTGGTTTAAGGCCAGCCCTGTATGAAAGTCTGTGAGACTCTTTATCTCCAATGAACCACCAGAAACCAGAAGTGGTGCTGTGGCTCAAGCGGTAGAGCACACACAAGCCCAGAGTTCAAGCCCCATGACCAACAAAAAAAGTCAGAAATGAGAAACTTCTATGCTGTTCATTCCTTAAGAGTTGGGAGTTGTTTCTTCCAATAGTCAGCCCACCTGACTAGTTCTGCATCTTTTTCTTTTTCTTTCTTTTTTTTTTTGTCAGTCGCGGGACCTGAACTCTTGGCCTGGATGCTGTCCCTCAGCTCTTCAGCTGTAGACTAGCGCTCTACCACTTGAGCTTCAGCCCCACTTACAGCTTTTTCTGCTTATGTGGTGCTGAGGAATCGAACCCAGGGCCTCATGCATTCAATGCAAGCACTCTACCACTGAGCCACATTCCCAGCCCCTCGTTCTGCATCTTTTTGTATCCTAGCCCAGAAATAAGATCTGCTTTTCTAGTTTCCTAATATCACAAAGCCAACTAGGAATTTCAACATGTCTGACAATGAATGTTGATTTCCTGGGGAGTGTCTCTGACCTTTCCCCACTCACAACCTTCCAGTTCCTTAATGCTGGTGATTCTCAAAAGGGTAGACCGAGAACAGCTTCACCGACATCACCTAGAAGACTGCTACAGATACAGTTTTGGAAGCCTTCATCAAATCCAGCAGCAATTCTGTTTGGAAAAGCCTTTTGACCTTTGACCTCTTTCCCTGACCTATGATCCCCATGTCAGGTCCTTCAGAGTAGAGAGATGGTCTCAAAGATGGTCCCAATCACCAGGTAAATCCCATCTCATTTGAATTCTAATGTATGCTAATATTTGGGGAGGGGCTAGTGCTCCACACCTCCTTTCCCTTCTCCCTATATACCTGCTAAAAGCACCCAGGAACTGTCCCCAAATTAAACTCACAGAGTCCACTGCATCCGGGGGTTCCACAAAAGCAGAGAATTCCACCAGCTGCAATCGAGCAGTGCCCAGGGCCCGAGCCTGCCAGGCTGGCGGTGATGGAGCAGGTGGGGGCAGGGGTGAGAGGGCTTGGGGGGGCTCGTACCCTAAAAAAAAAAAAAACAGAAAGAAAGAGGGAGAAAGAACCATAAAGACTAGTAACATTTACTGACTGAATCAGGCACTGGTTCTCTCTTGCCTGCCTCCACTTAGAAGCTGAAAAAGCTAAATACTCACTTTCCCAGCCTCCCATGCAGCTAGAGGTGGCCATGTGACACAGTCCTGGCCAATGAGACGTTAGGGGATATCTGCTGGGGGGCTTCTGGGAAGGAGTTTCTTCCTGAATGAAAGAGAGAACTTTGGAAGGAGAAAGGCTTTTGTCCCTGGCCACGTGCTGGTTGGGATGTGATGCCTGGAGTCACAGCAGCCGTCCTGGCACAGTAAGACAAAGGCCAAGGGAACTATGAAAACATTGGTGCTGATACTGCTGAGCTGGCGAGCCAGCACAAGAACAGCCCACCTCCAGATTTTGTGTTCTATGGAATCATTAAAGCCTTTACTGTGAGAGACTATGTATAACCAAAGGTCAGCATGGACTTCTGGAAGCAAGCCATCTTGGCCCTGCTGCTATCTTCTCTCCCTCCCTCCCTCTTTCTCTCTCTCTCATTCTTCAACCATTCAATTCGCCTCCTCTTTTGGGTTTCTGTTACGTGCAGCTAAAAGACCTTTGACCAACCCACTCTACTTCCTGGATGTCTCCTGAGCTAGCAGCTGATGACAGAACACAAACCCAGGGTTTCTGACTGCTACAGAAACCATGCTGTATAAATTCCGACAGCTGCCTTGCCGCGCATGCGCACAAGATGCCTCAGAACAAATGTATCCCCTGATGAGGGGCAGATTAGGGTGACGAGAAAGGGGAAGATAGGAAAGGTGGGGAGTAGGTTCTTACCTGGAAGATCAGTAGATGGGGGCGTCAGTGACAGGGAAAATGCTGTCTGTGAGAATGGCTTCACACTGAGGGAAGAGATCAGAGGGACCAGAGATGATGGGGAGGGGAAGTGTCAGAGGCCATGGAAAAGGTCAAGGGCCAAAAGGCCAAGATCAGAAAGATAAATCCTGGGGCCTTCACACCCTGACTCCCAGGGCCTCAGCTCTAGCCCTTGTCATCCCAATTCTGAAAGCTAAACTCTAATATTCTGCTCAATGGTGGAATGAATCGCTTGTCATTGGAGAGACAGAGGCAGCATAGTGAATCCATAACTAGCTAACGTTGATGGGAGTCCATGACAAGCCTGGCCCACACATGGCTGGAGTATAGTGGAACCAGGATTCCAATCCAGGTCAGTCCCAACCATGAAACTGGAGTTTCATGCTTTGCATAGCAGCATGGTGGTGCCTCTCACAAAAGCACAGAAGGTAAACAAAGCTACACCATGGGAGGCTAAGATCAGGAGGATCCTGGTACCAGGCCAGTGCTGGCAGAAAAGTCCATGAGACTCTTGTGTGTAGGTAGAGAAGGTGGATGTGGGGGTCACAAGTATGTGACCCCAGCACAATGAAAAGGCTTCAGTAAGCATGCCCTAGAGTAGGAAACAAGACCCTATTCTAAAATTAACCGGTGAAAATCGGGGCCAGAGGCATGGTTCAAGCCAATGGAACTTTCTGTTTGTGGGATCTGCCCATTGCTACCTGTGGCCTACTCCAGGCTAGCGAGGCTAGGATGCCTGAAGATCTGAAACTCTGATTTCTTAAAAGTGTTTTGCTTTTGTAGGGGGGGGGGGGGTGGAGGGGGAGAGCTTGCCTGGGGACAAGCTGTTACCTCCTTTTTTTGGGGGGAGGCAATACCTTTGCTACTCCTGCTTCACCATCCTGCCCAATCGATGACTAGTCTATGGACATTGGTCCCTGACTCCACTGTGGTCTGATTGATTGGGTTCACTGACTCCAATCTGGGCTGAAAAGTTCATTTCCCATGAGCCTCTGGAGCCCATGTCTATGGCTGTAGGCCATCCTGTCACCCTCAGATCTCACAAGAACACTCTCCTGGACCTCTAAGAAAAGGTCTAAGAACCTTATTCCATTCTCAAGCCAAGAACCAGACTCAGTAGGGTGAAAAGTCACTCTTCCCATGAGCCTCTAGGGCTCCTTTTCCTGGCTCAGGAGCCTCTGAGACCTACAGCTGCTCTCCCATAATCCTCTAGGCCTGAGCATGCCCATTGGGAGAGGCTATTACTCCCCTGAACATCCTCCAGTGGGCCCTGCCCACTCACCAAATTCGAAAACGGACTCCTTTCGTTCCCATATGTGCTCCTTCCAGGGCTGCACATCTCCTGATGATCCCACCAACTTGAGTCCTCAGCACTGACCTCACTGCCCAGCCTGACAGCTTCTAACCCATCCCTCCTCCTCCTCCTCCACCTCCTCCTCCTCCTCTTCCTCCTCCTCATGTCCCCATGCCCTTCTGGTCCCCAGGACTGACTATATGTTGGATCCTCCCTCTAATCTTGGTAACTCACTTTGAACTCCTTTATCCACAAACCCCTACTTCAGAAGTAAGGAAATGGGGGGAAGCAGGGGGTTCATCCTTCAAAGTCCTACCCAGCAAAGGACAGGGCTCAGACTCAAATAGCCTGGCTCCTGCCGGGTGCTGGTGGCTCACACCTGTCATCCTATAGCTACTGAGGAGACTGAGATCTGAGGATCACAGTTCAAAAGCCAGGCGGGGAAGGAAAGTCTAGAAGTGGAGCTGTGGCTCAAAGTGGTAGATTGCTAGCCTTGAACAAACAAGAACTGAGGGACAGCACCCAGGTCCTGAGTTCAAGCCCCACAACACAGACACACACACAAAGCTAGGCTCCAGAATCTATGTCCAATAAATTAGCAAGTGGGGTGAAAATGTGCAAGGTACAAGGGAGGGGGAGGGTCAGGACACAGGTACTCACTCCGGAACATTCCAGGGTGGTCCAGAACTCCCTGACCAAAACTGGAAAAGCTCAGTGGCCTAGAGAGGAGATGAAGAAGGGGGTCAGCTGGTCTCTTGGTCCCTGGAACCCCAACCCCCCCCCCAATCCCTACCCAGGTGACCTGGGGGCCAGCCGGACCCAGTTTGGCCTGAAGGGAAGGTGCTGAGATGAGCTGTGCGGAGGACATCGTAGCCATGGTCTGGAAAGCCTTGTCCTTACAGACCTGATCCTGGGCAGAAAAGGGTAGAGTCTATGTGCAAAGAGAGTCCTGGCCAAGAGAGCAGGGGGAAGGGGGCGGGCAAGGATGGGGAGCTGCAGACTCGGGGAGTTCAAGGCAAAGGGTTAAGGAGTAAGTACATCGAACTCCTTCTCTCTGCCTCTGCTGCTCTTAAGGGATTGGGCAGGAGTACAAGGGGCAGCTTGGGTAGGAGGATAAGTATGGTGGGGACTTACCACATTCAGGGCCTGCCCGAGGAGGAAAGAAAACAAGACTTAGGAGGGGAAGCCTGGGCTCCCCACCTCCCTGACCTACCTGCCCACCTACCCCGCCACCCTGACCCTGGGGAGCAGAAAGCGGAGCTAGCCAGTCCTACAGGGGAAATGGGGCTGCCAAGCCCAGAATAAAAGACAGTGATGAGCCTTTGTAGATCAGGAAGGAATAGGAAGTCCAAGTTTCCGGATACCCAGGGGACAGGAAATGATCCTGTCAGATCTCAAGGGAATAGGAGTTCAGTGTTTTCCTAATCAGGACAGAACAGAGAAAGGTAAGAGGAAGAGGCCGGAAGTGAAGGTTTCAGGACCTAGAAAGAAACAAGGAAAAGCTTCCATGTCCAAAAAACAAAATGAAACTGGAAGTGAGTGTCTTCCAGTCGGAAAGAAGAAACAAGAGAAGACCTCCCTCCCCGAGGGGTTAGAAATTGAGGGTCTCAGGTGAAAAAGGAGCAGGAAATGGAGATGCTGAAGAATCTGGGGGTGACAATCTCCCCACAGGAAAACGAACCTTTCTGGACTCCAAAAGAACGGGCAGAGAAAGAAGAGAAAGGAGAGGAGGTGAAAGGGGGTGATCAGAACTCCAGAAGGAAAAGGAAATGAGACCACCAGGAAAGGAGGGGAGCAAGGGGGAAGGGATGGGGGGACCACACTAGCCAAGAGAGAGAGAGGCCTGACAGCTCTCTCTGACCTGTCCTATGCCCGGCCCAGCCACTGCCCATCCTCTAAGACTGTGGCTTTTGCTCACCCTCAGTTCTCCACCACCTGTCAAGTCTGTCCCTCTCCCTTGAGGTGTCGGTCTGTCTGTCTCTCTGAATGTCTGTCTCCCTCTCTCTGAATCTCTGTCTGTCTGAGCCTGTCCCCCTCCCTCTAGGTCCCCGTCCCTTCTCTGAATTTCTGTCCTCCCCCCCCCCCCCCCATCCTAGGTCCTCTTCCCCCTTCCTCTGGGTTTCTGTCTTCTCTTTCTAGATCTGTCTGTCTGTTTCTCTGGGTCCTTGTCTCCCTCCCTCTGGGGTCTCTGCCCCCTCCCCTTTGGGTTTCTGTCCCCTCTCTCTGAGTCTGTCTTCCTCTCTCTTTGTGTGTGTGTGTGTGTGTATCTCGCTCTCTCTCTCTCTGTCTGTCTGTCTCTTTACTCTATGTCCCATCCTCCTCCCTCTGGGTGTCTGTCCCCTCCTCTTACTGTCTGTTCTCTCTCTAGATCCCCATCCCCTCCCTCTAGGGGTGTGCCTTGGTCCTTACCTTCAGTTTGGACTGGATCTCCCTTGATTTCCTTCGAGCTAAGACCTGGATGTGGCTAGAGACCTGAGGGAACGGATGGAGAAGCAACTGAGGCAGAAGTCACCGCTGGCCTCGGCTTCTTACCTCCCCTCCCAGTGCCCGTAGGCTGCTAGAACCAAATCAAACCATGGCACACAGCCCAGGCAGGCTGGTGGCGGTGCCAGCACAGCTCTGCCCACAAAAGCTGTGCCTTCCCCCCAAACTCACACCTCATCTTTCCAGACCAGGCCGCTGCCCCCTCCCCACCCACCCTGGACCCCAGACAGGGTCTGGCCATGTAGCTCAAGGTGGCCTTGGATTCTCAATCTTCCTGCCTCAGTCTCCCCAGTGTTAGGACTATAGGTATACACACCACCATGCCTGGCTCTCTTTGCCTCTTTTGGTCTCAATCTTACTCAACTTCTGACACAACCGCTGGAGAAACTATCTTTAATTAGGCAATTAAGCCAGACCACCAGACACAGCATGGAGATAAGCAGAAACACAGGAAGCAGCCCATGTAAGGACTTCCCTAATAAGACAAGCCTGCCAGAGCACAAAAGTCAATCCTGAGACCTGTTTTCGGGTGCGGGTTTTCCCTGTTCTCAGCTTGATGTAGCGGGCAATCAGTTCATTCCGACCTGGAGAGTCAAAAATGGAAGAGAGTTAGACTATCAGAACTTCCCAGTAGAAAGTACACCAGGGAAGGTGACAATAGCAATGGTCCCCAAAGGACTACAGCAAGCTGGGCTTTGGGGATCTCCTCGGCTCATGGTGGGGACGAGAGGGAATAGGATAAACTGCCTGGGAGCCAGTCCCAGCTGTACTACATGGAATAACTTCCCCTTGACTCAGTTTCCTCTTATGAACAACTGATGACACTATATCCTATCCCAGAGTTACTGAGAGAATAGTGTCTTTATTTACACCAACAGTGCGTGGAGCTCCATCCGTGTTTGTGATTATTACTCGATGCTCTGGACAAAAGATGGGGTGCACTCACCGTACATCTTGCCTTCGTCTGACAGGATGATTTTCCGGCGGCCACAGGGGGGATAAATGGCCAGGGCCTCCTGGAAACTTTGCTCAATGTCTGGGCTCCAGACACCCTCAGCATCTGGGCCCCCATCTCCCCCAGCCCCCTCGCTGCCACCGGTGCCGGACTCGCTGCCCTCCTCGCTGCCTGTCCAGCCACTGCCGTCGTCCAGGGGGCCCCCAGCTCGGGGTTCCCCCATCTGGGCCTGGAGGAACACACAGAGCTCAGTGGGACAGGACAGACCCTGACTTGAGGGAAGGACCCCTAAGTCTAAGGGAGGAGGCTAGGGTCTAGACTCCTGGGTCTGAGGGAGGGCTAAGGCCTGGACTCCTAGGCGGGAAAGGAAAAGTCGGCTGGGTTTCTGGGGTAACTTGGGGGGCTGTTTTGCCCTAAGTTTGCAGGGGAGCTTGGGTTGAGCTGAAGTTACTTGAGCGCCCCCAGAATAAGGCCTAGAGCCGTGTTCCTCTGGGTATGGGTTAGTGGTTTTAAAGAAGACCAGGCTTGGGTGAGTGGCAGGGAGTCCCACACCCAAGAACAGGTGCTCGGATGGGAGCAGCAGCTGCTAGGAAAGAGGGCAGAAGCCCAAGACTGGCCGGGCCACCATGCAAAGCGAGGAGGGCACAGAGATGGGGGTGGGGCGGGGGCACGGGGCGGGGGGGGGGGTCAGAGACCCAGGGAGAGGGGAAACAGAGACCCAGAGAGAGGGGAAACGGAGACCCAGTGAAAGGGGAGACAGGACCCAGAGCATGGGGACAGAGGCCCAGAGCAAAGGTGGAGGAGACACGGGGAGGGGGCGGGGGCCACAAGCACAGACTCAGGGCTGAAACTGAGGCCGAAGACCAGAAAGGAGGCGCACGACCGCAGGCCGGGGGGCAGGGGACACCCCGGGAACCACGGGCCCAGGGGACGGGGGCTCCCTACCATCTGGAGGGCCAGAACAAAGGGCCCAGGCGTCCCCTCCCCCAGTTTCCCACAACCCCCACCGGGGGCGGGGCTGGGGGCGGGCGCCTCCGCCCGGGCCGGCCCCGCCCCTCCCCGCCCCGCCCCGCGCGGTGGGCGCAGCTCCAGCCCCAGCTCCCGGCGACTTCCCGGAGGAGGCCGGGAATGGGGAAAACTTTTTCCGCCGCGGAGCGATCCCGCCTCCCCGGAGGGTCCCGGGGATCCCCCAGATTCTCCTAGGACCGTAGAGGGCAGGAACCCCCCCTCCCCTTCTTCCCTCCCTCTGACCCCGCACCCCGGGGTGCAAGCAGACAAAGAGAGACCCCAGGTCGGGGGCCCCCGAGCTGCTCCCCCAGGACCCCCGAAGGCCAAAACCCCAGCCCAGCCCCCCCCTCAGTGTGGCCAGACAAAGGCACGGGGGCCCCGGCTAGAAAAGGTACCCCCTAACTTCCAGCACCACCCCCCACGCCTCGGAAAAACCACGAATACAATCCAGGACCACCCACCCGCCCAGCCTGGGCCCCCCCAGCCCCCCCTCCCGGGGTGGGGGTTCCCCCGCTTCGGCCAATTCCCTCCCTCCCGGGGTGAGGGGGGAGATTCCCGTCCAGCGAAGGGGACCGCAGACCCACAGGGCACCCCGCACCCCCGGGCCCGGCCGCTCCCCACCTCCCACCCCCGCCCCCTCCACCCAGCACCCCAACTCCGAGAAAGTTCCCCAACTCCACGCCCGGGCTCGGAACACCCCGCCCCCCCCCCACGCCTCAAGCAAAAGTGAGGGCGGCGAGCAAGTCCGACACGGCTTCCCCTCCTCCCCCCAAAAATCCCAAACACCGCACGCCTCACCTCATCACGCAACTTCCCACCCCAACTCACACCCCCAACGCGGGGTCCCGCCGCGGGCGCCCCCCTACCTCCCGGCCTGGGGCTGGGGAGCCGCGGGCGGGCGGGGCGCAGCCCGGACAAAGTTGCCGGGAGCTTTGTTTGGGAAAAGTGGGAGGGACCCCGGGGGCGGGGGCGGGGGAGGGGAGGGGGCGGGGGGCGGGGGGCGGGCCCGCGCCGGCCGCGGGAAGGGACGGCCCGGCGCCTCGGCCAGGGTGTCTGCGCGCCGACGGCCGAAGGCGTTCTGGGGACTGCGAGAAAAGTGGGGTCCGGATGCCAGAAGGAGGATTAGGGGTTCCGACCCAGGGGCTGGAGTTTCGGGTCTGAAGGAGGAGGGCTGAGGCCCGGACCCCTGAGTCTGAGTGAGGAGGCTGGGGCCCCGGACCCCTGGGTCGGAGGGAGGAGGCTGGGGCTTGGACCCCTGGGTCTGAAGGAGGAAGCTGGGGGGCCGGGGTCTGGACTGGTGGGTTTGAGGGAGGAGGGCTGGGCTTGGACTACCCTGTAATATGTTCGTGTGTTGAGACTCTGGAAGTGACAGGAATACAAAAGAATCACAACTGTTATCCCCAAGAATGTATTTTGGATCTGGGGTACTGGCATGGATTCCCATCAATCCCTGTGACAACGTAACTTTTTTGTGACTTAGAGTCCTGGCGGCGGGGGGGGGGGGGGGGGGGGGGAGGAGGGGGAGAGGGCACGTAATTCCAGCATTTTGGAGGAGTCCTGGCGGGGGGTGGGGGGCGCACGTAATTCCAGCATTTTGGAGGCAGGAAGATCTCTAGCTGGAGGCCGGTTTGGGGCTGTGTCCAAAACAAAACAAAACAAAAGTCAAAATAAACTAAGTCATGGGCAGAAATCACCGGAGTTAGAAAGTCGCTCCAAGTTCGGAGTCCTGTATGTCCTAGTGGACAGTGTCCTAGGATGGGGAGAACACTTTGTGCTTGAGGAAAGAGCTTGGGATCCTGACTCCTGCCTGGAGATGGGGGTAGTAATGCAAGCCTGTGACCCTGGCACAACCTCAGGAGGCTGAGGCAGGAGGATCGTGAGTTCTAGGGTGGCTAGGTTAGAGAGACGCTTGGCAATAATAATAATATTTGTGTCTTGACACTCAAGAGGAGGCTGACAAGGGGACTCCAGAGTCCTGAGGGAGAAAGAATGCTGGACTTTGCTTTTCTTGGAAAATGGAATAATAGGGCCGGAGTTGGGGTTTTCCAGGGACTCAGGCCTGACCTAAGCTCAGGGGCGTGGTTCTAACGATGCAGATGAGTCTGGTCACCCAAGTGGGGCGTGGCTTATCATAGGGGCGTGGCCAAGTCACGAACAGCTCCCACCTAAGGGGTGTGGTTAACGAAGAATGAGGGCGTGCCTCTGCACGTGGAGGCGTGGCTCTGTGCGGAGGTGGTGAGGGTTCAGGCACGAGGTCAGCGCGTAGGGGGCGTGGTCAGACAATGGGGGCGTGGCCAGGCCTCGAGGAGCACTTCTAACGCTCCCGCTCTTCTGCCTGGGCTCGAGGCCACATCTGTTTGGATTTTAACAGTCCGGAGTCTGGGAGTCCGGTGACCTGGCTGCGGTCTAGCAAAAGTGCGGGGTTCAGAAGAAGGGGCGGGGCGTAGACACCGGTGAGGAAGGGGTGGGAATTTTTTTTAATTAAGGGGAGTGGGTGTGGTGGGGGTGACTGGGGGGTTGGCCAGGGTGGGATGGGGGGCTCTGACCCTCCCTTTCCCTTGCCACAGCCTCCCGCCCGCCCGCCCCGCCATGTGGGGTCCGCTGGTCCCATGGCTGCTGCTGCTGCTGCTCCCCTCAGCCTTGGTGCCCCCGACTTGTGCAGCCCCGATCCACGATTCTGACTCGCAGGAGAGCCCCTCGGGGTTTCTAGGCCTCCAGAGCCTCCTCCAAAGCTTCAGCCGACTTTTCCTGAAAGTAAGAGAGGGCCCAGGGGTTGCAGGGAAAGAACAGAGTGGGATTTCTGGGATACGGAGTGGGATCTGGCAAGGGGATTAACAAGAAAAGGAGTCAAAACGACGGGGCGGGCGGGGGGACACTTAGGATAGGAAGAGAGGATCCTAGCTCTAGGCCTCACACCTGTAATCTCAGCCATTCAGGAAGCTGAGATCTGGGGATCGCGGTTTGAAGCCAGCCCAGACAGGAAAGTCTGAGACTCTTCTCTCCAGGGGGGAAGAGGAGCTGTGGCTTAAGTGGTAGAGGTCTAGCCTTGAGTGAGAAAAGCCAAGCAAGAACACAGAGGCCTTGAATTCAAGCCCCAGTAAGGGCACACACACACACACAAAAAAAAAAAAAAGGAAGGGAAAAAAGTGGAAGGAGATGGGCTTGATAAAATAGCAGAGGAGAAGAGAGGGTGAAGGCAAGGGAGGGGCAGAAATAGTAAAGCAATGGAAGGAGGAATAGAGGCAGGACAGATGGGGCTTAGGGACTAGGGGATAGTAGATCCTAAGGATCAGAGAACTGGAAGAGAAGGGGAGAGGAGGGACTAGGGGCAAGGCAAAGGTGTACTTCATAGATGTGATGTCCAGCAGCTCATTGCTTTCCACCTTGGCCCTAGGATGACCTACTACGGGGTCTGGACAGCTTCTTCTCTGCCCCTATGGACTTTCGGGGTCTTCCTAGGAACTTCCACCAAGAGGAGAACCAGGAGCGCCGGCTGGGGAACAACACTCTCTCTAGCCACCTCCAGATCGACAAGGTGTCTCTACAGGGAAGCCTCTCCTCCCTAGAGTCTGCCCACCATCCAGCATGCTGCAGTACCTGTGGGGAGGGAAGGGTAGAGGAGGGAAGGAGATTTGCCCTCACTCCCTCATTTCATTCTCTCAGATGACTGACAACAAAACCGGAGAGGTGCTCATCTCTGAGAAGGTGGTGGCTTCCATTGAGCCAGAGGGAAGTGTGGAAGGTGACTGGAAGGTTAGGAACTGCCCCCACCCCCCCAGTGTCCAAGCCCCCAACATTTCCTGTAGACTAGAAGGGAGAGAAGTCATTTCTCTATTTCTCCCTCTCTCTCTCTCTCTCTGTCTCTGTCTCTCTATGTCTCATTCTCATCTTTCATCTTTCTGTCTCTGTCTCTGTCTGTGTCTGTGTCTGTCTGTCTGTCTATCTGTCTGTCTATCTCTCTCTCTCTCTCTCTCTCTCTGTCTCATTCTCATCTATTTTTTCTGGAACTTACTCTTTGTTATTTGTTATAAGGGACAAATAGCTTTGATAATAACCTCAGAATACATCTCCAGATGTTTAGTAAATTACATAGAGTTTGTGGACTTCGATGTGTTTTGTAAATTCAGAGGCTCAAGTTCAGTGTTTTTATTTGAAGTAAGGGCTCTGAACTGAGTGCAGTAGTGCATGCCTATAATCTCAGCACTTGAAAGACTGAGGCAAGAGAATAGAGTGTTGGAGGCCCTGCCTCAAAACAATCATCCTCCTGCCTGCCAGCCTCCCAAGTTCTGGGACTACAAGCTAGTGCCACCACACTGTGCACTAACTGAGCCATGCTTCTAGCCTTTTTTTTTTGTCCTGGTTGTTTTTGTTTTTAATTTCTGCCAGAGCGTGTGCCTGTACTGTGATCCTCCTGTTTTCTACTTCCCTCTGTAGCTGGGATGACAGGCATGTACTACCACATCCAGCTTCTTCTTTTTTTTTTTTTTTTGTCGGTTGTGGGGCTTGAACTCTGGGCCTGAGTGCTGTCCCTCAGCTCTTCAGCTCAAGGCGAGCGCTCTACCACTTGAGCTACAGTGCCACTTCCGGTTTTCTGGTGGTTTATTGGAGATAGGAGTCTCACGGTCTTTCCTGCCTGGGCTGGCTTTGAACTGCGATCCTCAGATCTCAGCCTCCTGAGTAGCTAGGATTACAGGCGTGAGCGACCAGCGCCAGGCCCAGCTTCTTCTTGAGAATGGACTCTTGTGGATTTTACTGCCTGGGGCCAGCCTGGATTCTCAATCCTCTATCTCTCAACTTCCCACACAGCAAAGATGGTGGGCGAGTGCCACCAGCTATTGGTTGAGGAGTCTAGAGAACTTTTTGCTTGTCTGGCCTCAAAACTTCAATCCTTCTGATCTCAGCCTCCCAGGTAGTTAGGTGGGAGCTGTGCCATTGGCTGCTGCTGCTGCTGCTTCTTCCCCTTCTTCCTCCTCCTCATCCTCCTCCTTTGCTGGTCCTGGGGCTTGAACTCTGGGCCTCTTTGTGCCCGAGGCTAGCACTCTACCACTTGAGCCACAGCACCACTTCCAGCTTTTTCTGATTAGTTTGTTGGAGATAGGAGTATCACCGACTTTTCTATCCAGGTTGGCTTTGAACTGCGATCCTCAGACCTCAGCCTCCTGAGTAGGATTCTTTTGTTGTTGTTGTTATTGGTTGCAGGGCTTGAACTCAGGGCCTGGGCGCTATCCCTGAACCTTTGTGATCAAGGCTAGTGCTCTACCACTTGAGCCACAGTGCCACTTCTGGTTTTTGAGTGGCTAATTAGAGATAAGAACCTCACTGTAACTTTTCTGCCCAGGGTGGCTTCCAACCATGATCCTCAGATCTCAGCCTCCTAAGTACCTAGGATTATAGGCATGAGCCTCCAGCTAGGATTATAGGCATGAGCCACCAGTGCCTGGCTATCCTTTTCATATATATATATATGTATATATACATACAGATACAGTCTCCTCTTACACTTTTGGACCTCAGTTCTCCTACCTCTGCCTCCCACGTAGCAGGGATTACAGGCATCCATCACCAAGGGTAGCCAATATTTTTAATCTTGAAGTGTTTGCAAACCCAAGTGCTTGGTAAACTGAGTTTGATGACCTCCTCCCCACTCCCCCTGCTCACACCATGAGCTTACAGAGCAGATTTCCACCACTCCCAGTGGGCACTGAGAGGCCCTGGTGATTGGCAGGTGGGATGTGAGACCATCTCCTTGTTCCTTCTCCCCAGGTGCCCAAGATAGAAGAGAAAGAAGCCCTGGTGCCCCTCCGGAAGGCCATGGACAGCTTCCGCCCAGAGCCCCATCCTCGGGTTGCCTTCTGGATCATGAAGCTGCCGCGCCGCAAGTCCCGCCAGGATGGCCAAGAGGCTGGCCAGTGGCTCAGCGAGAAGCGGCACCGGCTGCAGGCCATCCGGGATGGGCTCCGGGAGGGGACCCACGAGGATATCCTGGAAGATGGAATCCAGGGTTCTTCTCACTCTAAGCCTCCAGCGCGCAAGACCCACTTTCTGTACATCCTCAGACCCTCCCAGCAGTTATAGGTGGAGGGAGGGGAACCCCCAGTCCCTGCATGTCCTTCCCTCCAGATTTGCACCCCTCCCTCCAACATCATATTGAAATAAAGTTTTTTCTTACATCTAGCAGCACCATCTCCTGACTAGGCCACAGAAGGTAACTTCAACCCAACCTCTCCCAAGCATGTCTGCCTGCACTGGCTCTTGCCTCAGTCTCTTAAACTATAAACCCTAACCCTCAGACTCTGTCTTCCATCCACTCCAGTCAGTTCCCTGGGCCTGTCACCTTCAACCCTCCAGGCCTATCTGGCCAGTTAGCACCCCCCGTATTACATTCTTTTGACTGCTATAACAAATGACCACTAAAGACAGGTATGGTAGCACCTGTCTATAATTCCAGTTACTCAGGAGGTGGAGACAAGAGGATTAAGAGTTCAAGGCCATCCCCAGAAAAGTTAAGAAGACCCTGTTACCGGGCACTGGTAGCTCACTTATAATCATAGTTATTCAGGGGCCTGAGATTTGAAGATCTTGGTTTGAAGTCAGCCTGGGCAGAAAAGTCCCTGTGAGACTATCCCCAATTTACCACTCAAAAATCAGAATGGAGCTGTGGCTCAAAGTGATAGAGTGCCTAGCCTTGAGTGAAAGAGTTCAGGCTCAATGCCTAGAACCTGAGGTCAAGCTCCATGACCAAAAACAAAACACAAAAAACCCTGTTCTCAAAAGGTCTGTGGACATGGCTCACATGGTAGAGTGCTGCCTAGCCTGGATAGGCCCTGAGTTCAATCTTAATTCCATCCAAAAACATACACCAAAGGCTGGGAAGGTGGCTCAGTGGGCTTCCTTACCCAGGCCCTGGGTTTAATTCCTCAGCACCACATAAGCAGATAAAGCCAGAAGTGGGTACTGTGGCTCAAGTGGTAGAGCACTAGCCTTGAGCTGAAAAACTCAGGGACAGCAACCAGGCCCAGAGTTCAGTCCCCATGACAGACAAAAAAAAAAAAAAAAAACCACAAGTGACCACTAACACAAATGAACCAAAGCAACAATGAATTTTTTGTTGTTGTTTTTGGTCGGTTGTGGGCCTGCTGGCCAGAGTCTCACAAGGCCATGATCAAGTTGTTCGCCTGCTAGGGACTTTTTTCCTTTTTTTTTGGTCACTATGGGTAATCAAACTCAGGACCTCCAGGACTACTACTTGAGGCACACCAATCCTTTTTGCTTTTGTTTATAAAAGGGCCTGTTATCCTTTTAGGAGGCTGAGATGTGAGGATCAAGATTTATAGCCAGGCCTGGCACCGGTGGCTCACGCCTGTTATCCTAGCTACTCAGGAGGCTGAGATCTGAGGATCGCGGTTCAAAGCCAAGCCCAGGCAGGAAAGACCGTGAGACTCATATCTCCAATAAACCACCAGAAAACTGGAAGTGGCGCTGTAGCTCAGGTGGTAGAGCGCTCACCTTGAGCTGAAGAGCTCAGGGACAGTGCCCAAGCCCGGAGCTCAAGTCCCACGACCGACAAAAAAAAAAAAAAAAGATTTATAGCCAGTCTTCTCTCCCATTAACCAGTAAAGAGCCAGAAGTAGAGCTATGGCTCAAGTGGTCGAGCGCTATTCTTGAGAGGAAAAGCTAAAACAATGCCCAGGCCCTGAGTTCAAGCCCCAGTACTGGCACAAAGAAAAAACAAAAGAGGTAAAGTCATTTGCCAAGATCACATAGCAATGGTATTAAATTTTGGCTTGGTTCTTCCTCTCATGATTTTTTTTTTTTTGGGGGGGGTGGAGAGGGGAGACAACTAGGGATTAAGGTCCAAGCTTTGCCTTGCTGGGCAAGCACTTAAGACCCTTGAGCAACGACCCCAGTTGGTTTGCCATGCTTTTTAATTAGTCATAAAGCACCTGCCCAACAAGTTTCTTCCCAGGCCTTATAATAAGCCACCATCTAATACCCAAAACAGCACCTACCAATTAACTGACCTTCTATCAACTTCAATTAGCACCTGAAGCCCTCAAGGCACTATAAGAAACCATTAACATCTCTGGGGAGAGAAAAGTCATTGTTCCAATGTCCTAACTGGGAAGTGCTAGAGCCAAAATTTAAACCCAAGAATGTCTGAAAGGGCCTTCCTTATCATCACTCTACCCTGCTCAGTGAATACAAGACATGGATTCCATTCATTTAACCAACAATAACAATTTTTATTTTTGGTCAGTCTTGAGGCTTGAACTCTTCTTTGAAGCAAGGCCTTACTCTATAGCCAAGATGGGCCTCACTTGTGATTCTCCTGCTTCATGCTCCTGAGGGCTAGGACTACAGTCATGCACTACCAAGCTCAGCCTCAAGAAAAAAAAAATTTTTGGGGGGGTCCCGTTGTGGGACCTGAACTCTGGGCCTGGGCGCTGTCCCTCAGCTCTTCAGCTCAAGGCTAACGCTCTACCACTTGAGCCACAGCGCCACTTCCGGCTTTTTTCTTTTTGCTTATGTGGCGCTGAGGAATCGAACCCAGGGCCTCATGCATGCAAGGCAAGCGCTCTACCACTGAGCCACCTTCCAAGCCCTCAAGAAAAAATTTTAGGCATTCAAACTAGGCCAGGCATATCACAGTGTCCAAAAGTCTCATTCCACATAAATGAGGAGAGTAGGACCTGGGGAGGTAGGGGGAACAGGTACTAAAATAGATCATGTTGCCTGGTGAAATACTCCAGGAAGACTTAAAACACTGTGAGTAGAGATGATCTCTCAAGCTATCAAAGCTGAAGTGGGAGTCACCCCACCCACTCTTTCCAAAAAGGACTGAATGGAATAATCTGGAAAAGGAAGCCTTTGAAGGGACTTAATAATACAACCTGAATGGAGCCACGAAAAGGATGTGGGAGTGGCTTGGGTTCCAATGCCCCTGGACCAGGCTGGACATGATTATGACGGCATTTCCAGCTTTCACGGCCCCCTCTGTTTTCCCGCCACCAGCCACAAAGCCCAGCAGCCTGCACGTGCTTCAGAAGTGCGCATGTGCCCACTCTGACCTGCCCAGGCGAGCCTGTTGGATAGCCCTACGCATGCGCCACCCTGGATGTAGGTAACTGACAAGAACTACGTGCACGTGCCTGCGCTTACGACGTGCGCCTGCGTGGTCGTTGAGGAGGGGGCGTGGCCTAGCTGCCTCGCGCTCCGAAACTGCCCTCCCCCCTGAATTTTTCTGGCGGGAAAGGCGCATGCGCACTGCTGTCACACCAACCCTGACAACTGCCGCTGGTCGTCGTCGTCGTGGTTCGTGGCCTCCAACTGTGTCCCAAGAGTGGGGTGCGATACCAGGTACGTCCTGCCCACGCCATGTTCGGGGGAGGGGAGCCCTGCCAGGACGCTTCCTGAAATCCTCCCCAAGCCCCTCCACCCCAAAAAGTAATCAGAGGAGAGAGACACCCCAGTCCCGGGCTTTGCGAGTGGCCTTCAAGGCCTCAAAGTCCTGAGGTAATTCATCGCTCTCTGAAGTGCCCGAAGCGAACCCACGAGGAAATCTTTTCTGGTCAGCCCCAAAATTCGGTTGGAATCTTCTAGAAATTCTGTAGAACTTCTCCTTCAGAGCCTGACCAAGTATTTCTCTGAAATTAAATTCGAGATTTCCCTCTCCTAGCAGGGGGTCAGAGCCTTGAATGCTATCCAAGACTCCCACCCCTACCCCCCAAAGCCCAGCCGGAGACCCTGAAATCCAGTGACTAAGCAAGCTCCCGGCCCTGTGTTCACCCCCAAATAAAAAGAAAAGAAAAAGGCAGTGGCTCCCATGCTAAGTGCTATATAGGAAATCCTGGAAGACTCCCTAGGGACCTATGAACCCAAGTGGGGTCAGGAGCTATGGACAAAGAGAAGCCTGGGGGTAGGACTGAGACTCAGGGGACCAGGGACTAGGGAGCAGCAGGTCTAGGGGACAGTGTTGAGCACCTATTGTCATGGATGATAGGGGACCTGGGATGTTGGGGGGTAGGAGGGAATTAACTGGTGGAGAGAAAAGTGACAAAAAAAAAAAGGAAGAACTGAGCTTGAGCTTGGTGGTATGCAACTGTAATCCCAGCTGCTTGGCAGGCAGAGACAGGAATATCAAGAGCTTTTGTTTGTTTGTCACTTGTGGGCTTGAACTCTGGGCCTGAGCGCTGTCCCTGCGCTCTTCAGCTCAAGGCAAGAGCTCTACTGCTTGCGCCACAGTGCCACTTCTGGTTTTCTAGTGGTTTATTGGAGATAAGAGTCTCATGGATGGGGCTGGGAAGGTGGCCCAGTGGTAGAGTGCTTGCCTTGCATGCATGAAGCCCTGAGTTCGATTCCTCAGCACCACATAAGCAAAAAAAAAAAAAAAAAAAAAAAAAAGAGTCTCATGGACTTTCCTGCCTGGGCTGGCTTTGAACTGCAACCCTCAGATCTCAGCCTCCTGAGTAGCTAGGATTATAGGCGCGAGCCTCCGGCACCCAGCTTTTAAAAGTTTTGAGGCCAGCCTGGTAAATTAAACCCTGTCTTAACAATAAAATAACAAAGGCTGGGGATGTGATTCAAGTGGTAGAGTGCTTGTCAGGTAAAGAGAAAACCCTGAGTTCCATTTCCAGTACTGTTTAATCAAATAAGTAAATATAAGGCAGGTGCTGGTGTCGTATACCTATAATTCTTGCTACTCAGAAGGATGAGATCTGAGGATTATAGTTCAAAGCCAATGACAGAAAAGTCCCTGACTCCTGTCTCCAATTAATGACCAAAAAGTCATAAGTAGACCAGTGGTTCAAGCAGAAGAGCACCAGCATTGAGCAATGGAGCTAAAGGTTCTGAGTTCAAACCCCAGCTCTGGCAAAAACAAAAACAAAACAACAAAGTATAGCCAGGCACCAGTGCCTCACACCTATATCCTAGCTACTCAAGAGGCTGAATCTGATCTCTGTTTGAAGCCAGCCTGGGTAGGAAATACACAAGACTGAGACTCATATTTCCAATTAATCACCAAAAAAAAAAGGCTGGAAGTCATGCCATGGCTCAAGTAGAGTGCTAACCTTAAACAAAAAAATCTCAGGGACAGCACCTAAGCTCTGAGTTCAAGTCCTGGGACAGGCACAAAAAAGAAGAAAGTTCACATACATTATACATACTGTGTGTATATACATACATATTTGGCAAAAGGCAAGGGGTTTCAGAGACCCTTGTGTGGTATCCCAGCCACTAGGGTATAGACTTATCCACTGGGGTGCTTGGGAGAGCTGGGAGCACTAGAGAGACTGGAAGAGCTGGTGTGAGCCACCAACTATCCAAATATAGAACAAAAGCGGCACAAATGTCAGCTGCCAGGTTCTGTAGAAGCCCAGACACAGTACACCATTCAGCCTAGGAGGGGAGAAACATTTCCCACAGGGGCAGAGACCAGAGCTAGGAACAGCAGGCCCCTGTGGGGAACAGCTGTGGTTATGAGTTACCAGAGAATCCAGTGTGATTACGGGGAGCTCCTACGGGCTGTGCCACTGGTACTGGGGCACCGTAGAAAGTAAGGGAGGGGACAGGCCAGCTTGGGGGAGGGGGGTGTTGTATGTGTAGACTGGAGGCTAGCAAGAGGCTGACACACGGGGCCAGGGAGAGGATATAGAGGCTTAGGCAGAGCTCTGAAGGAGAGAAGTGGAGGACGGGGTTGAGTCACGGGGCTGGGAGGGTTGGGAGAAGAGGCCTGCCCCTTCCTCTAGGAAAGCAGGGACCCCACCACCACCACCACTAGCACTTGGATCTCTGCTGTCCACTCCTCAAGCCCCTGTTTTGCCACCCCACACCATAAAAACAGGTCAGAGCGCAGAGGGAGCTGACTGGTGGAGGCGGCGTGCCAAACAGGTTCTGAGAACCCAGAGGGCCTGGGGAGCAGGTGGGGCGGGGCCGGGCCCCACCTGAGTGGGGCAGGTCTGAGGAAACTAATGCCCTTTGTGTCCTTCCAGGAGCTCTCTGGGCAGCGAGTCCCTTTCCTGTCCCTCCCATTGATGGTGGGAGGCTGGTGGCTTCACTGGCGACTGCAGAGGGGCCTATGGACCTGCCAGAAGGCCAGGCTGGCAGTCCCACTACAGAAAGTAGGTGTCTGGGCCCCTGTTTGTCCTGGAGGAGGAGGAAGAGGGGGCTGGCTGGGATAAGTGGGTGTTGGGCTGTGATTTGGGGACTTGGGAGAGCTGGCTTGGATGTGCAAGATGAGCAGGAGGGAGCCATGGTGGACTGTCTACTCTGCTCCCACCAGCTGCCATGTCCCATCTCTCTGCTCTGGGAGGCCAGGCTGTGTGAGGGCAGAAATCCACATGCACTATCTGCATGGAACATCCCACACTCCACCCCCTCCCTTTAGACTGCCTATAATTATGGATGAAACAGCTTCCCCATCGCCTCTGTCCTGCCCTCTTCCCTGCTAAGCTGCCCTTCCAGCACTGACGTCTGGTGTCACCTCTTTAGCCTCTGTCCTCTAGAGTACGGTGTCCCAGAAGTGAGCCACAGGTGTAATTTATAAAAGGAAAAAGGTGAAATGAGTATTGATAATAGATTCTATTCAACCTCCTATTGATCCAAACTAGTATCTTTTCTACATATAACTAATAGTAAAATATACCAACCCAGTCTCATTTGTTTCCAGTGATGTTTTCTAGCTCTTAATGTAAGGCTAGGCACGGTGATACATTTCTATAATCCCAGCTATTTGGGAGGTGGAGAAAGAAAGAAATCTCAATCTAAGGATGGCCCAGGCAAAAGTGCGAAACCCTGTCTGAAATGGCAAAAGCAAAAGGATTTGGGGCATAGCTCAAGTAGTAAAGAACTTGTCTAGGTAGCATAAGGTCCTGAATTCAAACCCAAGTGCCACCACAAAAAAAACCAACCTGTGTATTTTAACAGAGTATCTCAGTGTGCCCTGTCAGCACTATCCTAGCTTGATGCATTTAGAAGGAACTAAGTTACTGTGTGAATGAATGTGTAGACACAGACAAGTTTGTGAGTAACACCTTTGGGAAGGTGCCAGGCAGGAGAGCCTAGTGTGATGGCAGAAACAAGGTCCCTTTCCTAGAGACTCCCAGGTGTTCCTGGCACAGCCTGCAGCTTGTCCCAAGGCCCTTGTTCTATGCCATGGGCTCAGGAGACTTGCCAGATTGGTGGATGATAGGTAGCTCCCAGGGTTCTGGTTAGTAACTGCTGTCTGAACTTCTCTTATACCAGCAGAGGGCGTGAGACCACTGGGAACAGCGTGCACAGGCTAAGCCAGCTCCAGAGGCACCCTTAGGAGAGGGGGACACACCCAGGAGATGCAGAGAGAGAAAGACCAGGAAGAGACAGGAGCAGGGAAAGAGAAGGCTCAGGGAACAATCGCTGAGATATGGGAAGAGAAACACAGGGAGGAGAGATGAGGAAGGAAAGCTGAGTAAGGACCATAGAGACACAGAGGCTGGGCCCAGAGGAGAGAAACACTGGGGAAAAGATAAAGAGAGGCAGGGATGGGGAGATAGGGGCTCTGAGGAAGGAAATCAAGGAGGAAAGACGGAACAGAACCGGTGACATCTTGCTGTGGTCAAGTCTCTTGCTCAAGACCACAGGGCCCCCAGCCCAGGTCCCTGGTCCTGTAGACTGTGTGCAGTGAGCTGCAGCCCCCAGTAGGCCAAGGCCAAGAGAGAGATTTGGGGGCCTGGGAGAGGCTGGGTCAGTCCAGGGACTCGTGGAATGGAGAATCTCCCCTAAGTTATGGAGCACTTATCAAGCACCTGCTGCATGCCGACTGATGACATTAGCAACCCTGGGACAGGCCTACATGTGTACACACACATACCCACTCATGCACGTGAATGTGAAAGGCCAAGCTCTTTGCCCACGGACATGCAGCTGGGCTCTGAGCCCAACTCTGTCCCGCAAGCATCACCCATCCCTCCCCATCTCAGGCTCCAGGCCTCAGGCTCCGCTGGCTCCTATGATGCTATCCTTGGCTGAGGATAAAGGGAGGGAAAGGACCAGGTCCCTGGGGCAGACTGGGAGACCGGAGATGAAGTGGGCAGGATCGATGCAGGCCGCCGTGCTTTATTGGATTGTTCCTGGCTCCTAAGCACCCCCACCTTGCCCGTAGCTCCTCCCACAATCCTCTCCTCCTTGCCCTCCCCAACTCCTGGTCCCCTCAGAGCCCAGGCTGGGAGGCTGGAGAAGAGAGGAGGCAAGGATGACATCAAACTTGTGATCTGGAGTCCGCAGCCAGTTGGACACACAGTGACTCAAAGACCTTCATGTTGTCATCTCACCCACCGCTTCCTGCTGCTCACCCCCAGTTCTAGCCCCAAGCATCTGGGAGGGAATTCCCTCCCCTTGGCAGAGCCCAAGGGCTGAGGACCTGGTGTCCCCATCTTGTCTCCTTAGTGTACCTGTGGGAGCAACCTGAGGAAGTGAGCTCAGGACCACTGCTCAACCTAGAGGAGCAAATTCTCAACTCTACGTTCGAAGCCTGTGACCCTCAGAGGACAGGTGGGGGGACAGGGGAGCAAAGGAGGGTGTCTGGGAACTGGAGTACCACAGAGGACTGAGCTAGGGGCCCTCCTCAAGTCTCCTGAAGGAGCAAATAGGTGATTATGGAAGCTTCAGGAAAGGGGACGGTGGTCTTCTAGGATGGAGAGAACTTGGGAAACCCTGATGGAAGAGGGAGGGCTTTGGGGACCACCCTGGGCCTGGGGAGCATACACTACTGCTCCTCCACTCTGTCGTCTTTGGTCCACACTGTGGGATGAGTAGAAAGTTGACTCAGAGGAGAGACAAGGACCTTCCCAAGACATCTACACGCCGTAGGCCAGGGGCACCACCAAGCTAGCCAGCGACATCCTGCACCCCCATACTGCACTGCCCAACCCGGCCCCACCCATGGTGTGCTTTCTCCCAGGCTCTGTGGCTGTGACACATGTGCTAGGCTACTTGGAGGCAGTGACAGGCCAAGGTCCTCAGGATGCACGTCTCCAAACGCTGGCCCACAGTCTAGACCCCGACGGGCAGGGCCCAGATGCCACTGTAGACTTGGACACCTTCCTGGTGGTCATGCGGGACTGGATAGCTGCGTGTCAGCTGCATGGGTGAGTCCCTGCACCTCCAGCCTGTCCGGGGAGGTCCTTATTCAAGTCTAACCCTCATACCTGCTTACTGCATCCAGCACCTGGTCGGCCCAGGGACCTACTGTGGGTTGAAATGAGGTTACAAAGGCGAAAAAAATTACAAATGGGGTGGAGAGGGAGGGGTACAGGGGTTCTGCAAGGCAGAAACAAAAGGGGTCTGGAGATGAAGAGAGCCCCTGCCCATCCCTTCACCAACCCAGTCCTGGCCCCTCCTGCTTTGCCATCTGGCCCTGGGCACTTGCCATCTGGCCTCACCTTCCTCCTGCAGCCACCCACTCTCACCTGACTCATCCTCCCCCCTCCCTGCGCTGTCCCCTGCCGTGGCAGGTCCCAATTGTGGTGGCTGCAGGGGGCTAAGCCTCATCCCTTTGATACAGGGGATTAGAGCTGGCAGAAGAGACCGCCTCGGAGGGAGCCCTGGCCCCCCAGCACCTGCCATCTGGTGAGAGGCTATATATAGAAGGACTCGTGTGGGGTCAGTGGGGTGAGGGGGGAGGGGGTCCCCATCCACCAGAGAAAGGGATGAAGGGTAGCTAGACCTCTTTGCTCTCCCTTGGAGCTGTGAGTGTGGCTTTCTAGGTGCCTCTCTGACTGTCCTGTTGTCTTCTCCGAGCTTTTAGGTTTGGGGTTTTTTCCCCCAGGATTGTTTCTAACCCTTCCTCCCAATACTACCCTGTTCTAGACCCACTGAGGACCTGGTGCCGCCTCCTTCTGCTCCAGTCCCCGCAGGGTCTCTTCCCTGGCCCTCAGGTCTACCCTGCCTGTCCTCACCCTTCACACCTCAAAAGAAAAGACCTGAGGTGCTCAGACCCCCAGGTTCCCTCATTCCTGGTTCACTGGTAGACCCAGATGCCTGTTTCTGGATCAGCTGCCTGGCTGCTCAGGCCTCGCCCTGGGTCAGGGTGGGTTGCTTTGCTCACTTTCCTGTGCCCAGGAGGTCACACCAAGGACAAGAGCCTCTATCTACAAAGGTGGCCATATCTCTATCTAGGCACGAGTGGCTCACACCTGCCAACCTAGCCACTCAGGAGGCTGACATTTTAGGATCACAATTCAAAGCCAGCTTGTGCAGAAACTGAGCAACTATTATCTCCAGCCAAAAAGCTAGAAGTGGAGCTGTGACTCAAGGAGTAGAGCACTAGAGTTGGATGAGAAAATGAGGAAATAGAGCCCAGGCCCTGAGTTCAAGCCCCCCTCAGTACCAGCACACATAACAAAAAGTGGTCATGTTATATTTCTCTTGCCTTATGAAACCCAAACTAAAACTGCATATTGCTAGCATCTCTTAGGTCAGAAGGGGCAGGCTGCTAGGTGGCAGTGGCTCACACCTGTAATCCTAGCTACTCAGCAGGCTGAGATCTGAGGATCATGGTTCGAAGCCAGCCTGGGCATGAAAGTCTGTGAGACTCTTTTTTTTTTAATTTTAATTTTTATTTTTTGTGAACATACTGTACAGAGGGGTTACAATTACATGGGCAGGATAATGCGTACATTTCTTACCAAGCATTGCAGCCTCCTCCTTTGTTTACCCTTCACATCCCTTCCCAGCCTCCCCCCACCCCCTGTGAGACCCTTATCTCCAATTAACCACCAGAAAACAACCAGAAGTGGCGCTGTGGCTCAAGTGGTAGAGCACTCACCTTGAGCTGAAGAGCTGAGGGATAGCGTCCAGGCTCAGAGTTCAAGCCCCATGACTGATAAAAAAAAAAAGAGGGGGGGGGCAGGCCAGCTGTGGGCCCAGTAGAAGGACAGGAAGAAGAGAGTGGAGACCAGGAAGCTGGCTTGAGGGTCTAGTAGAACAAGTCTGAGCCAAGTCAGGCAGTGGGAAGAGGAGGGGTAGAACAGAGTCCCAGGTAGGGGTACAGGCCTGCGTGCAGACAGACTGTGGAGATGAGGAGGAGTGGGCTGGAACCTGGGGAAGTTGAGGTGCTGCCCAGCGTTGGGCATAAGGGAGGAGGAGGGGCTTAGCCCGGCCATGTCGACTGACCGACTCTCAGGAAGAAATGAACAAAGGCTTCAGAACATGGGCCAGGCCTGCAGCCCTGGGAACTCCAGATGATGACTCAGAGCAAAACAGAAGACCAAAGGGAGAGGAAGCCATGGCTCTGGAGTGGCCCATGTTTAGGTCACTATGACGCCCAAACCCCTCTTGTCTCCCTCCCACCCCAGGAAGCTCAGAAGCTGAGGAGCCAGCCAACCTGGAGAGCTTTGGAGGCGAAGACCCCCGACCCGAGCCGTACCTATCCTCAGGCCCTTCCCTGCCCCTCCTCTCCCTGTTTTCTCTAATCTGCCCAGATGTGGGTCAGGTTTGGGGTCCTCTAGGGGACATGGGCCAAGAGCTGGGGAAGAACAGAGCAGTCCTGCTCCTGTTTCTTCACATGAACCCTGTCTCCCTCTTAATGCCTCCCTCCCCTGTTCCCAAAAGGGGTCTGGCTGTGCCTTAACTTGGCCCTTTTTGGCCCCCAGGCCTGCCACAGCTGACCTGCTGAGCAGCCTGGAGGACCTGGAGCTCAGCAACCGGCGCCTGGCCGGGGAGAACGCCAAGCTGCAGCGCAGCGTGGAGACAGCCGAGGAGGGCTCTGCGTGCCTGGGCGAGGAGATCTCCGCCCTGCGCAAGCAGCTCCGCAGGTGGGTCCACCCCAGCACCCGGGCCAGCTCACTCCTGAGAGGCCCCAGCCGTGTCCGGCTCTCTGCAGCCCCTGCCCCGTGTCTCAGCCCTGTACTTGTCTTCCTTCTCTTCGCTCCCTTGCCCCTATTCCTTTGGTTCTTGTCTCCGAGACCTTGTAGTGCCCTCCCTTAGGCTCTCTCTCCTTTCCTCTGTGATGCTCTGTGTCACTGGCCTTTTCCTGCTTCTGCTCACCATGCCTCATGTCTGACACAGTCCACACTCTTAGCCTCCCACTCCCCAGGTCTCTGTTCACTTCCTCAGTGGAAAGATGAACGGCTCCTCCAGCCTGCACTGTGCTGCCCTTCTCTCTCGGGGTGTTCCCTACTCGGGATTCCTTTGCTCCTGTCTCTCCCCCTTGCTCATCATCTGGTCCTTGCTTCTGCTCCACACAGCACCCAGCAGGCCCTGCAGTTCGCCAAGGCTGTGGACGAGGAACTGGAGGATTTGAAGACTCTGGCCAAAAACCTGGAGGAACAGAATCGCAGCCTCTTGGCCCAGGCTCGGCAGACGGTGGGTGCCAGCCCAGGGGGCCACCAAGGCGCCTGGCCCGTTCCCTTCTTGACATCAGCCAATAGAGCCTGGCTGTGGGGTAGGAGGGGCCAAGGTCATCTGGCTTCCTCCCCTGCTCCAGGTCCTACTTTCTCAGGCCTATCTGCCACCTATTTTTTTGACTCTAGACACAGTCCTGTTCTTTCATGCCCCGGACCCTGACTGTGCTCTTGGGTGGGGTGGGGGGCTCTGGGGAGCAAGTCAGCAGCAAAAGAAGTCTTTGTCTTGTCTGGGTTGCCCAGGAAAAGGAGCAGCAACATCTGGTGGCTGAGGTGGAGACTCTGCAGGAGGAGGTAAGCCAAGGCCTGGAGGCCCTGAGTCCAGGTCCGCCCACTCCTAGCCCTGCCCCTGTCCCCCTCCAGGCCCTGGCTGCTTACAGCAAACCAGCCTCAACCTGAAGGGGAGAAGTTCAGTATCCAATAGTGCTGGCTTTCGCTGGAGTCACAGCACAGAGTGTGAGGGGGCATGTTTGACAAGAATATGGGGAGGGGGTGGGAAGGGGAGGACGAAGGCGCCCGAGCTCTCGGCACACATGTCCCCTTCACTGATGTGATATGGGGGGCTGTGGAGGATTGAAACCAGAGGTCTTTTGGGAGTCTGAGACAGCAGCAGGACACAATGCCCATGCTCATCACACAGGCCTGCATTCAGTGCTCACCAGCATCATTATACAGTCATCCTGCTACAGTACAAAGAACATAGGCAAGCCGGGGCTGTGGTAGAGCACTTGATTAACATGGCAAGGCCCCCCTTTAGTCATCCCTAGCACTTGCACATCAACCAAAGTGGAAAAGAACCCAACAAGAACAGGGACTCCCAAGTCATCCCTGAGTTTCAATCCTGTCTATGCCATGTACACACAGGCACCCTGGAGAGACACATGACACCTCCCTCCCAGTCCTCATCTTTTTGTTCTTGGTTTCTTCCTTCTGAAGTGGTAGGAACAGAATCCAGGGCCCAGGACCCGAGAGACAAGCACTGTCACTGAGTTGCTTCCAGTTGAAGTGCCTTGACCAGTGCATGGGACTTCCTAGGTGCTCTCTCCCTCACTGGCTTGCTGGCTCGCTCGCTCAATAAACTGGGCTATTCTTGGCTCCCTCCTCGCCACCACAGCTGCTTATGGAGCAGCTATGGATTGAGTGCTCAGGTTACCACGGGTAATGCTGGGTAACGGACACTCAGCCCTCTGAAGGTGCCGCTGTGGAGATCCTAGCTCCCATCCTGCAGGAGGCAGGACGGCTGAGTAGCCAGCTCCCCGCCGTGCGGCCTGGCCCTGGCCTGCAGATCCCCACCAGGTGGACAGATGTTGACACAGCATTCCTGGCCTGCCCTTCCTCCGCCCTTCACCTGGCAGCCCAGGCCCGCTGAGACAGAGCCAAGGCAGCTGATGGAGGATGTGGAGCTAAGCCAACCAGAGGGGGAGGAGCAGGCCTCCATCCCTGAGGACACAGTAGAACGGCTCAGCAGCCTTCGTGGGCCTCTGTGGCCCCAAGGGCACAGGAGAAAGGCTCAGCACCTCTTGAAATACATCTTTTGTGACCACCTCATCCTTTGTGACCACCTCAACAGTTCAGCCTGCAGACTTGGGCCATCTTCCTTCTTTTGTTTTTTCTTCTGGTATTGGGTTTGAACCCAAGGCTCAAACTCTGCTTACTTGCTCCACAGGTGTCCTACCACTTGAGATATGCCTCCTCTGGTTGGCTTTTTGCTCATTTTTCAAGATGGAGACTTGAGTGTTTCTCTGCCTGATCTGACTTTGAACAGTGTGATCTTCCAAATCTTAGCCTCAGCTAGGATTGCAGGGGTGAGCCACATACCCAGCCTGGCTGCTCACCACAGTGAGCAGAGCAAAATCAGCCCAAGCAAATTGGGCCAAATTCTACCTGGCAACCTATTTTTCTTTCTTTTTTGTCAGTTGTGGGGCTTGATCTCAGGGCCTGGGACCTGTCCCTGAGCTTTTTTGCTCAAGACTAGTACTCTACTACTTTGAGCTATAGCACCACTTCCAGTTTTCTAGTGGTTAATTGGAGATTAGAGTCCTGTCTGGGCTGGATTTGCACTGCAATCCTCAGATCTTAGCCTCCTGAGTAACTGGGATTATAGGCGTGAGCCACTGGTGCATGGCCTGACAAATCTTTTTCTACCACAGAAGTGATAAAGGGAAAATTTACAGTTAAAGATAGGGTACCCGCTCCCCGAAAGCAATTGGGTCTTTGTGTGGATCTTCACCAAAACAAATGAAATGTTCAAAGGCATTTGTTTTTCATTTTTGGTTTTGGTTTTTTTCCAGTCCTGAGGCCTAAACTCAGTGGCCCGGGCACTGTCCCTGAGCTGCTTTTGCTCAGGCTAGCCCTCTAGCACTTAAGCCACAGCACCACTTCTGGCCTTTTCTGATTATCTGGTACTGAAGAATCGAACCCAGGGCTTCATATGTGCTAGGCAAGCACTTGCCATTAAGCCACATTCCCAGCCTATAAAAAGGTATTTGGGAGATTCCCTAGCCCTCCATACGAATGACACTAAGGGGTCATTGCTTGTTGTATGGATGGCGATGTGGTCCAGCTCTGTGCAGGAAGGCAGTGCTCAGGTAGGAGACAGTGCTGCAGGAACATCCGATGGCGTAATGTGGTGCTTTTGCTTTAAAATAATTTTAAAATGAGAGGTCTGGAGAATAAGCAAAACAAGGAAAAGGCATAAGTTATTAGAACTGACAACTAATAATGGCTAATGGAATTTTATGGTGAGATGTGTGTGTGTGTGTGTGTGTGTGTGTGTGTGTGTGTGTGTGTGTGTGTGTGTGTGTATGCGCGCGCGCGCGCACGCACATTACTGGTTGATTTCAGGGCCTTGGACTTGCTAAGCAGATGTTCTGCATGAATCACACCACCACCCTCTTTTAGTTTTTTCTCTTTTTTTGTCAGTCATGGGGCTTGAACTCTGGGCCTGGGTGCTGGCCCTGAGCTCTTCAGCTCAAGGCAAGCACTCTACCACTTGAGCCACAGCGCCACTTCTCGTTTTCTGGTGGTTGATTGGAGATAAGAATCTTATGGATGTTCTTGCCCAGGCTGGCTTTGAACTGCGATCCTTAGATCTCAGCCTCCTGAGTAGCTAGGATTACAGGCGTGAGCCACTAGTGCCTGGCTTTTCAATTGTCTTTCAAACTGGGCCTTCCATTTTTGTTGTCCATGCCAGTCTAGACTGAAGCTCTTCATACTCACCCTTCCTGTGTAGCTGAAATGATGTGTGTGTGCCACCAGGCCTTGTTTGTTGTTTTTGTTAAGTTGAGGGGCTCAATAATTCCCCTCCCCCATGCAGGGCATCAGTGGCTCAGGCCTGTAATCCTAGCTACTCAGGGGGCTAAGATCTGAGGATCATGGTTCAAAGCCAGCCCAGGCAGGGAAGTCCTTAAGACTCTTATCTCCAATAAACCACTTAAAAAAACGTAAGTGGCGCTGTGGCGCTGTGGCTGAGTGGTAGAGTGCTCACCTTGAGCTGAAGAGCTGAAGGACAGCACCCAGGCCCAGAGTTCAAGCCCCATGACCGACAAAATAATAATAATAATAATTTTCTCCCTAAGATGACCTTGAACAGTAATCCTCTCAACACCTTCCAAGTTGCTACTGGGATTACAAGCATGAGCACTACGCCTGGTTATACTGTGCTTTCTACTTTTCGTGTATGCTAAAAGAAAAAAATTGTAATCCAATAAAGTGGGATATTCTTCTCTGTAATCCAAGCAGTTAGAAGGCTTGAAGCAGGAGAACTGAGAATTCAAAGTCAGTAGCTATATGAGCAAGACCCTGTCTCAAAAGAAGGATGGTTATCAGAGGATGTTAGAAATCATCAGCTCATTGAATCCACAGCAAGTGGGATAGGAAGTAGCAAATCGGACCCAAGGAGTAAGTTCTATTTTTCTCTTGCTTATTGAGAGAGAAAGCCACACATGAAGAAATTAGAGCTCAGGTCCCCCAGGATAGTTGGGGAGTTCAAGGGGCTAAGACATAGGAAGTGCTTCACAGGAGGCCTGAGGTAGCTAAGAGAAAGTTATGGCAGGCCGTTCCTTCCCCAGAATGGAAAGCTGCTGGCTGAGCGGGATGGAGTGAAGAGGAGGAGTGAGGAGCTGGCCACGGAGAAGGACACATTGAAGGTGCCACCCTCCCTCAGGCCTGAATCCCCCAGAGGGTTGCTGATGTTCAGGGATGTTCCAGAGCTGAGGAGAGGGCCTTGGGAGGATGGGATGAGCCAGAGGGAGGCTCAGGCTCAGGCTGAGGTGGCCTAAGGGTGAAGAGACTGATATGCTGCTTCCTCGGCAGAGGCAGCTGTTTGAATATGAACGCCTCATTTGCCAGCGAGATGCCATTCTGTCCGAGGTGAGGAGGCCTGGGGTGAGAACTGCTGCCCCCCATACCCCCTGCCTTCTGTCCCTCGTCTAGCCAAGGAAGTCCATGTCTGACCCCTAGAGAAGCAGCCCAGAGGGTTGGAGGTTTCCCTAAATTCACATGCATGATCCCATGGGATCTAGAGGTCCCTCTCCATCCTGTCCCCCACCCTAGCTGTCCCCTCTCAACCCCAGTCACCACATTCCATCCCCAACAGCAGCAGCCATGTTGGGGGGGGGCGGTGCTGGGCACAGTCTCAGGCACCTTTGGCTTTTCCAGCGCACCCTGCACGCCGAGAGCCTAGCCAAGACTTTGGAGGAATACAGAACAACCACCCAGGTACCCACCCCCTCTCCCGGCCTCGCCCCTCAAGGCCTCTTCCTGCCTGCCACACTTCCTGCCTGCCATGCTTCCTCCCTACCTGCCTGGCTGCGCACCTGGCTTCCACCCCTGCTGTGTGGCTGTGCTCGGTGGCTGCCTTCTCACTTTTCTCTGCCCCTCCCTCCTGTGGATCTCTGGCTCCCCCCAGTATGGTATCTTCTCTGGGCACCCCCACCCTGGCTCTGCTGGCGTCCCTGGTGTTCTCACCTTGGCATCTGTGTTTATCTGTCCCTGAGTGACTCAATCTCTGTGTGTGCACGGTGTGCACGCACACACACGCACACGCATGTGTTGATCCTAGGGCTTGAACTCAGAGCTTGAACTCTGTCCCTTAGCCTTAGGTTTTTTGCTCAAGGCTGTGCTCTGCCACTTGAAACAGCTCCATTTCCAGCTTTTTGGTGGTTCACTGGATATAAGAGTCTCACAGACTTTGCTGCCAGGGCTGCCTTTGAACTGTGATCCTCAGATCTCAACCTTCTAGGGTTACAGGCATGATCCACTGGCACCCTGACTCTGGAGCTTTATTCTTTTTTTGCGGGGGTGGGGGGTAGGGGGTAGGTCATAGGTCTTGACCTCTGAGCCTGGACACTGTCACTCAGCTCTTCAGCTAAAGGCTAGTACTAGCTCTACCACTTGAGCCACAGCTCCACTTCCAGTTTTCTGGTGGTTAATTGGAGATAGGAGTCTCACGGACTTTTCTGCCCAGGTAGGCTTTGAACCATGATCCTCAGATCTGAGCCTCCTGAGTAGCTAGGATTACAGGCGTGAGCTACTGGTACTTGGCTTTGGGGCTTTCTTCTTTAGGGGTTTCCCTGGCCTCTGCAAGCCCCTTAGCATCAGTGTCTGCCTTCTCTTTATTTCCCCAGCACTGCACTTGCTGGGTGATGCTGCTCTCTTGTGCTTCCTAGATCTGTCACTGCACTCTTCTCCTAGTCCCTTGGTGTGGTCTGCAGCTGGGAAGTGGGATGGATATGGGAGAGGGCAGGGGCAGAGGGGACAGCCAGGGGTGCCCCATGTCCAGTGTCCCTTTCAGGAACTGAGGCTAGAAATCTCTCATCTGGAGGAGCAGCTGAGTCAGACCCAGGAGGGGCCGGATGAGTGAGTGGCATGGGGGAGGGAGGAGGCAAGAGGGAGACCCAGATGGGGCTCCTGGCCTGTAGCCGGGTGGGCAGGGCAGGAACCCCAGGTAGGCTGAGTCCTGGTGGGCCTGGAGGCAGCCTCCTTTTCCCTCTGTGTGGCTAGGCTGCTGGAAGGGGCCCCGGTAAGAGGAGCAGGCTGGACTGCGTCACTGCCCCCATCGCTGGGTTTAGAGATCCAAGCCATTCAACAGGTAGGCACAACACCAGTCTTTGATGGAGAAACTCTGATCTGCAGCCCCAGAATTCTGGGACTGGGGGTCCTGGGGGAGCAGAGAGGGGCTGGTCAACTTGAAGCCCTAATCACACTGCTGCTGATCTTAGCCCTTCTTGAACTCTCTTGCTACCTCAGATGCCAGCTGCTGGGCCAGGACCAGCTCTCACCTGGCCCCAACTCATCCCCATCCTGACTGACTGTGACCATTCCTTCCTTAACTTCATCCCTAACCCAATCTGCGGTCCTGGCACCAAATCCTTCCACCCCAGTCCTGTGCCTTCCCCATTCCAGCCTCATGCCAGCCCTTTCCCTCTCCAGTCCCTTTATTCCCAGCCTCATGCCTAAGCCTGGCTCACCTGCATCTCCATCTTGGCCTTGCCTTCTGCCCTGGTCTGGCCTGCCCTGCCCTCAGAAACAACTTCTTCTCCCCAGAAACAAGAAGTGCCAAATACTGATCTCTCCAGTCCTCTGTGTGGTGTGTGGCAGTGGGAGGAGGTTCCAAGGGATCCCAGCAAAGAGGCAGAATTCCCACTGGCAGAAGCCCCCACTGACACTGACAGCCTGGCTGACGCTGATGAACAGGTGAGTGGAAGGGCTCAGAGACCTCAGGAGCCCAGGAGCTGGGAAAGGAGACCTCAGGCTGCCATCTGCCACCTTTGTTTCTTAACCAGTGAGCAAATGTTTAGGGAAGATCTGCTGTGTGCTGAACATTGAGCCACAAGCCAGTCATGATCCCATCCCTGCCCTGGAGACAGACACAAGGAAACAAACACAAATTGAGCTTTGATGTTTATTGTTTCCTTTTGTAGAAACATTGTTAGGCTGGGCATGGTGGCATACACCTGTAATCCTAGCACTTGGGAGGTTGAAGCAGGTCCACAGTTTGAAGCCAGCCTGTGCTACAGAGTGAGATCCTGCCAAAAAAAAAAAAAAAAAAAAGATAAAGCAAAAACAACAAAACAGAACATGAAAACACTGTCAGGATTTTAAATTGTATGGCTATAAGAAAACAAGTCGGGGCTGGGAAGGTGGCTCAGTGGTAGAGTGCCTGCCTTGCATGCATGATGCCCTGGGTTCAATTTCTCAGCACCACATAAGCAGAAAAAGCTGGAAGTGGCGCTGTGGCTCAAGTGGTAGAACACTAGCCTTGAGCTAAAGAGCTGAAGGACAGCACCCAGGCCCAGAGTTCAGGCCCCATGACTGACAAAAAAAAAAAAAAGAAAAGAAAACAAGTTATCTATCCTGTCACTGTGAGGTACATCAAGTATTTACAGCTTGCTTTGTTTGAGGCTTGTTTGTGTATCTTTAGGGTTTGATGTTGTTACTTTAGGATTTACATTTTGAATAGAAGGCACCTTTAAGAAAAACTTAACAGCCAGGCACCAGTGGCTCACGCCTGTAATCCTAGTTACTCAGGAGGCTGAGATCCGAGGATCACGGTTCAAAGCCAACCTGGGCAGAGAGTCTGTGAAACTCTTATCTCCAATAAACCACCAGAAAACCAGAAGTGGTGCTGTAGCTCAAGTGGTAGAGCGCTCGCCTTGAGCTGAAGAGCGGAGGGACAATGCTCAGACCCAGAGTTCAAGCCCCATGACTGACAAAAAAAAAAAAAGAAAAACTTAACAGTCACTATAGTATCTCTTCTTTAGGGGAGCATTCTACTACTTGACTGCACCCTCAGCTCTTGGATTTTTGTGATAGTCTCACTACGTAGTCCTGAACTGCCTCAAAATCATGATCCTCCTGCCTCAGCCTCCCAAGTGTTGGAATTCTTTTTACAGGCATGCATGCATGGCAAACTCAAAATAAGATCTAAACTTAAATAGCTACTTCTATAACTTCTATAATGACCTGAACATATTCATCATTTGAAACCCCTAAAGCAAGTTATCTTCAATACCCAGAACTGAAAACATTTTCTTCTGCTCCCTTTGAAAGAACTCCTTTTTAAAGAGAACATTGGAAGCTTTCTGAACAATATTGATCATCTTGAAAGCTCCACCACTTCAGACCTGTTCACCTCCCTTCCAGGAGAAACTTGTTTTCCCAGGGCTGGGGACAGACAGGCTGTAGGAGGTGCCTGATGAGAAGGGAGGAGAAAGACACTGAGCTTTACCTTATGACTGTGAGATGATGGACATCCAGCCACTACCAGAGGCAGTCAGAGGCCCACAGCTAGCGCTCAGGGAATGGCTGAGAAAACAGTTTTCTCAGTGATGTGTCTGGAGGAAACAGGTCCCTGGGTCATAGGGGTAGAAGGTGGGACGACTGGCCCAGGACAGACAAGAGAGTGGGGTTGGAAAGGAAAGACTGAGTGCCTTCTGGACACAGGCAAGTGGAAGGGTTTCTGGGGCACCCAAGGAGCCTAGGGTACCCGGGTTTCCACGTCCCATAGGAAAAGAGGGCTTGGTAAAATCCAAAACAACCGGCTCATTTCTGGCTTCTTTTCCTGGGGAATGATAGAGTCCTCCCAAGTGGGAGGCACGAAGGAGGACTTGAAGAAATGTGGTGGATTTGTGGGCAGCCTGCCGCCCAGGAGAGGCTCTGTACATAGGTCCTATGCAGATTGGCTCGGCCTCTGTGTGACAGGAGCTAGGGGAGATCTAACCTTTGCATCTCCACAGAGCACCTTCCATGGAGAGCCTGTGCGTCCCAAAGAAGGCAGCAAGAAGCCATCAGGGTGGTAAGGAGCTTGTTTCCCCAAAACCATCTCTATCTTTGATGGCATCCACACCAGGTGTCCAATGTAAGGACTGCACACCTCGCCAAGTCACATGGCATTTCCCTCACCCACTCATGGCTGCCACAGAGACCCCCAACAGCTGGGGCTTCTTGAGGGAGAGGACAGCTGGGGGCCCCACAGGACTGGTATCCCAGGATACCACTGGGAAAGAAGGCATAGATGTCAGGGGTTGGGACCGCTTGTGGTGGTCAGTTGCTCCCTGGGCCTCCAGGGAGTCCTGGGATGGATGAGACCTACATAGGTCTCATCCTAGATAGGCACAAGGCCATGTCCACGCCTCTGAGCATTTAGGAAGATTAGATGCTAGACCACGACCCTAGGGCCACTGCTTCCAATGGTGCCTCCCACTCCCCACTCTCCTTTCAGGCTCTTGCTGTGACAACTAATGAGGCTGCCAGTGCAGCCTCTAATTGGACTTGTCTGGCAAGAACTGAGATCGGGCAGACTGGGGGCTCGGATACTATGACCTCCCCCTGCGTCATCAGGGACTGGAAGGGAGAAGGGACGACAGGGGGGTGGGGCTGCTTCCAGCTGCATTTCCAAAGCTTCCAGTGAGACCCCAGGGTGGGAAGCAAGGAAAGAGGAAGGTGGGGAATCCTGCAGCCCCTAGGGGTGACCAGTACTGGGGGCTTGACCTAAAGGGGTACTCAGTGGCCTGAGTCCCAGGTGGGAATTTAGGGGTTCAGACAGTTAGGTCTGACTGACATAGAAGCTGGAGACCATGAGCTTAGACCCTGCCATCATATGTTTTGTATCCATGAGAACATGTGGTAATGGCAGATGTAGGGCTGGACCCTGGTCCCAACAGATGGCAATATAGACACGTCAGTCTTTGTGGGTCTTTGGGCAGCTTGGGACCTGAATCCTTGAAGAGATGGCTCTGACTGGTGGAGGTGCAGGGCTGAGCCCATACACCTAAAGGGTTGGGGTTGAACAGAGCTCAGAGCCTGGATTCTCCTGGGCAGGGAGTCCCAGTCCTCTTGAGAATTTGATGAGAAATCCTGAGAAGTCCATACTCAAGACCCCACCAGACCGCCCCAAGAGGACCCCAGCATTGCAGGCCCCACAGTGGCCTGGGAGTTGGAGAGAGGGGAGCCACTGAGTCACATTTTTTAGCCTCAGGGTACCCAGAAAAGAGGAGGAAGAAGAGGAGGAGGAGGAACAGGAAGAGGAGGAAGAGGAGGAGGAAGAAGCAACAGATAAGGAAGAAGAGAGCCAGGCCATGGTAGGCAGTCCCCCAAACTTCTTCCAGTCCCCATTTACTTCCACCCCCCAGGGGCTGATGAAATCCTCCTTGCCATCTTCTCCACACCTGCCCCCACATGCACACATCTCCACGCCTCGGGAGCAGACAGAAAAATCGTTTGGCCAAGAGATAACAAGGCAGTCTCTGTAGCTAATGAGAGTGTTTGGTGAGGTGGAGGAAGACCGGGAAGCCAGTGGGCGGCCAGAATGTTCCCAAGAGACCGTCCAGCCACACACACCCGGCTACAGCCACCACCCCACAGCCCAGGCAGACGTGGCAGTGCCCCCGGATTGCATAAATGCACACGCACATGCGCCCACACGTTGAGGTGAAGGCGCCTCCAGTCAGCCTCAGCTCCCTTAGAGCCCAGTGCCCACGCCAGCCCTGCCACCCCTCACAACCGCAGTGCAAAGTGAGGATCACAACCCGGAAGGGAAGAGAAAGAACCTGGGTGCTGAGAGAGAAAGAAGCCAGGCCTCTTCCTTGAGGAAGCTCAACTCCAAACAGGGGGCCCCAAATCTCCCCCTCTTCCCACCATATCCCACTCCCACAGGGACTCCACTGCAGCATCCTCAGCCAGCACCGCACTGCCTTCCCCAGCTCACCATGGTGAAGGGCCTGGCTCCATGCCTGGCGTTGTAGCTGGCAGCAGGGAAGACAGTGGTTGGGATTGACGGTGTTCCGGTTTTCTTGGGTGGTTGTCCCTGTCATGTGGAGCAAAGGTGGGGGTGTGGGCAGGCCTAGATCTATGAAGGGGAGGCTGGGGATGGTGGGGAGAGTCTGGTCTCTGGAGAAACCTTGGAGGCTTTAATCTCAAAGTGCCTGTGGGTCATGGCACTGGCAGGAATGCATATGAGATGTGCCAATGCTGCCCGCCACCCAGTCCAGGGATAGGCATCTGCAAAGGACAGGACAAGTGGAGATGACAGTACTGAAGCCTCCCCGTTATTTCTTTTCTTTTCTTTTTTTTTCTTTTTGTTTTTGTCGGTCGTGGGGCTTGAACTCTAGGCCTGGGTGCCGTCCCTCAGCTCTTCAGCTCTAGCGCTCTACCACTTGAGCCACAGCATCACATTCTGTTTTCTGGTGGTTTAATGGAGATAAGAGTCTCACAGACTTTCCTGCCTGGGCTGGCTTTGAACCACGATCCTCAGATCTCAGCCTCTTGAGTAGCTAGGATGACAGGCGTGAGCCACCGGCGCCTGGCGGCCTTCCCTTTCTTTCTCTGTACTCGTGCATGTGGCCTCTACTATAATCCTGTGAGGAGGAGACCATCATCTTCCCTGCCTAGCAAATGGAAAAGCAAGGCAGAGAGGTGTGATGATCTGCCAAGGGGCACAGCCAGAAGCTGGCAGAACAGTGGCCAACCTGGCAGCTTAGAGTGCGGTCACCGGGCCAGTGAGCCAACCCTAGGAGGCCTGTGTGGCTGCTCCAAGGCCAGGCCACAGACATCTCCTTTTCCTTCCAGGCTGCACTCCCTGTCCCTCTAAGAGATCCTGACTCTGGAGACACCTCACAAAGCCCTCCTGACAGGTAATGGGAACTGTGGGGCCGGGAAGGGAGCTTGAGACAAAGAGCCCAGGAATCATTACTTCCTTCTGGTCCCTCCAGCAGCCCTGTGGAGCCAGAGCTCGGTGTCCTGGTGCCTGTGCTGACAGAGCTGGTCCCATTTAGGCCGCCCTGGACCTCGCACTGCCTGCCTCCCCAGCGCCCCCACGTGCTCAGGTGTGCCCTAGAGGTGGCTTTGGAAGGAAGGGGGTGGCCATGGCTCCCCTGGGGCCCACCCTAACCCCTCTTTTGCCTCCCCTTCCCACTAGGATCACTTGGCACCTGCTGGTCCCAGGGCTGGTCCTGGGCCTGCTGCTGCTGTTGCTTTCAGTCCAGCTGCTGGGCCAGCCCTCACCCCCCACCTGGCCCCACCTCCAGCTCTGCTACCTGCAGCCCCCGCCTGTGTGAGGCACTCCCCTCCCTCTGAACAACAGCGGAGAACCCCCACCTGCACTTTGTACTGGTATCATATGCCCCTGTTACTTGGGCTCACCCCAGAGCCAGTACATGGGGAGGTCTCCGTCCGTGTATAGTATTTCTATGTGATGTCTCCCAATTGTCCACTGTCAGTAGCTCTACTGTAGGAGGAAGAGAGAGCACTGTGACAGACCTTGATCTGTAGCACAAGCTGGCCTGGAACTTGCGATCCTCCTGCTTTGGGCTCCCTGGTGCTGAGATTGCAGGCACTGAAATTTGCCTTCCACAGACCACTCACCCTTGTTAGCACTGACCATCTTCCTGTCTGACCTTCAGTACATTCCAATGCTATAAGCCCCTTCTGACCCTGAGAAGACTGAAGAACAAAAGGAGAGGAGGTAGAGATTCAGAAGTTCCTCCCAAAAGGATATGACTGGACTCCTACTCAGAATGCTGGACATGGCTTATGGCACTGGAGTTGTACAAATAATGCTTCCCATGATAAGTGAAGTCTGCATGTAGTCTTTATTTTTTGGTTTTCTGAAACAGTCTTGCTATGTAGCACAGGTTGGCCTGGAACTCAAGAGTCTCCTGTCTTGAGAGCTGGGATTACAAATGTGAACCACCACACCCAAATGATTGTTGGTTAGTTTTTTTTTATTTCTTATTAAAAAAACCTTTTGGTGGTACTGAGATTGATCTCAGGGTCTTGTGGCATGATTTGAATCATTCCCATAGTCCTCTGTGTAGTCTTGAAAAATGGGTGTGGATTTGTTACAGTGAGCACAGGAGGGTGGCTCAGGCAGACTGACTATATGAAGACCAGGCAATTGGGGGGAAGCAGTGTTTGTGAAGAATTGAAGCACCCTGTTGCTGGGATTAAAACATAATGATTTGGGGCTGGGAAGGTAGCGGTAGAGTGCTTGCCTTGCATGCATGAGAAGGTAGCGGTAGAGTGCTTGCCTTGCATACATGAGGCCTTGGGTTCAATTCCTCAGCACCATATCAGAGCTGGAAGCGGGCACTGTGGCTCAAGTGGTAGAGCACTAGCCTTGAGCTGAAGGGCTGAGGGACAGCGCCCAGGCCCCAAGTTCAAGCTCCATGACTGACAAAAAAAAAGATTTGAAGCTAGGAAGGATCTGAGAAAATCCATATAGTGGAAAATTTGAACTTTATTTTCAAGCTCACGAGAGGGCTGTGTGCAGGGGTAGACTCAAGGGGAAGAGGTGGGCTTTTGGAGCCCTATAGTGAGAAAGGCATGCTGAGGGTGGGACTGAGATCCATACATGAGCCGGGGTTAGCAGGTGGCTGGACTCCTGAACCCCAAATCCTGAGCTCCCTGTCTGAAGAGGAGTGTCATCAGCTGCGAATGGTGGCCAAAAGTCTGCCAGGGCTGAGTCCTCTTGGGAGGAGAGAAGGGAGGGAAGATGTTCCTGGCACCGTTCTGTGAAAATACTCCATTGCTAGGCCAGGGATGTGGTAGAAAGCTACTGGGAAGAGCCAAAGTTAGGCCCTGTCTGCCAGGCTCTCAGCACACAGGAGAGGGGGAAGGCGTCTGGTCCGCCCTCCGTGAGAGTCAGAACGAGAGAGCGGCACTAGAAGAGCTCCGGGCACCCAGGGACTGTGCATGGACATGGTTAACCCCTTTGTTCCTGGTTGTAGTGAGAAAAATCTAGAACCTGAAGGTTTGGTTCTGTCCTGTACTAGCTCCCATAACCTGCAGAAATTGCTCCTGACTTTCCGTCTTGTATATTAGGCTAATTCCGGATTGTTGTGAAAAATAGCCATTCCTTCCCTGTGCAGTTATTTCTGAATGACCCTGAGGAAGTCGTCCCGCCTCCAGGCCGAAGGGCCAATTAGGACCCAGTCCGCTTCCGGAAATGCAAATTTACAGGGGCCGCCTTGAGGATGCGCCAGCCCCGCCCCAAGTCCTGAAACCAATCAGAGCACAGAGCGCTCTGTGCCTCCCTCCCCCTCGTGCCCCTCGGGAAGAAGTTGCTATAGCACCACCGAGGGGCGGGGCTGAGGGGCTGGCCCGGCCTCTAGGGAGAGCTGGGTTCTGATTGGCTGCTTCCCCGCCCCACCTGCGGACCAGGTGTTTCCACTCCCCCCACCTTTTCCAATCCTCGCCAGTGTGACTCCCAGCCCCAGCCTGTGCCCCGATGGTGTCTCGGGAAGGTCGAGGTTTCAGAACCACGAAGAAACTGCGGGAGGCTGCTGCGGGGAAGGCGGGAAGCCTTTTGTACTGGAAGTATTTTATTAGTGTCGTGCTGTAGTGATCTGGAGATATCTGGTTTATTTCTCAAGAGAGAGGGAAAGGAAGCAGAAGAAGACTTAGGGCGTCTTTTTTAACATCAGAAGGTTTCGGGGGAGCCTGAGCTTGGAGGCCAGGCAGGGTGCGGGTCATACCAGAGCCCCGCGTTCTTTCCACTGCGCCCATGCTGAAGTCTGGGGGGACACAGCGAAGCCCAAAGAGAGAGAAATAGACACGCCAAAGAGAGAGAAAGGGAAGTGATAAAATTCCAAAGGCAGACGAGAACACAGCCTGAGAGAGGAGAGAGCCCCGGACAGGGCTCCGGGACCTCAGGGACCCTCAGAGAGGGGGGACGCGATCCCCAGGAAGCAAGCTTCTGAGAGAGGGCCATGACGGAAAGAGCGGGCTCCAGACGCAGGTCTCCCCCCTCCAGGGTCTCCAGCCCCAAGCGCGCGCACACACATACACACGCGTGTGCGCCATCCACACGTGCACATGCGTACCATCCGCACGCGCGCGCGCGCTGGTGGCGCAGGAAGGAGGCGCAGTCCAGAGCGCGAAGGGTCTTTATTGGGGAGGGCCAAGAGGGCCGGGGCCGGGGGCGGGGGCTGGCGGGGCGGGGCCCGGCAGGTGGGACGGGGCCCGGCAGGCGGAGGCGGGGCCTGCCGGGGCGGGGCGGGGCGGGGCCTGGCCAGGAGGGGCTGGTTGGGCCCAGCCGGGCCGCGGGGCTCTCAGGGCGCGTCGAGCAGCAGCAGCTTGTGCATGTAGGAGTTCAGCCAGTGGCGGCGCTCGAGGGCGGCCAGCAGCCGCGCGCGCTCCCGGAAGGCCGCGTCGTCCGCCAGCGCGAGACTCCGCCGCGACACCGGGCTGTCCCGACCCGCCGAGGTCCGGCCGGGGGTGCGGAGGCTGCGGAGAGACGGACAAGCTCCGTGGCTGCGCGTCCAGGCCTCCGCCCGCCTTCGGCGGGCCTCCCTCCGGTCGAACTCGAAGCCTGAGGACGGCACGTGCCTGTCGGTCCGTCCCTGTCCCTCTCTGTGTCTGTCTCCGGGCTCCGCGGGTTCGAGGCGCCCTGAGCACCAGGACCGCCCCGCCCGCAGGGCCGGGCACCGGCGAACCCACGAATGTGCCTCGACCACGGGCCCCGAGTCCACCACACCGACTGCTTTTACCCCAGCTCGCCTTTCTCCCGCTCTCCACCCCCTCTCCCCTCCGCCCCGCTCCCCTCCCTGCGGGTCTCCCCTCCCCATCCCGGGCCTCCCACCGGGTCCTTTTCTCTCCGGGGCCGCTCCCTAGCTCCCACCTGAAGACCCCCGCGGGGGGCAGAGCGACCCCTGAGACGGGGCGCGGCGCCCAGGGCACCAGCAGCAGCAGCAGCAGCAGCAGCCGCACCCGGGGGCTCCTGGACACCTGGCGGGTCTCCATCACCTGTGGAGAGAGACAAGGAGGACTCGCAAAGTCCACCTTCCCCACGCAGAACCCCCCACCCGCCTACCGCGCAGTGGGCTCGGGCAGCGCCGCCCGCAGCCCCCTTATATCCGCCTGCCCGGCCCCCGCAGCGGGCAGTGACGCAGGCTGGGCCGGGGGCGCCGGGTCAACCACCCCCCAGGCTCATTAGGAGCCGCCGGCTGTAATGAGGAGCCGGGGGTGGGGGCCCTGCGCTGCTGTGGCCGCCGCGAACTAATTGGGACCTGGAGCTGGGACCTAAGGAGAGGGAGAGGGAGACAGACAAGAGAGTTGGGCCTGCGGGGTGGGGGGCTGTCACCGAGATAAAAATAGAGGCTGTAGAGGGACGGACAGAGCAGGAGTCAGACACTGATGAGAAGCAGCAGGGACAAAGGGAAGAAACAAGCAGAGGGTGATGGAGGAAGAAAGAAGAGGCAGAGCGAAAATGAAGGAAGGAGAGAAGGGAGAAGGAAAGAGCCAGAATCTCTGGAAATGGAGATCAGATAGGAGAAGGAAATAGATGGACAGCAGCATGGACAGACATACCGAGATGTAAACTCAGCCAGGGAGACAGCTGGAGACCCAGGGAGGGGTCGGAAGGGAAAATAGGCAAAAGGTGGTCAAGGGCATACGGGGTGAGAGCGGAGACCCGGGTGATGGTAACAGTGAAGAGGGGACACAGTGACAGGGCCCTGAGTTCCCCTATAGCTGTAACCCCACATCCCTTTGGGGGATGGAGACAAAATCCACTCCCTCTCCCGTGGATCTTTTGACAATCCTGGGCTTTGAACTCCAGGACCTTCTGCTTCCTAAACAGGTGATCTACCACTTGACCACTTGAGCCCAGCCCTCCATCCTTTTCTTGCTGTATAGTTCCTTTTTTTATTCAGGTAGGGTCTCATGCTTTTGCCCTGAGATAGCCTTGGACTGTGATCCTCCTGCTTCTATCTAGGATTTTAGATGTGTACCACCAGACTCCGTTCAGGTAGACTTTTTTTTTTGGAGAAGGAGGGGGGGTTGGTCATGGGGCTTGAACTGGGCCTGGGCGCTGTCTTTCAGCTCTTCAGCTCAAAGCTAGCGTTCTACCACTTGAGCCAAAGTGCCACTTCCGGTTTTCTGGTGGTGATTCTCAGATCTCAGCCTCTTGAGTAGCTAGGGTTACAGGCATGAGCCAACAGCACCTGGCTAGTTCAGGTGGGCTTTGAAGAGAGGGCTCTGGGTATACAGTAGGGATGTTGGCAAAGGCTGGAAATCACAAAGGAGCAGCAATAATCTAGGGCATGCAACCTGGACTCTTAGCTCTTCAAAGAGGAGGGAGACAGAGAATGGACTCTAGGACCAAAGAGCAATTAGGGCAGGGACCCAGGCTCTGAGAAATGAGGGGATATGAGGACCTGGATTCCTGAATCTAGGAAAGGAAAGCGCTAGATGCCTCGATTCCTGGATGTGAGTTCCTAGTTGGGGACGTAAAGCTGCAGTGTCTAGGGTGGGGAGGCCTTAGATTGGGGGTAAAAGAGGGTGAAGGGCAGAACTCTTAATCCTTTTATTTCCTTCTCTTTATCTTCTTTTTTTTTTTTTTTTCAATACAGAGTCTCATCATGTAGTCAAGGCTGGTCTCACAGTTAAGATCCTCTTGCCCTTCCTCTTCTAAGGGCTGGGATTATGGACATGCAGCACTGTACCCAGCAGACTCCTCTTCAAAAGGAAGAGAGTTTGATTGTGTGACATCTCTCCCCAGATCATTCAGTCCCTAACTCCCTTCTCCACCAGAGACAGTGTCCTTTATCTCTCTCCCTAAGAACCGAAGCTGTCGCTAGGCTCCCAGCATCCCTAGAGAGGGATCAGGTGCGTCACCTATGTGCTTCGGGGACCCTAACTCCTGCCCCGCCCAGAGCCATTCTTCATCATTCACTCGACTCTGCATCCAGCAAGATTCACCTGCTCTTATCTTGGACATCACTGAGCAGGTAAGAGACCCCATGACCCCAAGTGACCCTGTCTAACCTCCAACTCCATCTGAGAGCAGACTGCTATGTCTGTCCAGGTGCTGGGATCCTAGCTCAATCGCCTCAGTAAACAAGGGAGATGAGGATCCTGCCCCAGAGCTCCCACCCCTATCAGCTCTACCAGGCTGTCTAGACTACAGACCCTCGGACTCAGGATTCCAAACTTCTTCTAGCCCAAGAGTTCAATACCCCCATCTCTTTTCTCCCCTAGAAGACAGAGCCCCCTCCCTTGAGAGTCTAGAAATCCTCAACTGGGCGTGGTAGCACACACCTGTAAGCCCAGCACAGTGTAGACTGAAGTAGGATTGCGCATGTTCCGGTGCAACCTAGGCTACATAGACATTTGTTTGTCTCAACAAGCAAACAAATAAAACAAATTAAAAGGCAATGTGCATGAATTTCTAGGCTTCTAACCTTTAGGAAAAATCAGGAATTTAGATCCATCTACCCCCACCCAGCTCCCACACGCTGTGGAACTCAGGGGGCTCAATGGCACCCCCCAAACCTCCCCACCTAAGAGCAAGAGTCTTCCTCCTCTCTCAGATCCTCAGTTCCAGTCCCCAGCTCTTTCAAGCCTCCTCTAGCATAAGCAACTCTATTTATTTATTTATTTATGCTTGGTTGTTGGGCTTGAACTTAGGGGCCTGGGTGCTGTCCCTGAGCTCTTTTGCTCAAGCCTAGTGCTCTACCACTTGGTGCCACAGCTCCACTTCTGGTTTTCTGGTGGTTAATTGATGATAAGAATCTCTCGGACTTTCCTGCTGGAGCTGGCTTTGAACCCTGATCCTCAGATCTCAGCCTCCTGAGTATCTAGGATTACAGCACCTCTAGTCCCCTCAGAAGTCCAACACGCCCCAAAGTTGAAGCCGAAGATGAATGGGGCCTTGAAGTGGTGTCACAATTTCCCAATTTTTCTAGGGCCCTTCTGGGAAACAGATAAGGAAATTAGAACTACAACTTCCAGGAAGGTTCACGGGCCCCTGGGTCTCCCCTAGCTACTGGGGCTACAGCCCCACAGCCTTGGAGAGTTACCATTGAGCTCTTTCCCTGGGGCCAATCTGGGCTCAGCTCAGGTCCACTTGAGAGTCTGTGGGCGTGGCCTCTTGCAAAGTGGGTGGAGCCTCTGGGTGGGCGGATCTCAGGGGGAAGAAAATTGCCTTTAACGCTTTCCTACCGGCTCCCCAACAGATAAAACATCTCTCGGAGCTATGAAACCCCTCAACCCCATCCTCTTCATCCTCGTCTTCCTCACGGCCCAGCTGGGTTGCAAGGCTGCTTCAACTGCCTCTCCCGTGGGCTCCGATGTCCAGGAGATGGGTCACTCCCCTGGGGCTTCTGAAAATTCCACTGGAGCCCTGACTAATGTAGAGTTCCCAGGGACCCTTTACCCTGAGCTCTCCAAGATAGCTCACACTGTCTCCCATGAGAACTCATCCCTTGATTCTACTGAAGCCCCTGGTCTTGACCTCCAGGAGACCCCACACTCAAAGTCTCCACTGACCCCAATGGCTGGCCCACTCATAACCTCTATACCAGAATCCCTGGACACCCCCAAAACTAACCCTACCAAAGCAACACGTCCAGAACCTCCTGAGTCCTCAAAAACTAACCTGACTGAAACTTCAGACCCAGGGCCCCCGGAGGTCCCCGAACCTAATCCCTCCAAAATTTCACACCCAGACTTTTCTGACCCTACACAAACTACACGCCAAGAAACCCCAGAAATTTCCAAACTGACTGCCACAGAAATTCCACCTGCTACCCCAAGTCTTGAGCCCACCAATTCCTTAAACCTCAAATCTCTAGAAACCCATGACCCTGTCACCACTGGGACCCCATACTCTGAATTACCCCCCACCACCCGTCCTGACTCAACCGGAAGTACCCACCCAGAGTCTCACGTCCCCCATACCCTCAGCCACACTGAGATTCCTGAAACAGAACTCCCCACATCCCACTATCGGGGTGCCACGGAGACCCCCACGACCTCCGATACTGGAACCTCAACAAACCTTTACCCAAAAACACCTGCGGCCTTTCTCGAGGGGACTACTGCTCTGAGTGACCCAGAAGCCCTTGCAGCCACTCAGCCTGACACCCCAATATTGCCCCCCTCAGAATCTCCAGGGGAGGTCCCTCCAAACTCAGACCCTAAGGGGCTGGGCACCCCTCCTCCCTCTGCCCGCATTGCAGGGCCCCCTGCTCCCCCAGGGCCCCCCAGTCAGCTGGCCCCTGACAATCCCCGGGCCCCAGAGCGGAGAGGCCGCGGTGAGAGGGTCAACACTATCATTGTGGTGGAGCGAGTGAAAGAGACAGGTAAGGGCTGGCCTGGCACTGATCGGAGAGAAGAGGCTAGGTCCTGAACCTCAGGCTGGGTCTGAGGGAGGAGGCTGGGGTCGGAGGGGGAAGGCTGGGTGTGAGGGAGGAGGGCTGTGTCTGAGAGGGGAGGCTGAGCCTGAGGGAGGAGTCTGGGGTCTGAGGGAGGAGTCTGGGGTCTGAGGGAGCTTGGGTTGCTGTCCCCCGCAGGCGTGGCTCTGGTGGGGCGGCCCCGCGGTGGCGGCGGCGGGGCTCTATGCCTGTTCTTCGCGGGGACCGGGCTGTTGATCGGCGTCGTCTTGCTGCTGTGGTGTCTCTACCGCCGGGCGGCCCGGCAACGGCCCTTCTCCCACCACCGGCTCCCGGACGGAGTGGATGAGCCCGGTGAGTGTCTGCCTTCCCTCCGGTACCCGTCTCCACCTCAAGTGCATGGCCCCCATGCTAGGTCATTAGAAGTCCCGACCCCCCCCCCCCCCGCCGCCACTCCCTAATTATCCTGCGTAGGCCCAGGATTAGCCGAGTTGGAAACTGCCGCAGACCCACATCACAGGTCCCTGAAGCCGGTCCCTTCAGTCCCCTGCTACGTGACGGCAGCTTTGCATTCCCCGCCTCTTCCCTGCGGGCCCCGCCCACCCTACCTGAAGGCCCCGCCCATTCCGTACAGGCCCCTCCCGCTCTCCGAAGGTCGAACCCCTAATAAGTCACGCCCTTCGTGCATAAACCACGCCTCCTTGTTTATTCGGTGCCCCGCCCGTTTGTTTGACTCCTCCCTCCATCCTCATTGGCTAGAGGCCCTGCAAAGGGGCGGGGCCTCCTGTCCGCCAGGTCCTGACCCCGCCCCCCTGCCCCATAGTTATGCATGTCGACGCCCCGAAGGATCCCTACGACCTCTATTTTTATGCGCCTGATGCTTGGATCCCATCGCACATCGCCACCAAGCAGCCGCCGTCCACTCCCCCGCTGCCGCCCAAGCTGCCCCCGCCCCCCCGCGGGGGGCGACCCCAGCCCCTGGAGGCCTTGTCTCCTGCCACGCTGCCCAACAACTTCGTGTGAGCCGCTTCTGACTCACAGTACCGACCGATCGGGGACATTCCCAGAGCGAGGGAGCACCCAGGAGTCCTGTCTCCCTTCCCCGCCCCGCCCCGCACGCCCCCACCCCGCCCCGCACGCTTCAGGGTCCACAGCCTCGAACCTAATAAATCCTGTATTCCAAGGGCTGGACATCCTTGGCCTGAGTTCTGCAGCAGGAGGGGCCGGGGCTGAGTCCCCTGGGATGAGGGAGGCCAGCTGGGGTCTGGACCCCTGGGTCTGAGGGAGGAGGAGTCATTGGCCCGCACAGCCAATGACAACTGAGTGTGTACACCAAAGCATTTTATTGGGAGGGGGGGCAGGGCAGGATTTACAATCACAGAGACAGAAACACCAAGACACAACCCTGCCCCAGGAAAAACACCCCTCTTTCCTGATCCCACCTCCTTCCTGGGAGTCTGTGATTTCTCCTACGCATAGACCCCGGACTGAAAGAGAGGTGTCAGAAGAGGGACGGGTCCCAGGTTTTGAGTCATCTAGCCCCTGAGGGACACAACAAATGGCCACTGAGAAACTGTGGGTCGTCTGAAACCACCCAGGTAAAGTGCAAGGATTTGGGGAGAAAAGGAAGGGGTCTTGAAACCACCAAGGGGAGGTTCAATGGTGGTGGCTTCAAACCGTTGAATTAATCCACTTGAGCAGCCACTATTTAGACCTGAAAGTAGTCAGAAAAAAGTGCATGGGATGGAGAGAGGCATGTTGCCAAAACTGCCATTTTGGTTGCTTCCCTAAACTTTGTGCTAAGCGAAGGAGGTTGGGGGATTTGGTTTCACAGCAGCATCTGCTGGGGGGGGGGGGGGGGGGGTAGGAGTGGGGAGCCTTGAAACCGCCATTTCCCCCTCAGAAACGCTGGTGAGAATCAAATCCTGGGAATGGCGGTTGGGGCTTGATTAAACCAACCTAAGAAATGCAGAATGGATAGGTGAGATTTGGAACTTCTAGAGGAGGACTTGGATTTTTTTTTTTCTGAGAGAGGGAAGTTGAGTCATCTCAGGGATTAGCCTGAAATGTCCGTGGGGGAGAAGGTTCCAAGGAAAATGGGAGGTGCCTCAAAACCAAAAAAAAAAAGAGTAAGAGGTTGAAGTGTCCATTCAAATAAAGCCCTGAAAGGAGACATTTGGAACCACTGAGGCAGAACAAGTGAAGAAGAGTAACCTTAGGGGAACACGGGTATCCTTGAAACTGCCAGTCTGCAGCTTCACCACCCCTGAGAGGCTGTGGAGAAAGGGAAAAGAATTTGAGGATTTGACTGCACTGGGAACTGGGCCTGAAGCTGGACAGGAAGGAGTGGGGTTCCTTAACACCATCATTCAGGCCCAAGATGTGTGGAGTGAAGGTCCTGGAAACTGCCATTCAGTGGGAGGCACCTGGTCAGTAGTCCCGGACAGGGGGTGGGGGCCTTGGGGGCTGAACTGTGCTGTGTGTGGCCCCATAGGAAGGAGGGGGAGCAGGGGGCGCCCCGGGAGGCTCAACATCATCTTCCATGTCACTTTCGTCACTGGCGGCCAGTTGGTCGTGACCAACGAAGCCACATTTCTCTTCACTCATCTCCTCTGGCTCTGCCCACGGCTGCTTCTCTCCAGAAGCAAAGACCCCATAGAAGATGACACCCCCATAATGCACCAGGGAGGCAATTAGGAACACGTACTGCCACTCCTCCCGAGTCTGTAAGGAGACAACAGAAGGTCAAATATTGGGGGGGGGTAGGGCTGACCATGAGGAAGGGTGAACCAGAGAAAGGGGTGGTGGCTAGTTATGCCCAAAAGGTACCAGTCCCAAGAAATGATAAAGCCGGCCACTGAGGTGCACACCTGTAATGCCAGCCCTGGGGAGGCCGAGGTGGGAAGCTCGCGATCTGGAGGCCCAGCGTGGGCTACTAACCTTGTGCTTCGTCATGGCACCCACGATGATGGGGCACACCATCCCGGACAAGGTGCCCACCCCGTTGGAGATGCCCATGAGGATGCTGGCGTAGCGCGGGGCGATGTCCAGGTGGTTGACGTTGAAGCCTGGGGGGAGAGGCAGCTCCAGGAGGCGCCCCTCGGGGCCGCACCCGCTCTGAGGACTCCCTCTGGGACGTTTCCCCCCACCCCGTCCCCCTCCGGCTCTTTTAAATCAGGGAGTCTCCTTTCTGAACCAGGACGTTCCCTGCAGAGCTCACAGGGCGCCCCCCCCCCCACCCAGAGCTGCGGCCCTGCAGTTCTCACCGGAGATGGCGAAGCCGCTGAAGCCCACCGCGAGGACCAGGAAGGAAATGGCCACGCCCTTGGAGTGCGAGTACCCGACCACCAGCAGCAGGGTGGCTTCCATGCCGAAGCCTGCAAGGGCGGAATCTCCTAGGGCGGGCGCAGGCTGCCCCACCCCACCTCCCCAGACCTGCTGCCGCCCGGATCTGTCCGCGTCCCCCGACCCCCGGCCTACCCCCAAGGCTCAGCCCTCGCCCACTCCCAATGCTTGTGGCCCCGCCCCCGACTAAGCCACGCCCCAGTCCCAGGAGCCGAGTCTCCTCTATACCTTGGTACCTCGACTGCCCGGGTGCCCCACTCAACAGTTCCTCTACAACCCAGCACAGGTCCTGCTCCGCCCATATCAGCACTGACCTGCCCCTCCCGACCAAACCACGCCCTCCCCGCCAAGCCACGCCTTCCCAAACCAGACACGCCCGCTCATGGCCAGGCCAAGCCACGCCCCTCCGAGCAGACGCTGTCCCTCCGGGCCAACCACGCCTTTCCAGACTAAGCCACGCCCACTCCGGGCCGAGCCACGCCCTCTTGAACCGACTACGACCCTTCAGGCTGGCCTAGATCGTGTGGCCTGACCACTCCCACTCCAGGCCACGCCCCTCCTGGGTCCCCTGGATCCTAGCTCGGCCTCTTTCGCGTGCCCAGCCACCCTGCGGTACTTCGAGATGACTCTGGAACTACCGTTTGCAAACTTGTTCTACACAGGTGGGTCCTCACCTGGGCGGGTCCTCTTGGCCACGCCCTTTGCCACGCCCCTGAGCACGCCTCGCCTCTCCGCGCCCTAGCCCCGCCCAGGCGGCCGCACTCACCCCCGCAGTTCATCAGCTTGCGCACGTTGGTGGTGGACATGATGCGGCGGCTCCGCAGGAAGTCTGCGATCTGCCCGCCGATGGGGACGATGATAGTCATGACCAGGTGGGGCAGCGCCGACACCAAGCCCACCTGCGAGCGCGGGGGTGCCGGGGTGAGGCGGGAGGAGGGCGGGAGCTGCCAACGCGCCGCCCGGCGAGAAGGCCCCGCCCCTTCTCCGCCGGGTCCCCGCTCCCGCCCCGCCTGCCCGCGTCCCCGCCCCTGCCCCGCCCCCTGGGGGGCTGTACTTTGCTGATCTCGAAGCCGAACACTTCTTCAAAGTAGGCGGGCTGGGAGATGAGGAGCAAGTAGAACGTCCAGCTGCGGCAGAAGTTGGCCACGATGATGGCATAGACCGGCATGGACGTGAAGAAGCGCCGCCAGGGGGTGTTGAATTTCTACGTGGGGGAGAGCAGAGAGGAGAGAGGCCACTGAAACGCGGGCCAGGGCGGCGTGCTTCCCAGTCCTACGAATCTCACTGTAGTCCCGCAGAGGATCCAGAACTGCTCCAGGGACCTAAAAGCGCTAGCCACACCCATTGCCCCGCGGAGACGCCAGAATCTGAGCCTCCAAATGGGGAAAGGGGGTTACAGGGAGAAGTCTTGACTGCCCAGTGCCTCCCCTTGACCACCCCCAAGTTCGCGGCGCTCAGGCTCCCAGATGACTATCTGGAACCCATAAAATATGAGTCCATGCTGGACGCAGGTGATCACACCTGTTATCCTAGTTACTAAGCTAGCTTAGATCTGAGGATCCGGGTTCCAAGTCAGCCTGGGCAGGAAAGTCAGTGAGACTTTTATCTCGAATGAACCAGCAAAAAGCTAAAAGTGTAGGTGTGACTCAAGTGGTAGAGTGCTAGCTTTGAATAGTAAAGTTCTGGGACGGAGCCCAGGCCCTGAGTTCAAACCCTAGTACCAGCACATACAAGAAAGAGAAAGAAAGAAGGAAGGAAAGAAAGAGAGAGAGAGAGAAAGGAAGGAAAGAAGAAAAAGAAAAACTAGGCCCATCTTCCACATGTAGCAAAATTCCCACATTCTAATCCAGCCTTTGCCGCTTTAGCCACGCCCCGTGGGCGGTTCTAATCCCCTAGGCTCTAGTCTCGCTCCTCCCGTCTTTAGTCCAGTCTCCTCCCAGACTACCAGAACCCTCCCGGATCCCTCCCTGCCCGCCCTGCTCCGTGCTTGAGTCCAGACCGTAACGGGGTTCATGAGCTTTGCGCTCTCTCCGATGGCATCCTCAATGTATTTGCGCTCCTCTTCTGAGATGCTGGGGTGCAGGGCAGGGGACTCGTAAGAGACGAGCAACCAGAACAGATACCAGAAGATCCCGAAGCTGCCTAAGGGAGATAAGGAGGAAGGCAGCAGCCTGGTGAGGACCAGTGATGATGGGCCTCGCTTGGTCCCGGCGCCACCCGGAACCAGGCTTCTGGGGCCCTCACCATAGACATAGAAAACAGAACTCCATCCTGAATACTGCACCAGGACCCCGGCGAGAGGCATCGCGACCACCGCCCCGGCATAGGAACCTAAGGAGAGGAGGATGCAAGGTAAAGAACAGGTCAAGTTCCTTGCATCTTGGAGCGTGGACCCCCTCAATCTTTTCCCTTTCTGTGACCGGCAAGTTCAGGCCACCACCCCTTCCTCCCATGCAGAACTGCGTCTCCAGCCCCTTCCTCTCACCGCAAAAGGCAGTGGTCGCCAAACGACTCCTTTCCAAGGGTGGGGCCCATTTGCTCCAGATCCCGTGGCAGGCGGGGTATGTGACTCCCTGGGGGGGGAGAAATGGCCAGGGTCAATGAGACCAGGTGAGATCAGCGATCAGCGAGGTGATGGGGCCAGACAAGACTGTAGTTTACCTCTACCAGTCCCTGCAGGATCCTCACGAAGATTACACAGCCATAATGGACTCGGGCAGCAGAAGGAATCAGCATGTTTAACGTGGAGGTAGCCACAATGGCAAAGCCGAAAACCCTAAAGGGAGGGGTAGAGAAAAAGATACAGCTACAGCCCAGTGCTGTGGTGTATGTCTATAGTCCCAGCTACTCAGGAGGCTGAGGCAGGAAGATGGTTTGAGTCCAAGGGTTCAAGACCAGCTTGGGCAACATACAAGGACTCTTCTCAATCAAACACATACACACACACACACACACACACACACACACACACACACACACACACACACGAGGGGTCCAACTGGTGAACTTGTGTTTCCCAGAACCCCGGATTCCACCTTCTCTGTGACACCCACCTTTCACAATCACAAGCCTCACCTTTACTAAGACCCGCCTCTAAGTCAAGGCTCCTCCCACTTTCCTGGATTCAACCTCCCCCAAAATTCAAGAGCACACTCGCTCCACCCACACAACTGTAATTTCCACCCACCTCGAGACCTTACCCCCCTCACCTGTTGGCTGCGAATTTTTGGCAGATAAATCCTCCAGGAATCTGAGTGACAATGTAGCCCCAGAAAAAGGAGCCGTGTATGAGGCCGACAGTCTCTGGATCCCAGTTGAACTGGGCTTTCTGCGGGCCAAAAGGCACATCAAACTAGCCGCCCGGCCCCCGACTCTGCCCTCCACCAATCAGCAACCCACACACTTAGCCCCTTGGCCAATCAGCAGCAGCGAACCCCTCCCTCCTGCCAACCAAAGCCCGCGCCATCCCTCAGTCAGAGTCCACGCCTGTCGCTGGGGCCTGTTCACCGCCTTAATTAACCGTAGAGCGCAGTGTTACATCCGTGACCCTCCCTAGGGTGTGTGGCCTCCACCGTCCTAGCAAAATAGGCAGAATTCCTAAATGGGCTGGAGTGGGAGATGAGGCTTAGGTACCCACCCGAATAAAGTTAGATTTAGTTAGTGACTGAGCTTCAGAAAAGCCAGGAGTGAAGAATTTAAGGTGGGAATTAAATAGATGGGTCCCCGGGGTCAGGAGCAAAATTGCTAGTAGGTCGAAAAAGAAACTCGGTGAAAGGCGTAGGGTACCTGACGCTGGGACCGGATATGGGGACGGGGCTTCACTTAGACTAGGGTGGGGTTTAAGGGGAGCCCCCCCCCAGGTGAGGTCAGCACATAGGGGGCGGTCCCCATGGGCGAGGCTGGCTGGCGGTGCGGGAGGTTAGAAGGGGCGTGGCCTGGACGGCGGGGCGGGGCGTCTTTGGGGGCGTGGCCAGGGCTCCCGGGAGTTCCACTGAGCCTCGGCTCCGCCCTGAACTACCTGCACCACCACGTGGCCCCCGCGGTGGGTCGTGCTGTTGTTGACCATGGAGACAATGGCCACGCCCAGGTTGCAGCGGATGCCAAAGCTGATGCAGAAGCCCAGACCGCTCATGATGGCGATAATGTAGCGGCGAGGGAGGCCGAAACAGGTGCAGTCCACCACCGGCGGGTCCCGGGTCTGCGAGGTCACCGGGCGCCCCTCAGCGCTCAGCTCCAAGGTCTCCGCACCTTCCTGCCGCTTCTCCAGAAGCCTGAGGGGCAGCGAGAGGCACGGACCCATTAGTCCCGGGTCCCGTGCACGGGAGTTCAGGGCAAAACCTGCTTTTCAAGATCCAGAATGCTCGGTTCCCCTACCCATCCTATCCCAGGAGGCTAGCCGCCCCCCCCCCACTCCAGCTGTCTTCCCTTAGAATGCAGAGGTTTGAACCCCCTTTCTCTCCCTCTCTCAGATCAGGAATTCAGGCTCCTACCTAGCCCTCTCCTTAGACTCAGAGGTCAAAGTCTTCGGTCATCCTCTCCAGATCTCTCCTCTCTCTTCTCGCAGGAGTTCCAGGCCCCAGACTCCCTTTGGGAATCTCAGAGCCTGTGCCTCCGACCCCAGGCTCTTCCCAGCCCCCTTCCCCGGATCCCCGGGTCTATTTGAGGAAGCCAAGGGCACTAAGCAGAGACCTCAGCAAAGGTGTCAAAAGAACAGATGCCTCCCAGGCACCTCTGCTATATATACAGCACTACCCACCCCCCCCCCCCCCTTCATGGCGTGCTCTTCCCGGCTTCCAGGGCCAGGTGTGAGGCTGGCATCCAGCTGACTCCACCAGAAGCCCATTCCCAGGAACACCAGGGTGGGGAGACTCTACCAGCCCCCCTCCCTGAACCCTACAACCCAGCCTGGACTTCCCCGGGGAATCTGGAGTTCACGCTGTCAGCCCAGGGGGCAGGGGAGCGGGAGTGGCGGCTGGTGTCCTGGCAGGGGACAGATGGCCCTAGTAGGGAGATTGGCTCATTCCCCAGTGTGCTTCTCGCCCCCGCCCGTTCTGGATCCAGGACTGAGTCTGGGATGATGAATAGGGCACTTGGGGGGGGTGCCTCCTCAAAGCCAAAGAGACACTTCAGGGAGAGAGACACATGGAAAAGACCCTAAGGGACAGTGACAGAGATGAGAGATGCAGAGAAAGACACAGAAGGAAAAAGAAAGATCTAGAGACAAGGAAGGGAGTCAGATCAGAGCAGAGGAAGGCAGAGAAAGAGACCCTTAGAGAAGTGGAAAAGGAGACCCAGAGTTGGGAAGGACATGGGGGTGCAGAGAAGACACAGAGACTCTGAGCGGACAGAGATTTGGAGAGAGAGACAGAGACCTCAAGAGAGGTAGGAAATGACATAGATGCGGAGTGAGGTGGGCAGAAACCTAAAGTGTTGAAAGATGGAGGGGCTCAGAGACAGGAGAGGTGGGTGGGGAGAACGTGATGCGTGAGGTAGAGCCCCTTTCTGAGACGGGTAGGCAGCTAGGGGATCGGGCTGGATCCCAGGAAGGGGCTAGAACAGATGGAGGCGAGGGAGACTAGGACGGGGGAGGAAAGAACAGCCAGACGGTCTAGGGGGAGGGAGGTGGAAGAGACAAGACAGAACACAGCAACCCCACCCTATCCTAGAACTTAAGGAGGTAGCGAGGGGAAGGTAAAAAACGGGTTGGGGGGGGGCAGTGGATAGAATTGGAAGGGGAAAGAAATGAGACTCTAAGAGAGGAAACACAGTCAGAGAGAGGAAATTTAAGTGCCCAGAATATACAGTGGAGGATGGCAGGGACATCTTTACAGCCTCCCCCGTCAGGCCCTGTCAGCCAATGAAATTAGACTTTGGCTGCCATCCTTTGATATTTGACCCTGAAACTCAAGATGTGATTGCAGGCCCTGAAATTTGATATTCCAGGTTTACATTATGAGATATCAGGTCTCTCCAACCAATCTTATTTTAACGGGGGTCTCAATATTCCACATCTATACAATGGGAGCAAGAGGAGGAATGTAAGTCATGGGGGAGGACGCAAAGTGATAGCAGTCATTTCAGGAACACACACACACACACACACACACACACACACACACACACACACACACACACACAAACCAGGGCCAGTTGCTGGTGACTCACGCCTGTAATCCCAGATACTCAGGAGGCTGAGATCTGAAGATGATAGTTCAAAACCAGTCTGGACAGGAAAGTCCGTTAGATGCTCATCTCCAATTAATCACTAAAAAGTCAGAAGCAGAGCTTGGTTCAAGTGGGAAAATGCCAGCCTTATGTGACAAAGCTAAGGAAGGCATAGTGCCCAGGCCCTGAGTTCAAGCTGGTACCACTTCCCCCCCCACTCCTACTCCCCCCCAAAAAAAAACACAGGGACACCACCCACAAGAACAGAGATAGTGACTCCTCTCCCTTTCCTGGCTGACCCCCAACCCAGATCCAGGGAACCTGGTAATGAAGAAAAGTAAACATTAGCGAACATTTAACCTAAAAGGTGTCTCCACTGCCCTGTCTCTGGATCTCTGTTCATTCTCACATCTCTGGCTCCAAATGTCCTTTTGGTCTTCGGTGTAGCTTCCCATTGTACAGGAAGAAAACTGAGGGGGGGGGAATGGAGGGGGAAATAACCTGCCCAAGGTCATGCAGAAGAATCTCCAAAGGGCCTGGCCCTCCCTGGCCCCAGGCCTGGCTCTCAGACAGAAGGCACTGCGCCTCATCTCTCCATCACTCCCTGGTCTCCCTGTCCTTGTCCCAAGTTGCCTGGGTTACCATCTGTTCCCTGGTCCAAGTGAGTCCTCCACCCACCATATTCATCTTGAGGAGAACCTGCAGCTTCTGTCCCAGCTTTGGGAAGGAGAGAGACTACACTGACTTCAAATGATGGGTTTGGGACTCAGCCACTGATGTCTCCACCTCCACTGCTTTGTGGGGTGGCATTAAATGATATGTTGTTATGGCCAATACAAGAAGCTCTTCCATGTCTCTCCAGCCATCTAAGTGAACCTCAGGTTTTGGAAGCCCTTGTCTGCTCACTGTTCTGGCTGGACCCCAAGGGGCAGCTCAAACAGGTAGAAAAGAGCAAGGTGAACATAGATGAAGAAAAATCCAGACCCAGATGAGGAATCAAGAAGCAGCCATGGGGGGAGGGGGATCGAGAATGCATCCCTCCTCCTGCCCCCTCCTGCAGCATGTCTCTCTCTCTCTCACTCGCTCGCTCTCCTGACTTCACACTGGTGTATTTTGAGAAACTCGTGAAAGGAGGTGAGAAAAAGGGTGGGGAGGGGCTGGAAAACTGGAAAAAGAGGGGGTGAAGTTATCTCAGATCTCCCTCACCCCCCACCACCACACAAATACTGCGCCATCCTGCCTCCCTCTGTCCAGCCCGATTCGTGTCTCTCACAAGAGGGTTAGGGATTGGGGGGTGGTGACTTTAGAGCCTGAAGATGATCTACAGCAAGAAGGACTAATGTTAGATTTAGGAAAGGACTTGAACGGCCTAGTGAGATGGCGTGAGACTCAACTAAAGACAGGGCCAGGTCTGTCAAGTCCAAAGGAACAGAGTTTGAGGGCATGGGGGGCAGAGGTATGGTCCTGATGAGGCCATCTCCTCCCCACACTGTGGCCAGATATTTTTAGGTTTTCCGCAGCTGAGTAATTTCTCTGACTTGGAGCCAGAGCTGGGGTTGGGGGTGAGAGACAGGGGAATCGTGTCGCCACTACCCTGAGAGGCACCCAGGTCACTGGGGTTATTGCTCTGGATGGGCAACTCTAGCCACGAGTATCCCTTGGGAAGTCTAGCCTACCTCAGGAGTCTTCTTTTTTTTTTTTTTTTTTATCTGGCCTGTAACTCCTTTCTCCCCCAAGGACCTGGGATACTCTGGCTTCTTCCTCCCAGCTTAACTCCACTCAAGGACGAGGATCAGTGGGCCCCAATCCGCCTGAGCTGCAGATTAAAAATCCCTGAGCAAGAGAGGCAGAGAGGAAGAGAAATTGGGGGGAAAAAAGACACCAAGAGTGGAATAATGAGACAGAGATCTAAAGAAGGGGACCAAAGATGGCTAGTGGGGGAGGGGGGCTCAGAGTGAAGGATTGATGGAGACTGAGTAAAGAGCAATGACCAGAGAGCCAGGAGGGAGACTGAGATCCCAGCCGAAAAGAGGCGACAGAGGTCCACCAAGAGGGGAGACAGTCTCAGAGCTAGATAGGAAGAGAGACCCATGGGGAAGGATACAGTGGTCCAGAGAAAGGAGACAGGGAGAGGTAGACAGGTGGACAGAGACCTCACCCTCTCATCGAGAGAGAGACAGAGACAGAGAGACACAGAGAGAGAGAGAGAGAGACCTGAGAAAGAGTAGATCCCAGGGTGGGGTGAGGTGGACTAGATCGATCACAAGGAGAACCACACAGAAGATCCAAGGAGAAAACTGGACAGATGGGTGGAACCCATGCACCCACGCCCCGTGCCGGGGTATCCAACGCCCGTCCATCTGTCCGTCTGCTCCCAGGTGGAGGCGAGTATCCGCGACCCCCCTCCCGGGACCCCCGCCCGGCTCACCGGTGCAGCCTCCCCAGGGCGCGACCCGCCAGCTTTCGAAACTCCTCCTGGCGGAACTCCATGGTGGCTGCCCCTGCTGCCGATCCCCCCCGCCCCCCTTTCGCGGGCCCGGGCGGCCGCGTCCGGGTTCCCGGGGTCCGCCCCGGCCCGGCCGGCCCCGCAGCTCCGCTCGGGGGGAACGAGGCTGCGAGTGCGGGCAGCCTGGGGGCTGTCACTGGATTCAGCGCCGGGGGCGGGGCCTCGCCGCCACGCCCAACGCATAGGGCGGAGCCTCGTCGCTCCGCCCAATCAGCGTGAGTCCCGCCCCCTTGCACATTGGACCCGCCCTCTCGGCTGGCAGCCTGGGTCGGCTGGGGTCTGTCTGCGGGCTCACATCTCCGCTTCGTGAACCACTCGGGTTCGGGCTCCTACTTCAGTCCCGTGTCCAAGTGACCCCTGTGCCTTCCGTCCTTCCTAGTTCGTTCCACCCAGATCTCCCGCTCCCGAATCCCTTCTCCACCCTTGATTTGGCCTCGTCAAATCTCCCTGCCCCCCCCCCATACCGTTAACTTCCTTTGCCTTTCCTGCGTTTCTCCTCCCGATCTCCATCCCTCCTAACTTTGTGACCTCTGACCAGCAACACCTCACCCCTGAACTCTGACCCAACCAACACCTGACCCCACCCCTGTCCCCCTCTCATCTCCAGTTCTCCTTCGGGGAAACTCCCCCCTCCCACTCTCAGCCCCGCCTTCCACCTGCCCGGTCCCCCCAGATTTATTCTCCTAACCCATGTTTTCACCTTTAACTTCCATCCTCTTCGGAATTTCATCCCTCATCTTCAGTACCCGCCTCTCCGCTGGGTGCGGCCCCTTCTTCCCCCGTTCATTCTCCAGGTCCCTCCCGACACCTTTCCCTTCGCTTTAGGTTCCCGTCCCCCCACTACCCTCTGCGACCCCTCCCCAAATAGTTCCCGCCCCCAGTCGGCGTGGCGCCCCTGGAATCTGAGCTGTATCCTAGCTCACGCTCTGGTCCGGTCCCCGTTGGGTTCAGTTTCGTCTCCGTCTTCTGAGTTTTGCCCCCAAGTCCCTAAATTGTCTACCAGGCTCTTAGAGGCACCAGACCGCTGCGCTCCAACCCCTCAAGTCTGTCTGCCCCCCAAGTCGGTCTGTCTCCCCGCAGCGAGCTCCCGGGCGATCTGTCCCGGCGCTGAGCTCGGTCTCCGCCCCCTGAACTCCAGCCCCGCCCCCTGGGGTGGAACCCCGACTTTCCTCTGCGCCAGGGTCCTGCCGGGTTAGGTCCCCAGACCAGCCCTTCTCCCGGGCTGAGTCTCCCCTACCCCCCGATCGGAGCCTGGGCGGGGTGCGGTTGCTTTCCCGTCGGTCCGCCTGCCCCACGTCGAGCCGCAAATGCATTTGGGATTAAATTTTCATGATGCGGCGGGCGGGCGCCAGGAAGCCGGGCCGCCCGGGCCTCGCGGCCCGCCCCCCGCCCCGGCGGCCGGGGTCCCGGAGCCCCAGGACGTTGCCTCTGCGCGGGGATCGCCCGGATCCCCGCCGCCGGAGCGGGTGGGCTGCGCCCCCCCGGGCCCGGGCGCAGAGCCGCACGCGCCACCCCGCGGCCGCCGAGTCCAGAGTGGAGCCGCGCGCGGGGGCGGCGGCCGCGGCTCGGGGCCAGGCGGGGAGGAGGCGCAGATGGCGGGGAGGAGGGCGTGGGACGAGGGCCCCGCCGCTGCCAAACCGCGGGCCGTCGCCATGGAGACGGAGGATGGAGGAAAAGGACCCGGGAAGGAGCTGCTCGGCTGCAGAGTAAGGGGTCCCCACACCTGAACTACAGGGCGCAGAGGCCCGGGACCCCGCATCCGCGCCCGCGTCCTCGCCCCGGGGTGCGGGGTCCAGCGCGCGGAGCCGCCGGGCGGAGGCCTCGCGGCGCCCTCTGGCGGACACAGCACGGCCTCGCCGGACCCGGGCTGCGCTTCCTGCCGGGAGGCGGGAGAGGCTTCCCAGGCACCGACTCTGTAATTGCTGGAGTTCCTACTGGGTGCCGCCACCCAGTGGGGAGCATTGCTCCAGGACGGTCTCGCGGTGTAGCCCAGGATGGCCTAGAGCTCCCAATCCTGCCTCTGCTGGGATCGCAGGCTTGCTCCACCACACCCAGATGGATGGAGATTTCTTGTTTTTGCTTTACTATGGAGCTACATCCCCCAGCCCCACCATCAAAGGATTCTCACTCTGATAGGAAGACTAAAGTAGGAAGTCTCAAGGTTTTTTCCAGGGAATTTTCCATAAAAGAGCTTGGATTATAGTTCAGCAGTGTTATTTTTTTTTTTTGGGGGGGGGGGTCCGGTTGTGGGGCCTGAACTCTGGGCCTGGGCTCAGCTCTTCAGCTCAAGGCTAGTGCTCTACCACTTGAGCCACGGCGCCACTTCTGGCTTTTTTCTTATGTGTTGCTGAGGAATCGAACCCACAGCCTCATGCATGCAAGGTAAGCGCTCTATCACTGAGCCACCTTCCCAGCCCTCAGCAATATTATTTAGCATTCAAAGCCCTGGGTTCAATCCCCAGGAACAAAAGAAGAGGGGGATGGGTGTAGAGGGCAGTAGAGTGAGGTGCTGATCCCCGATGGAAGAAAGAAACAGGCTTTGTAAAGTCAGGAGGAAGCTAGAGCCTGGTGTTTTGGCCCACAGAGTTTGATCTGGTTGACATGAACTGGGATTCCAGGAGTGGAGACACTGTGAGGATCAGATCACCAATGAAGCAAAGGAGAACTTTAGTCCAGGTGGAGTGATACATGCCTATAATCCCAGCTACCTACCTGGGAACTGAAGCAGGATGATTTGTGAGTTCCAGGTCAGCATGGACAAAAATGAGACCCTGAGCTTTGAGGCCCAGGGAAGAACAAATAAAGGGAAAGGAGGAGGCTGAAGGCTGGAGGGAAAAGAGAGACCACGGGGAGAGAAGGAGGCCCCAGCAGAGGCAGGGATTTCCAGCAAACTCAAAAGCCACCACCTAATGTCTGTCCTCTCTCCTACCCTCCCTGTCCCTAGATTCCCAGCCAGAGACAGAATAAAGGCAAATATCTTTTATTCCAATGACAGAGATGCCATCAACATCTTCACAGTTGAAAGGAAGCACAAGAGAATTGTGGTCAAGAAGGCACTGAAAGAAGGGGCATAGCCACCAGCAGTTGCTGAAAAAGGAAACAAAATGAGGATTCAAGACCCAGCAATCCAGGTTTCAGCCCTCCTCCCTCAGACCCATGGGTCCAGACCCTGGCCTTCTCCCTCCAGCTCAAGGGTCCAGATTCCCCAGTGTCCTGGCTTCCCTGTACCTTACGCTTCCAGTGGAAGGCAGCCCTGCTGGCCTCGGAGTTGATCTGCAGTGGGATGTAGGCATCCAGATGATACAGCTGCTGAGGGCCCCCCATCACCAGGCGGTCCTCTCCAATCTCCAGTGACAGCCCCAGAGCCCCATCCTGGGGATAAGATGGAAGGAATGAGCCCATCTTCCCCAGTGGACCAGGCTCATGGCCCCACATATTAGGAAACTATAATATTTAAAGGGCCATAACATTTACAAGGCCCTGGCTTCAACTGAGAGGAGAGGAAGGGAGAGAAAAGAAGGGAGGAAGGTGAGGACAATGATTACAAGTCTTAATGGCTGAGCACTTCCTATACCCTGAGCATCCTCAGGACAGCATCAGAAAGGGTGCCGGTGGCCTCCTAGACCAGGAGAGGTGGCTGATTCAGCGGGGGTGATGGTCTCCATCACTCATCCTGGGAGACAGGCTCCACTATCCCCGATCCTCTGTCCCGCTCTGGCTGAGCCGTACTCACCAGCTTGGGCAGGTCAATTTCAGCCAAGAGGAGATCCGGGGCTTCCAGCCAAAGGTTCAGATGAGGCTTCTCTGGGCTGAGGAGGAACGAGGTCCAGAGCTGAGGACGTCCACCAGGTCTTTGCCAGCCCCTCCCCTAAGCACCCTGGGCTCTTTCTCTCCACTCAGCCCTGAGCCTTGCGGGGGGGCCTCCGAGGTAGTTCTGGCTGTCCAGATTTTCAGAGCCTTGGAGCGTCTGCCAGTGTCGGGGGGCTGAGGTGTGAGGGAGGGTGTTGGAGAACCATGAGGGACTTCCTAAAAGCTCACCCGACATCAGCACAGGGGGAGGCGGATGTGTATGTGTTCCCCAGCTCCTGGATCCGAGGACGCTGCTTGGAGCGGATGTTCTGCTGCGAGATGGAGCCCAGGAATGGTCGGTTCTTCAACATCCGCCATTCTGAGGGGAGACAGTCAAAACCTAGTCAGTGGGCTCCATCCACTGCCTGAGCCGGGCATAACCACGCCCCTTTGTGGGTGTGGCCAAAGACACCCCGCCCTCCCTAGGGTATGCACCAATAAAACCCACTCCAAGATGCTCATGGCTCCTCCCACCATGACTTGGCCCCGCCCCTGTCTTTAGAAGCCCTGCCCCCTCCAGATCATAAGTGAAGGAAATCCCTGCCCACCCCACCTCTGGAGGAAGGGGGGCGGAGCCCACTCTGCTTCCGGCTCCCCTACTGCTCACCTGGATTCAACTGCAAGCCATATTTGTCCTCAAGGCCCTCTCTGGCAATGGTGACCACGAGCTCTCGCAAGAAATCGCTGTTCTGAGCACAAGGAAGGGCAGATGTGGCAAGGGAAGGTGGGGTGGTGGGGAGTTCCTGCCCCCTCTCTCCTCCTCCCCCCACAGGCCTCATGGGCCCCCACACCTGCATCCTCCGGTAGAAATCGCTGTTGACTGCTACATCGTAAGCCGTACAGCCCTGGCCTTCTGCAGAGAGAGAAAGAGGATGAGCCACCCCCTCCCCCAAAGCCCTCCACGGGACACCCACAGATGATACAGACAGGGAAATCACCCAGGGACAGTGGTCTTAAGGACCCAGAGACTTAGCAACTGAGAGCTCTGTGTGTGTCCTTCCCAGAGGATTCAGATCAGGGTCCCCATGGCTTCCAGTCTGTCATCTCCAAGCCCCAAGGAGGAACCGCCCTGCTCCAGGCACCCCAGCCTGTCGGTCCCTCCATCCCTGGGAAGAAGTTTATTTCTCCTGTCCACATTTAGACCAATAATTGTTTCCCCCGATCTACCTAGGCCCTCTTTCCTCTCTGCATAGAACTCTCTAACTCCAGCTCCCTCAGAACATTTTTCTTTTTTTTCTTTTCTTTTTGTGTTTGTCCATCGTAGGGCTTGAACTTTGGGCCTGGGTGCTGTACTTCCTTGAGCTCTTCAGCTCGGTAGCTCTCTACCACTTGTGCTACAGCGTCACTTCCAGTTTTTTTGTTTGTTTCAGTCGGTTGTGGGGCTTGAACTCTAGTCCTGGGTGCTGTCCCTGCACTCTTCAGCTCAAGGCGAGCACTCTACTGCCTGAGCCACAGCACCACTTCTGGTTTTACAGTGCTTTATTGGAGGTAAGAGTCTTGTGGATTTTCCTGCCCGGGCTGGCTTTGAACCGTGATCTTACAATCTCAGCCTCCTAAGTAGCCAGGATTACAGGCATGAGCCACTAGCACCCTGCCTGAACTTCTTTTTCCCCCAGCACTGAGGTTTGAACTCAGGGCCTCAAGTTTACTACTAGGCAGGCACTCTACCACTTGTGCCACACCCCGGCCCTGTATAGTAGTTATTTTTCAGGTAGGGTATGGAACCATTTGCCTGGATTGGACTACACTCAGATCTTCCTACCTTTGCTCCCCAGGTAGCTGGGATGAGAAGTACATGCCACTATGCCCAGCTTTTTTGTTGAGATGGGACCTTGAATTCAATACTCCCAATCTCAGCCTCCTCAGTAACTGAGATTATGAGCATGAGCCACTGTTCCTGGCCATGTTCTATTAAGTATTCTACCTGACATCTCTGCCTCCAAGAAGCTTTCTTCAGAATCAATGAATAACCCTTGGGTGTGTATCCTCTTTAATGCAGCACAAACTATACCATATTGAAACTGCATTTGCGGGCTGGGAAGTTGGCTCAGTGGTAGAGCGCTTGCCTTGCATGCCTGAGGCCCTGGGTTCAATTCCTCAGCACCACATAAGCAAAAAGAAAAAAGCTGGAAGTGGCGCTGTGGCTCAAGTGGTAGAGCACTAGCCTTGAGCTGAAGAGCTGAGGGACAGCACCCAGACCCAGAGTTCAGGCCCCGCGACCGGACCACCCCCCCCCAAAAAAAAAAAGAAACTGCATTTGCGACTTTGCCCCCACCCCCCACCCCCATAACGGAGTTTATCAAGGGTGGGATATGCATTTGGTAAATCCTTACTCCACTCCACAGTACCCAAAGCTTGGTCTCAAGAAGGTTTTGGAGACACACATGATTACAAAACAGGAGATGGAAATACAACAGGGGGGCTGGGAAGGTGGCTCAGTGGTAGAGCGCTTGCCTTGCATGCATGAGGCCCTAGGTTCGATTCCTCAGCACCACATAAGCAGAAAAAGCCGGAAGTGGTGCTGTGGCTCAAGTGGTAGAGCGCTAGCCTTGAGCTGAAGAGCTGAGGGACAGCGCCCAGGCCCAGAGTTCAGGCCCCATGACTGACCAAAAAAACAAAACAAAACAGGGTCACAGTCCAGCGAAAGAGAGTGATAGGAGAGTCTCAGTTGGAGGGGCACCTGGGCAAAAGGTTACTGAGACCTTATCTCAAAGAACAAGCCAGGTGTTGTGATTCCTATCTGTAATCCCAGCTACATAGACAGCATACATAGGAGAATGAGATCTAAAGCTATCTCTGAGGCAAATGCCTGAGACCCTACTGGAAAAATAACCAAAATAAAAAGGGCTGGGGAAGTGGCTCAAGTGGTAGAACATATGTCTTGCAAACAGAAGACCCTAGAATTGAAGCCTACTATTGCCAAAAAAAGAAAAAAAGAAAAAGAAAGGAAGAAACAGGACATGGAAGGACATAGGAAAATAAAAAAGTGGCAGGGCTGGGAAGGTGGCTCAGTGGTAGAGCGCTTGCCTTGCATCCATGAGGCCCTAGGTTCGATTCCTCAGCACCACATAAGCAAAAAGAAAGAAGCCAGAAGTGGTGCTGTGGCTCAAGTGGTAGAGTGCTAGCCTTGAGCTGAAGAGCTGAGGAACAGCGCCCAGGCCCAGAGTTCAGGCCCCACAACCGGACCCAAAAAAAAAAAAAAGTGGCAACTGGCCCTCTGCTTAACCTCAGCTTCCTGGGCTGGGGCAGAAAGTGCCAGCCTGGCCAGGTGGGCAGGAACAAGTCCAGCTGGGCAATGGATGCCAGCTGGTTAGGGATTTGCCATAGGAAAAAGGATCAGTACAGGAGATCAGAAGCAGATTTCCAGGGATCTAAGGTAAAAGGGTCCGGGACCCTGAATTTCAGATCCTAGGGAAGATGGGAGCCAGGGAGGCAGACTCCAGGGTCCTCTGAGGCACTGACTTGCATCTAATTCAGCATGTGGCTCTCCGAGACTCATGGGGATGCGGAAGCCAGCTTGGTCCTCCTCCAGCATCTGAAGCAGCTCGTCCTCAGTCAAGTCAGCCGGGGGAGGGATGGAGGGAGAATGGCAGATGTTGATGAAAACCTTCCCTTCCGATGAGTTGGTCTTTATGCAGAAACCTGTGGGAGTGGTTTTATCCTGACCATCTGTCTGCAAAGGCTCAGTCTCCTCTCAGCCTCTCCATCCACCCTTTCCCTCTTTTGCTGTCCTCCTGCTGGGTCTCTGCATACCCTTGTACTGGGTCTCTCTGTCATCCCCCAAATACTCTGCCTTTTTGGGGGTACTGGGGCTTGAACTCAGGGTTTCAACTTGCTAGGCAAGTATATTTTCATTCCATTTCTCCATCTCCTTCTTTTCAAATCTGTTCCCGACCTGAGGCCCCAACTTGCTTCTGGTGTTGTGTCCCTGTCACTCTACCCACTGTGCTTTCTGTCCTTTCTCTGCTCTCTGGATGGCACTCCACATATCCATCCAGGCTTTTATAACCTTTTCTTATGTATCCTTCCTGCTTTCTGTTTCCCCTCCCTACAGTCTCTATTGCTGTTCTAAGTGTCTGTTCCTCTCTCTGAAGGACTCAGTCATTCTCACCAGGCTGAGGTTGGATCTGTGTTGATTCTGGTCTCGTCTGAGCTTGCTGGAAGTCCTTGGAGGCCTGTGAAGAAAAAAAAAAGCTTCCAGAATTAGAGTCTGAGCAAAAACACCCATTATTTGTTTGTTTCTCACATCTTTAACTGTATAAGACATACAGATGACATAAAATTTAATATTTTAGGTACCCTCCCCATTCCAGAACCTGAAAGTAACCCATTCCACAACTTTTTTTTTTGCTGGTCATGGAGCTTGAACTCTGGGCCTGGGCACTGGTCTGAGCTCTTCAGCTCACAGCTAGTGCTCTACCACTTGAACCATAGCACCCACTTCCAGCTTTTTCTGTGTACAAGGTGCTGAAGAATCGAACCCAGGGCCTCATGCATGCAAGGCAAGCACTCTACAACTGAGCCACCTTCCAGCCCTTCCACACCCATTTTTTGGGGGGAGAGGGTCCAGTCGTGGGGCCTGAATTCTGGGCTTGGGCGCTGTCCCTCAGCTCTTCTGCTCAAGGCTAGCGCTCTAACCACTTGAGCCACAGCGCCACTTCCAGCTATTTTTCTTTTTGCTTATGTGGTGCTAAGGAATCGAACCCAGGGCCTCATGCATGCAAAGCAAGCGCTCTACCACTGAGCCACCTTCCCAGCCCCTCCACACCCATTTATGAACTTAGCAAGCTGAACCAATAAACTACAATTCCCACGAGCCATGATTGTCGCCCAGTGCATCCTGGGAGTTGAAGTCATATCTCGAACACACACATTAAAACTCTTCTAATTCCCAAGGACTCAGAAGTCGTCAGTTCACACCTGTAGCAGCAACTGCTGGAGCCGCGCTGCCTCGTCGTCCATCGTCTCTGCCTCGCATAATTCTGATGCCAGAAGAGTCTTCGAATCCGCCATGGCCCTAGGAAACACAAGTAGGCGTCTTCAGCAACCTCGCAGTGAGGTACTTTTCCCGGGATCCGAACTCTGGGACTTACTCCCTGTACTATATTCTGCCTGGAACCCTAAGAATGTAGCCTGAGACTTTGGTTTCGTTCTAGTCCAGGCACCGTCGTCAGAGCCATTGGGACCCTGGTCGCATTTAGCAAATGTGTAACTACAAACCATACTTCCGGTCTGAGTAACCGTGGAAGCAAGCCACACTCCCTGCTATGCCATTGCTCCACCCAGCCGTAAGCGCTACTGACCAATCATGTCCCGAAGCCCTAGGCCCCGCCCCCTCGCCTCAACCAGTCAAAAATAAACTCCGATGCACCTGGCCAAGTGCCACACTTCCTCCGTCACACTTCCGGCCCCTTCTAAGACCCGTGGGCTGGGCTGGTTACAGTGCGTTTCAAGGCCGTCATACCTTAATTTGAGTGTCACTGTTAAGATTCCCTTCTGATCTTTAACTACTAAGTCCCGGAGTAGGTCCGGGTTCCTAGTAAAACTATATCGGGGCAGTACAAAAAGGGAACAAGGATCCACAATACCACCCCCCTTTCAAATCCAGAGCCTGGCTGACAGGAGCCCCTCACGGCCGATCTCCCTTCCCTCCTCACTGGGCGTTTGCAAGTTACGAATTAACATTTCCCGGCGCGGGCTTCCAGGGGGATCATCAGGCTCTAAGGCCCGCGAGAGCGGGCGGGGATTGGCCCTCTACCCCGTCGTCCCGCCCTCTGCTCGCTGGCCCCGCCCCCCGGGTGGAGGGCGGCGAGGGGGCGGTGCTGCCCTCCCGACCTCAAGGTTCTCTCGGGCCCAGTGCCCCAGTCTTTCTCAGGAAGAGGTCTCGGCGAGCGATGGCTGCGACGCGCGCAGGGGCCCGGGTCAGCGAGATCTTCACTACTATGGAGTACGGACCTGTACCGGAGAGCCGCGCATGCGCACTGGTGAGGGCCTGCGGCGGGGGTGGGGGGTGAGTGCGGCTTTCCAGCATCCTTAGGCCCCACGGCGGCGTGGTCTGCGCGCGGGCTCCCGTGATGCTCCGCGGCGGCCCCGCCCCCTCGCTCGCGGTGATTCCCGCCACGGGTTAGGCCCCGGCCCGAGATCCACTGAGCTTTTTGATGGTGGCGGTGGCGGTGGTGATTCCGTTCCCGGGGCTTGAACTCAGGGCCTTGGTTGCTAACCTTGAGCTTTCCCGCCCCGCCCCCCTCAAGACTAGCTAATAGCCTACCACGTGGGCCACAGCTCCACTTCCGGATTGGGGGTAATAATGGAAGATGAAGGTCTCATGGACTTTTCCTGCCCGGGCTGGCTTTGAACTTTGATCCTCAAATCTCAGCCTCTAGGATGGCTAGCTAGGATCACAGACGCCTGGCTCCTTTGAGCATTTGGTCCGTTCCGGCGATCCCCCGTGGGGCTCGGGCTCCTCGATCCTGAGCTCCCGCTGGATGGACCCCCCCCCCCCCCAACTCCTCAGAACCCTCCGTGGGTTCGGTGATCCTCCGAACATCCACAGGCTCCCCACTCCGGGCTCCATTGATCACCGCAGATTAATGGCCGTGGCCGCACAGGGCCTCGGTGCGGCCCCCCGTGGGCTCTCAGGACCCCAGGATTCCTGCCTTCCCCCTTCAAGCCCTATAGAGCTCCCATGATGCCGCGGGCTTCAGACCTGTCCCGGGGAGCTCCCTTGATGCTTCAGGGCCCCTTGATCTGGTGATTCCCAGGGCATAATCAGACCAGCTGGATTATACAGTGGTGCCCTTCAGAACCCCTTCGGAGGTAGCTGGGAGTGGGGGGGGGGGGCATGGTTCCTTAGTTACCTCCTGGGGATCTCTCCCCCTTTCCAGGATCTTCCAGCAAGCATCCAGCTTGGGTTGCTTTGAGAGGAGGAGCAGAAGGCTGGAGCCATGAGGGTGGGCCAGGTGAACACTGATGAGGCAGCAGGCTGGGTGGCAGGTGTGCTGTGGGGTATGGAGAATGGAGAAGGCAGGGACCCTCCCTGTTGGCCCCAAGCCAGCTCTGTTGTATCATGAGGACAGCCATATCAGAGTCCAGCGTTATTGGGCCTGTGCCTCAGGACCAACGGTTGGGCAGATCACAGAGACCGTGACTTTACCACCATAGAAAAATACTGAAGATGGGGCTGGGAAGGTGGCTCAGTGGTAGAGTGCTTGCCTTGCATGCTCGAGGCCCTGGGTTCTATTCCTCAGCACTATATAAGCAAAAAGAAAAAAGCCGGAAGTGGCACTGTGGCTCAAGTGGTAGAGCACTAGCCTTGAGCTGAAGAGCTGAGGGACAGCACCCACGCCCAGAGTTCAGGCCCCATGACCGGACCCAAAAAAAGAAAAAAAAAAAAAATACTGAAGGATAGGATTGACTAGAACTATAGTGGAAACTCAAATAAGTGGATCTGTTTAGCCCACACCGGTGGCTCACGTGTGTAATCCTAGCTACACAGGAGGCTGAGAAGCTAGCGGGGCAAGTAAGTCCGTGACACTCTTATCTCCAATAAACCACTCCGAAAACCGGAAGTGGCACTGTAGCTCAAGTGGTAGAGCTCTTGCCTTAAGCTGAAGAGCTGAGAGACAGCACCCAGGCCCATGACACCAAAATAAAAGGATCTGTTCAGTGCCTGTCTCCACACTCACTGATCCCATTTCATCCCAGGTGATTGTTATTTTATTTGCCAGTCTGGGCCTGGGCACTGTCCCTGAGTTCCTCTTTGCTCAGCACTCTATCTGAGCCACAGTGTCACTTCCAGCTTTTTCTGGAGGCTAATTGGAGATAAGAGTCTCACCATCTTTCCTGCCAAGGCTGGCTTTTAACCGAGATCTTCAGATCTCAGCCTACTGAGTAGCTAGGATTACAGATGTGAGCTACCATCACCTGGCTAAATACTGGATTTTGAGGCCAGAAGAAAAAAGTTTACCTGACTCCCATCTCAACCAACAAGTTGGACATGGTAATATACTCTTATTATCCCCAGCATCTTGGGAAGTGTAAATGAGAGGATCATTGTCCAGTGACCATATCCCCAAAATTGTTAAGCCAAAAGGACTAGGGGCATGGCTTAAGCGGTACAATGCCTGCCTCAGGAGCACAAAGCCTTGAGTTTGGTACCCTAGTACCACCAAAAACACATTGAGATTTGAACTTGAGCCCATGGACTGTGGACCCATGGTTTCTCTCCTACCAACAAAGGTCTCAGTCTTAAGCTGAGAGTCATGGGGCTTGAACTCTGGGCCTGGGTGCTGTCTCTGAGCTCTTCAGCTTAAGTGTGCGGATCAGACTCAAACCACTAAACATGTTTTCTTTAGCCTGAGCTTTGTTTTTGAAAATGTCAATTGCTGGACAATTAATTCCATGTAAACATCCTCTGGACTGTAGCTCCCTTAGAAAATAAAATTCCAAAATGTGGCAACCTTTGGCTCCAATTCCCTGACACAAATCATCTGGAAACAATTGGGACCAGCATTTTATAGGAGTTTGAAGCTTTTAGTTCCCAGCAGTCCATCTTCTGCCATTTAGTGACCTGCCAGGACTCTGTGCACATTCTTTTGGAAATTTGTTTTTCTTTGGGAGGGAAAAATTGAGAACAGAGAACTTGATATTTATTAAGAACTCTCATTTATCCATTACTCAACTTCAACAATGAATATTTCGCCCAAAAGTCCAGATGACATTTCTCTATAAATGTTGAGATTTCATTTTCCTAACAGATAAGGACTCATTGTGTTATATAACTGTGCTAGTGGGCTGGGAAGGTGGCTTGCCTTGCATGCATGAGGCCCTGGGTTCGATTCCTTAGCACCACATAAGCAAAAAGAAAAAAAGCTAGAAGTGGCGCTATGGCTCAAGTGGTAGAGCGCTAGCTTTGAGCAGAAGAGCTGAGGGACAGAGCCCAGGCCCAGAGTTCAGGCCCCACGACCAGACCCCCCCCCAAAAAAAAAAAAAATAACTGTGCTAGTGTTATCATATTTTGTTGCATTAACAATCATTCATTAATATATAATGCCCAATCTATATTCACACAACTCTATGCCTTTTTGGTGTGTATCATAGTGCACCCCTGTAAATCCAGTATTCAGGAGGCTAAGGGAGTAAAGTCTGAAGCTAGCTTGATCCACATAGTGACCTACTTAGGGAGATTCTATTTCAAAAGAACAACAACAACAACAAAATACTTCCCCATTGGGTATTTGAGTTTGAAACTTCTAACCCCCACCCCCACCCCCCCTGCCCCGTGTGGCTTGAACTGAACTCTGGGCCTGGGCTCTGTCCCTGAGCTCTTAAACTCAAGGCTAGTGCTCTACCACTTGAGCCACAGCGCCACTTCCGGTTTTCTGAGCGGTTTATTGGAGAGTCTCATAGGACTTCCCGGGGCGAGCAATCCTCATTTCTCAGCCTCCTGAGTAGCTAGGATTACAGGCGTGAGCCACCGAAACGGGCTCGGGCTCTGTTATCTTTGATAACAGAGCAGAAAGGGTTAGAAATGTGGCTCAGCCACAGACCACTTGCCTGACAAGAACCCCAAATACCACAAAAAAAATAGATAAGGCCAGGCACTAGTGGCTCACCTGTAATCCTAGCTACTCAGGAGACTTCGATCTAACAATCAGTTTGAAGGGCTGGGAAGCTGATTCTTAGATCTTAGTCTCCTGAGTAGCTAGGATTACAGGCATGGGCCACTAGCACCCAGCTTGCATATTTGCTTTGAGACAAAGTCTTTATGTAGCTTCAATTGGCCTTGAACTTTCAGCCACCTCACCCACTAACATAGTAAGCTTTATGTATATTTATTATATTAAAAAGAAAGTGGATGGGCTGGGGGTTTAGGGTGTAGGCTCATTAGTGGAGCGTAGAGCTCAGGATTCAATCCTCAACAACAAAAAATACAACAGAAAGAAGTAACTCTTGAAGAGAAGAGGTATAAGTCTCTCCTCGCAGAGGACTCTGGGTAGGGATTCAGCTGCCTCCCAGGCCAATTCTCACACTCTTTCCTTCTCTCAGGCCTGGCTGGACACACATGACCGGCAGTTGGGCCACTATGTACATGGGCTGTGGATAAAGCCAGAGCACAGGAATTCAGTGCCTTTCCAGGACCCCATCACAGGTGTGTGATGTCTCCCAGTCATTGGTAGAGCTGGGGGGAAGGGGGTGGGCAGGACATTTGTGTTTTCCAGTTGTACTGAGCCAAGATACCCCAGGGATAGGAAAGGGGTTGAGACTTCTGGTTCTTCTTGATGACAATCAGGCTAATTATGGTTCTACGTCCATAACTGCATGACTTTGTGGGTACATGTCAGTACTTGGATAAAACTCAACTCAGCATCTGGGCACTGTCCCTTAGCTTTTTTTTTTTTTTTTGGTCCGGTCATGGGACCTGAACTCTGAGCCTGGGCACTGTCCCTCAGCTCCTCAGCTCAAGGCTAGCGCTCTACCACTTGAGCCACAGCGCCACTTCCGGCTTTTTTCTTTTTGCTTATGTGGTGCTGAGGAATCGAACCCAGGGCCTCATGCATGCAAGGCAAGCGCTCTACCACTGAGCCATCTTTCCAGCCCCTCCCTTAGCTTTTTTGCCCTACCACTTGAGCCACGCTTCCACTTTGGGGCTTTTGGTGATTCATGGAAAATAAAAGAGTTTCATGGACTTTCCTGCCCAGGCTGAATTTGAACTTTCGATCCTCAGGTCTCAGCCTCCTGAGTAGCTGGGATAAGAGGCATGAACCTCCCTTGCCCAGGAGAGCTGATCTACCAATGACCAGTGACAAGCTGCCTAAAAGAGAGCTAGGGGTAGGGGCGGGGTCCACTGTTTGGACTTGGGCTCTCCTGCCATCAGGATCCCTCCACTTGTCTCCTTAGGAGAGATCTTGGCCAGTTGCCTGGAGGCCACAGCTGATGATGTAGCCTCAGCGGTGGATGCAGCTAACACTGCTTTTGTGGGCTGGAGAACACTCCCCGGAGCCTCCAGGGCCCAGCATCTGACCAGGTGATGCAGCCAGACATGGCGGGAAGGTGGGGAGAGACAGCCGGCATCCTCTCAAAATCCTGTTTCCCAAGATCCACTGACTTAACAGACCAGCATGCATTTGTGCTTTAGTGGCCAGAATATGCATTTCTCACAATTCACTGGGCCTAGTCCTAATAAAGAGTCTTATTTTCTAGAATAACACAGAAGCCCTGTTTCTCAGCAGTTTACGAGAGTCCAGGCTCCTCATTTTATGCACACTTGAGGGAGCAGTGAGAGATGAAGATTTCATTTCCCAAGATACCATTGACATTAGAGGTTACTAACTCAAGTTCCCAGGTCAAGGTAGAAGGTAGAGAGGCTATTACTGGTAGCCAAAGCCCTTAGAGTTTTCCCAACTACATTTTCCATAAGTCTTTGGCATCTGCTGCCCCTTGGTAAATAGCACAGGTGCCCCCCCAGGGCCTCATGGGAATTGTAGTCCATCCCCCCCTTGCCCTCTCCCTAGGTTGGCCAAGAATATCCAGAAGCACCAACGCCTGCTGTGGACCCTGGAATCCTTGGTGACTGGACGGGCTGTTCGGGAGGTTCGAGACCAGGAAGTCCCACTGGCCCAGCAACTGCTCCAGTACCACGCAGTGCAGGCGCATGCTAAGTCTGAGATACTGGCGGCCTGGGCGCCCATGGGTAAGACCTGGAGCCCTCGCGCCTGACCCTGCTCCCTCTTGAGCCACCATGCCGACCCCAGTGCCTACCCTCGCTGCTGCTTCTTGCAGGAGTCATCGGCCTCATCTTACCACCCACGTTCTCCTTCATTGACATGATGTGGAGGATATGCCCTGCCCTGGCTATGGGTAAACAACCAAGGGCCAATTGCACTTCAGACAGGAAGAAGTTGGGGGCAGACTCCAGGGTCTGAGGGAGGAGGCTGAGGTTTGCACCCCTGGGTCTGAGGGAGGAAGCTAGGACTGGACCCCAGGATCTGCTGGAGGTGGGGCTGTGGTCTAGACTCCTGGCTCTCAGATTCCTCCCCTTCTCCAGGTTGCACAGTGGTGGCTCTCGTTCCCCCGGGCTCCCCAACACCGCTGCTCCTGGCCCAACTGGCAGGGGAGCTGGGTTCCTTCCCTGGGATCCTGAACGTGCTCAGTGGCCCTGCCTCCCTGGGGCGGGTGCTGGCGGCACAGCCTGGAGTGCAGAAGGTGTTCTTCTGTGGTGCTGTTGAGGTATCTAGCTGGGACTGTGCTGGGCAGGATTGGGATCGGGCAGCCGGTGTCCCAGGCGAACCCCGCAGTCCCTCCCTCAGGAAGGACGCGCCCTGCGGCGGACCCTGGCAGGCCAGGGTGTGGAGCTGAGCCTGGCCCTGGGCTCAGAATCGCTGCTGCTGCTGACTGACTCTGCAGACCTGGACTCGGCCGTGGAGGGTGTGGTGGATGCAGCCTGGTCAGACCGCAGCCAGGTGAGGCCCATACACTCCTGTCCCCAGGGGGGGAGGGGGTGGGAAATCGAAGGCAGACCTTGAGGTCCCAAATATCTGTGATTTTTAACTTTTAAGTTCCTTATCTCTAGGCCAGTGGTCTAGGGTTTGTGTGTGTGTGTGTGTTACTGGGATTTGAACTACTTGAGCCACGCATCTAACTCTTTTTGCTCTAGTAATTTTTTAGAAAAGGCCTTGGGTGTTGGCCCGTGACTGGCCTCAGTCCACAATCCTCCTATCTCTGCCTCCCAAGTAGCCAAGATTACAGATATAAACCACCATGCCCAGCTTGGAATGAGTTCTTGATAATTTTTGGTCCAGGCTGGTCTTGTACCATGATCCTCCTATCTCTGCATCTCACCTAGCTGGGATAGCAGGCATGAATCACCATACCCAGCCAGGACTCTTTTTTTTTCTATTTATTTTTTTCGGTAGTGGGGCCTGAACTCTGGCCCTGGGCGCTGTCCCTCAGCTCTTCAGCTCTACCACTTGAGCCACAGCACCACTTCGGGCACTCTTTTTGCTTTTGTGGTAAAGAATCGAACCCAGGGCCTCATGCATGCAAGGCAAGCGCTCTGCCACTGAGCCACCTTCCCAGCCCCTTGTCCCTTGTTTTGTAGTCTCATTATTTACCCTTTGAATTTTATTTATTTATTTATTTATTTTGTCGGTCCTGGGGCTTAACTCTGGGTCTGGGCGCTTTCCTTGCACACTTCAGCTCAAGGTGAGTGCTCTACCACCTGAGCTACAGCGCCACTTCCTGTTTTCTAGTGGTTTATTGGAGATAGGAGTCTCATGGACTTTCCTGCCTGGGTTGGCTTTGAACCGCGATCCTCAGACCTCAGCCTCTTGAATAGCTAGGATTACAGGCGTGAGCCACCAGCACCCTGCTTTTTTTTTTTTTTTTAATGCTAGAACTGGGTCTTGAACTCAGGGACTCACACTCTTCCTTAGCCTTTTTTGCTCAAGGCTGATGCTGTACCACTTCAGCATGTCTCTATGTCTGGCTCTTTTCTTGGTTAATTGCTGATAGGAGTCTTTCAGATATGTCTGCCCAGGCTGGCTCTGAATCTTGATCCTCAGATCTCAGCCTCCTGAGTAGCTGGGATTACAGGCATGAGCCACCGGTGCTCAGCTTGACTTCTACAGTTTGACATCTACTCTTGATGCTCATTTCCCAACAGGGAGGCCTCAGGCTCCTCATCCAAGAGTCTGTGTGGGATGAAACCATGCAGCGGCTCCAGGCCCGGATGGGCAGGCTTCGGTGCGGCCCAGGACTGGATGCGGCCGTGGACATGGGGGCTCGTGGGACTGTAGCATACGACCTGGCCCAGTGCTATGTGCGTGAAGCACAGAGCCAGGGGGGACAGGTGAGCCCCAGGACACAGATTGTGCATGGATGCTGGGGTGGAGGAGCTTCGAGGCCCAGCCCCTGGGTCGGGGCCCTGGTCTGAGGGAGGAGGAGTAAATCTACATCTGTTCCATTTCTGTTTAGGTGTTCCAGGCTGGCGATATGCCCTTGGATAGCCCATTTTATCCCCCAACCTTGGTCTCAGGCCTTCCCCCTGCATCCCCGAGTGCCCAGGCAGAGGTGAGCACCCAAGGGGCCCAGACATCCTCTTCAACCCTGTCCATCCTCAGTCAGCCATGGTCACCAGACCTCCATCACCTAAGCTGGGTGCCAGTGGCTCCTGCCTGTAATCCTGGCTCCTCAGGAGGCTGAGATCTGAGAATCGGAGGTTCAAAGCCATCCTTGGCAGAAAAGTCCATGAGACTCTTATCTCCAATGAACCACCAAGAAGCCAGATACTAGTAGAGCTGTGGCTTAAGTGATAGAGCGCCAGCCTTGAGTGAAAAAGTTCAGGGACAGTGCCTAGGCCCTGAGTTCAAGCCCCAGGACTGGCACCCCTAGAGAGAGAATCATGGGGAAGGAATGGGGTGATGATGCTTCCACCCAACTGAGCCCCTCTGAACCCCTTCTAGGTGCCGTGGCCACTGGTTGTAGCCTCCCCTTTCCGCACAGCCAAAGAGGTGCTGGCCTTGGCCAATGGGACTCCATGGGGAGGCAACGCCAGCGTGTGGAGCGAGAGGCTGGAACAGGCACTGGAGCTGGCCTATGGGTCAGTGGGTGCCTGCTGGGCCCCTTCTCCCTTCTTTCCCTTCTCTCTGAGCCTCTTTCCCCCTCTCTTGGCTCAGCACAACTTCCTGGGTCTCTCTGATCTCTCCCTGTACACCCCCTCAGGCTCCAGGTGGGCACTGTGTGGATCAACGCCCACGGGCTCAGAGACCCTGCAGTGCCTACAGGTGGCTGCAAGGAAAGTGGTTGTTCCTGGCATGGGGAACTGGATGTGAGTACCCCGTCCCCATGACCCCCCAGCCCCCAGCCTGGCACCACCTTGTGACGTCTTGACCCCGCCCCTCCCACAGGGTCTCCACGAGTATCTGCGTTCCTTAGTGACCCCTGCCCCGAAGCCCTTCTTCTGTGAGAGCCTCAACTATGACACTTTTGGTCTCGCTGTGCCCCCAACCCTGCCAGCCGGGCCGGAAGTGGGGCCCAGGTGAGCTGTTCCAGGATCCCACCGTTTGAGTGAGGGTTGGAAAGCGAGGAAGAACTATGTCAGGGAGCTATTCATGGGGTGCTACTGAGTGTTGCATTCTGGGTCTTAAGGTCTCACACTCCACCCCCCCTCCCACCAGGGCCTAATGAGAATCAGTGCTGCCTTGCCACTTGTAATCCTAGCTTAGGAGGCTGAGATCCAAGGAGCAGAGGTTCGAAGCCAGCCTGGGCAGGAAAGTCCATGAGACTCTTATCTCCCATGAACCACCAAAAAAACAGAAGGGGAGGAGTGGATCAAGTGGTAGAGCACTAGCCTTAAGGGAGAAAGCCAAGAATGCAAGATCCTGGGGCTGAGAATGTGGCTTAGTGGTAGAGTGCTTGCCAAGCATGCATGAAGCCCTGGGTTCCATTCCTCAGTACCACATACACAGAAAAAGCTGGAAATACCAGGCACCAGTGACTCACACCTGTCATCCTAGCTACTCAGGAGACTGTGATCTGAGGATTGTGTTTCAAGGCCAGCCCAGGCAGGAAAGTCCAGGAGACTCTTATCTCCAGTTAACCACCAGAAAACCAGAAGTGGTGCTGTGGCTCAAGTGGTAGAGTACTTGCCTTGAGCTAAAGAGGTGAGGGACAGTGCCCAGGCCCAGAGTTCAAGACCCAGGCCTGGCAAAAAAGAGAGAGAGCACCAGGTCCTGAGTTTAAATTCCAGTACTGGTACACACCAAAAAAAAAATCAGTTCTGCCTGATGAATGTCTGTACCCACCCAGAAGAGAGTGGGAGTTGATTTGGGGTGCCCCAGAGGCTCATGGGAGCCGGAGGTGGGGGTGAATGGGAGCGCAGTGCCTGAGGGTCCCCCACACCTGCCTCCCCTCCCGTGCTTGTAGCCCGGCACCCCCCTATGGCCTCTTTGTGGGAGGTCGTTTCCAGCCTCCTGGGGCGCGGAGTTCGAGGCCCATCCTGGATCCCTCAGGCAGGGTCCAGAGTTACGTGGCTGAGGGCGGAGCCAAGGATGTCCGCGCTGCGGTAGAGGCCGCGCACCAGGCCGCCCAAGGGTAAGAGCTGGGAGGAGGGTCTTCCTGGGGCCCCTGCATGGGTAGACTGGGGGGGGGGTCCTGAGAGCAGGGGTGAACCTTTCTCCCCCATTAAGAGCTGGCGGCGGGTCATCCGGGGGCCCTGCACGGGTGGACTCGGGGGGCTGCTAGGAGCAGGTATGAGTCCTTCCCAGGGGGAGGGTCTTCCGGGTGCCACTGGGAGCAGGTGTGACGCACATCTCCCCCCCCCCACCCCCGCGCATGCGCACAGCTGGGCGGCCCGGTGCCCGGCCGACCGGGCGGCGGCGCTGTGGGCCCTGGCGGCCGCGCTGGAGCGCAGGCAGCCCGGGCCGGGCGCGCGCGGCCAGCCGGCGGCCGCCGAGGTGCAGCGGAGCGTGGAGCGGCTGCGGACGTGGGGGGCCCGGGCCCAGGACCAGGGCCGAGCCCTGCAGGTGAGACGGCCAGAGCGCGAGCCCTCCCCGCACCCCGCGTCCCGCTGGGACAGAGCCCCGGTCTGGCGACCTGTCCGCCGGGATGGGGTTTCCACTTTTCTTGTGAGCAGTACTGGGATTTGAACTCGGTGCCTGAGGCTTGCCGAGCCGGCATTCCACCGCTTGAGCCGCGCCTCTAGACCTGGTTATTTTGGAGATGGAGTCTGGCAAACTTTCCTGCCTGGGCTGAAACTCGGCCTCAAGCACAGAAAGCAAATAAGGGCTGGGGGAATGGCTCAAGGGGTCGAGCACCTGCCTAGCATGTAGGGGGCTTTAGATTTCAGGCAGGCCCACACAGGCTTGTCCACAGGTACACACACACACACACACACACACACACACACACACACACACGCCTGAGCCAGATTCTCAGCCCACAGGAACACATTTCATTCTGCCAACAAATGGGTTAAATAGACACTGATATTCATTGTAAACATGGGACACTGAGGCCCAGAGAGGTCAAGTAACTCACACCAGGTCACTTGGCTGGCTCACCTGGTCATACTAACATTGGAGTTGTTCTGGAGAAAGGAAGGTGGGGATGAGAGGAAGAATGGGGTGGGGGCGTCCCCTTCCCTCCCCACCCTTGTCTTACCATCTTGTCCCTGCAGATCCCAGGCCTGAGAGGCCTCGTGCTCAAGCTCCGGGAGCCCCTCGGTGTATTGGCTATCGTGTGCCCAGATGACTGGCCCCTGCTGGCCTTCATATCCCTGCTGGCACCAGCTCTGGCTCATGGTAATGCTGTGGTCTTGGTGCCCAGCGGGACCTGCCCTCTGCCGGCCCTGGAAGTCTGCCAGGTACAGTCACAAACACCCCCATGCTGTTCCAACAACCCCCAGAGCAACAGGTGGGAGGTGCCCTGGGTTGGGGAGGCAGGGGTTGGGCTGCCCTTCTCGGTAACCATAGAAACCCCAAATTCCATCATCTCCATCAGTCTCTGACCCTAGTCCTTCCAGTTGCTCCACAGCCCCTCCCCCCTCCCCCCAAGTACTGTGTATGTAAGCCCCCCCCCCCCTTGCACCTCCTAGGACATAGCCACTCTGTTCCCTGCCGGCCTGGTAAATGTGGTAACAGGAGATCGAGACCACCTGACCCGCTGTCTGGCCTTGCACCAAGATGTCCAGGCGCTATGGTATTTTGGATCTCCTCAGGTATGTTTTGTCTTCCGTGGCTCCACCTGCACTGATTGGCTCCTCCTTTTCTGGGTGTGGGTATGTGGCCCCATCCCCTGAGAACTCTGGCTACAAGGTTGGAGGTTCTGTCCCTTTAGAAAGTGTTGCTAAGGAGGCGGATCTCCTTAGCAACAAGGGCCTAGAGCCTGCCCTACCCATTGCCTTATAAGGGCCACAGGGGTGAAAGTCCATCTGAGAAACCGGAGCCACAGTCCCATCCTTTGAAAATGGCCATCAAGGGGGCGGGGGTTTCCTTAGCCATGGGGTCAACCTCTTCTTCCCTCAGCGTCTTTTGAAAGGTCATTTGCTGGCCAGGAGCCTGTGGCTCACGCCTGTAATCCTAGTGACTCAGGAGGCTGAGATCTGAGGATTCTGGTTCAATGCCAGCCTGGACAGGAGAGTCCCAGCTACTCTTTAAGCTCCAACTAACCAGCAAAAAGCTGTAACTTAACTGGTAGAGTGCCAGCCTGGAGCAAAAAAGAAAAATCTAAGAACCACTGTCCAGGCCCGGAGTTCAAACCTTAGTACTGGTGCACAAAAAGCAAGGAACAGACCATGGAGGTAATAACTCAGGCCTGTCTGTCGCTGGTTGCTAAGGAAGCAGGTGCTTTCACAGCCAGGGCGCTGATTGGGCTAACCCTGACCTCCCCACCCCCTACCCCCAGGGCTCCCAGTTTGTGGAGTGGGCTTCTGCCGGGAACCTGAAGCCCATATGGGTGAACGGGAACTGCTCTCGGGCCTGGGATCTGGAGAACGAGGGATCATCCCAGGAGCTGGGGCTGAGGGCAGCCCGGACCAAGGCCCTGTGGCTGCCCATGGGGGACTGACCTGAACACCAGCTACCCCCAGCCTTCATCGAGCCTCAGACACCAGATGCCTGGAACTTTCATCTTTGCTCTGTCTTCTAATAAACTGTGGGAGCAACGTGTGACCAATTCTCCAGGGGGAGGAGGGGGGAAGGACAGCATCATCTGGCCTGTGGGAGGCCCGGTGACATTCAGCCGTTGGGTGGGCGGCTGCAGGACAGCCCGGCATTTGTGAGACAGATAAAGGAGACTCTGAGCCCTCTCACACCCCCCCACGCCATCCTGGGGGTGGGGGAGGAGAGGGAAGTCCCTGGGAAAGGTCATAGGTCTTCTCTTCGGCCTTGGCCACAGCTTCATGGCTCTGTCCTGGATTCTGGGACCCCAGCAGGGTCCTTCCCATTGACGATGTGTTCATCCTAGCAAAACAACGCACCTCTTGGCTGCGCGCCAGTGCCTCACACCTGTAATCGCAGCTACTCAAGAGGCTGAGATATTGAGATGAGGATTGTGGTCCAAAGCCAGCCCAGGCATGAAAGCCCTTAAGACCCTCATCTCCAATAAATTCGGGAAGTGGTGCTATGGCTCAAAGTCAGGGACAATGCCCAGGCCAACTTCAAACCCCAGAACTGACAAAAACAAAAAAAACCGCACCTCTCCCAGGCTGCCTGCTTAACAAGGTGAGCCTGTGCTTTGCGCATGTGCACTCAGTCCCCCCCCCCCCCATGCGAGCTCAGCAAGGTGGGCCAATACAATGCCCATGCGTGTATTTGCTAGTTCTCGCTGAGCAAAGTGGGGCATGCCACTTCCACACTGGACCAGATGACATAGGACAAGGATACTCTCCAGACAAGCCTGACCTCCAAGCTTCAGACCAGCCCCCTTGGGGGTCCTCAAGCCACCTGCCTTTTTGACCAACTTCTTACAAATTCAGGAGCTCCTAGGACCCTCAGGTTCAATATCTGAGCTCCAGAAATAGCTACATTCAAAGTCACAAGTTTATTACAAAGAATACAAGCAGGGCGTGGTGCTTACACCTGTAATCCCCACTACTTTAGAGGCAGAAAAGCAGAGGAATTTGTCATCCTAACTAAAAAGGCTGAAAGCTGAGGATTGAGGTTTGAAACCAGCTCAAGCAGGAAAGTCTGGAAACCTTTTATCTCCAAGTAACCAAAAAGCCGGAAGTGAAGCTGAGGGTTAAGTGATGGAGCTTTAGCGTGGTAGCACATTCTTGTAATCCCAGCACTCAGAAAGCTTAAGCAGGATTACCAGTTCAAAGGCAGCCTTGGTTTTCTGAGGGAATTGGTTCTGGGACCTGTGTGTTTACCAGAATCCAAAGGTGCCATAATCCTTTGCATGAAGTGCTGCAATAAATTCAATCTCTAGATCATTCCTAATGTCTGACTCAAAGTAAATATTATGCAAATCATATTTGTCTTGAGCTGTTTGCAGAGCAATGGTAAGAAAAGGGTCTGTTGCTGGGTGCTGGTGGCTCAAACTTGTCATCCTAGCTACTCAGGAAGCTGAGATGTGAGGATCATAGTTCAAAGCAAGCCTAGGCAGGAATATCCGTGAGACTCCAATGAACCACCAGAAAACCACACGTGGTGTTGTGGCTCAAGTGGTAGAATGCTTGCCTTGCGCTGAAGAGCTCAGGGAGCGCTCCCAAGTCCCATGACTGTCAAAAAGGAAAAGGGTCTGTTAAATGCTTTTGTAATCTGGACATAAAACTTAGGGCTTCACACATGCTGAGCAAGTGCTCACTGAGCTACGTGTCCAGCCCGACGTGTAATTTCTCTTTTTTTTTGTGCCAGTACTGGGGCTTGAACTCAGGGCCTTGTGCTTTCCCTTGGCTTTTTCCCTCGAGGCTTAGCAGTCTACCACTTGGGCCACACTTCTGCTTCAGGCTTTTTGCTGTTTATTGAAGATGCTGGCCTAAAACTCTAGCCCTCTGAGTCTGGGGTTGTGGCTCAAATGGTAGAACATCTGCCTAGCAAGCTGAAGGCCCTGAATTCAAACTTCAGTCTCCGATGAACAAAAATAAAAAGGCCTCTGATCATATCTTTGCTCTTTTCTGGCAAGACCAACCTCTTCCCAGTCACCTTGACATGACTTCAGGTGTGAAGAACAGTGACATCTCCAATACTTGTGAAGATCTCAAAGATTAATATCCAGGAAACAGAAACCCAAACCAGACCTCTTCATTATATGATGAGGAAAAGAGGCAACTCAGCACCCATTTACCCTCCGCTCAGCAAATATCTGTGGAGAAACTTCTAGAGCTGTGTCTCCATGGTGACAAACGACAATGAAAGATAACTAAGCCACAGGGTGTGCAGGAAGGTGATAAGTACCAAGCAGGGCTAAGACTGCCAGGAGGGGATACAATTTGGAAAGGGGTGTCAGGAAGACTTAAGCAGACCTGATGGATAGAAATGGGGGGGAGGGGGAGGCGAGTCATACAGATACCTGGAGCAAGAACCTCCCTCCCTGAGCCAGGGAACAGCCAGTGCAAAGGGCCTGAGGCAGGATTATGCCCACCTTAGTCACAGCTCAGAAGGCTGGTTGGACTGGAGGTGTGGCTCAAGTGGTTGAGCATCAACTGTGAACAGAAAAAAGCAGGAAGATAGAAGGCAAGATGTGAGGCGGGCACTGGGACTGATGCTGTGGTGAGGACTTTTAGCCCTAGAGAGGCAGGATTTCACAGGCTACACCTGGGAGAGGGGAGGGGGAGGGTGGGGAGAGGAGGGAGAGAGTGGGGAGGGGAGGGGGGCCCATGATCCAGGAGAGAACCAGAATAATGGCAGCTGGACTGGTTGACAATTGCTCCAATTCTGAAGCCAGCATGAGAGGCGCCTCCCTGTCACCCCAGCACCGGGGAGGAGGGCTGAGGCAGGAGGATCACTAGAGTAAGGCTAGCCTGGGCTCTACACCCCGGACCTGCTGGGGGGCATGGCCCAACTGGCAGAGCCCTCGCCTTAGGGTACTTAAGGCTCATTCCTGCCCACCCCCAAAAAAAGACGAGACTGCGGATACATCTGGACGGTGGGGGGCTGCCGCGGGCAGGGGGCGCCGGGAGGGACTCCAGGGGGATCCCGCGCTGGGGGCCTGGGGCTGGGCTGGGGCGCGCGGGGGCCGGGCTGGGCCCGGCGCGCGGTGTCCGGGACGGGGCAGGGCCGGGCCGGGCGCGCGGGATCCGCGCGGCAGCGCCGCCCGAGGCCGGCAGGGGGCGCGCGCGGCCCGGCTCCCTTTCGCTTTCACCGCGGGGCTGTCCGTCAGGACCCCGGCGCAGCCCTGTGCGTGAGGGGCCCGGGGACCCCGGGTCCCCGCGGGGCGGTGGTTGGGGGTCGGGGGGGGGACCTGCAGGGGGGGGTGCCGAGCGTGCGGGGACCGGACGTCGGGGTTCTTAGAAGGGGAGATGAGTTTCCACCGTTCCCGGGGCTCGCGCAGGAAGCCGGGGGGAGCCGGGGGCGGCGGAAACTTGGCCACATCAAGGGCCGGGGAGGGGCGGCGCGGGAGGGGCGGGCCAGGCAGGGGCGGCGGGGTGCGGGTCACAGCCCCGCCCTGCTGTCCCCTCCAGGAACCGGCCACAGGCATGAGGGGGTCCCGGCCGAGATGACAGTGCTGGCGCCGGCCTGGAGTGTACGTATGGAGGGGGACAGGTGGAGGGGGGCGGACAGGTAGGGGGGACAGAGGAGGTGGGGGCACGAGGGGAGGGGGGGCGGGGAGGGGAGGAAGAGACAGGTGGGAAAAGGACGGTGCTGGACCAGAGACAAGAGGAAGAGTCGGGTGCCTGTAATCCCAGCTACTCAGCAGGCTGCGATCTGAGGATCAAGGTTCAAAACCAGCCCCGGGGAGGAAAAGTCCACGAGACTCTTATCTCCAGTGAACCACCAAAAAAGCCCAAGGTAGAGCTGTGGTTCAAGTGGTAGAGCGCCAGCCCAGAGCCAAAAAGAAACTCAGGGACAGGGAGTTCAGCACGCAGACACACAGACACAGACAGAGGAAGGTGAAGTCGAAGAAGCCTGGGTCACAGGGAAGGGTAGAGAGGAGGAGGGGAGAAGAGGCAAAGTGGGGAGCACAGGATGGGGCCTGAACTGAGCAAGCCCCCCACCCAGTCACCCCTGCTGCTGCTGCTGCTGCTGCTGAGCCCTGGCCTCCACGCGACCCCCAGCTGCGCCTTCAGCCACAGCCCCATCACCTCGGACTTCGAAGTCAAAATCCGACAGCTGGTGAGCGCCCCCACACCCCTTTCCCCCCAACTCAGCAGCTCTGGGGCATAGGCTTGTTCCCCCCCTCCCTGAGTTTAGTCAGGCCTCACCCTGATTTCTCCTGCAGTCTGACTACCTGCTTCAAGATTACCCAGTCACGGTGGCCTCGAACCTGCAGGAGGTGAGTCACAGTGGGAGAGGCCCTGGGGCAGACAGAGCAGGGGGGGGGGAAGGACAGGAGAGGGCAGGCACTTCTCCCTCAGCTCCAGGACTCCAGGCCTTGGCCTCCTCCCCAGCCCCAGGCCAGAGGCCAGGCCCCTCCTTCTGCCGGGACAGTGACAGGGATGGGTCCTGCTGGCAGGAGGAATTGTGCCCGGCTCTGTGGCGGCTGCTTCTGGCTCAGCGCTGGATGGAGCAACTCAAGGCAGTGGCCGGGGCTCATCTGCACGCCCTCCTGGAGAAGGTCAACACAGAGATCCATTTTGTCACCACATGCCCCTTCCAGGTCAGCTCTGAACCTGGGGGGCAGATGGGGATAGGATGGGGTACACAGCTCCCTTGGGCATTACCACTAGGTCTTGGGGTGGGGGGAGTGTGTGCACCAATCCTGGGGCTTGAACTCAGGACCTAGGCATTGTCCTTGAGCTTTTATGTTCAAGGCGCTCTACCACTTGAGCCAAAGGCGCTCTACCACTTGAGCCACAGCTCCCCATCTGGCTTTTCTGGGGGTGCATTGGAAGTTAAGAGTCACACAGACTTTCCTGCTCAGCTGGCTTCGAACCTCCATCCTCAGATCTCAGCCTCCTGAGGAGCTGGGATGACAGGCATGAGCCACCAGGGCGTGGCTTCTGTGGGGTGTTTGAGGAGCTCGTTCCTGGGGGATCCGGGCCTCCAGTTCCTCAGGCTCAGGGGTTCTCTCCCGTAAGTTCAGTGCAGCCTGCAGAGGGGTGACGTGGTGGTGACATGTCCCTCCCCTGCCCCCAGCCCCTCCCCAGCTGTCTCCGCTTCGTCCAGACCAACATCTCCCACCTCCTGCAGGACACCGCCCGGCAGCTGGCGGCCCTAAAACCCTGGATCACCCGCCGCAATTTCTCTCGGTGCCTGGAGCTGCAGTGCCAGCCGGGTAACTGTGCCCCCAGCCCCCAAGCCCGCCAGCCCCTGCCCCACACCCCCCACAGCCCACCAGCCCTGACCCCCTCCCCTGGGACCCTCCTCAGCCCCGCGCCTCCACAGAGCATGTTCAAGTTCATCCCGCACATACAATGGTCTCTGTGTGTGTGTGTGTGTGTGTGTGTGTGTGTGTGTGTGTGTGTGTGTATACTAGGGCTTGAACTCAAGTACTAGGTGCTGTCCCTTACCTTTTTGTTTATTTTTTATGTGGTGCTGAGGAATTGAACCCAGGGCCTCATGCATGCTAGGCAAGCACTACACCACTGAGCCACCTTCCCAGCCCGTCCTTTACCTTTTCTTTTTTTTTCCCCCACTTTGGTCAGTCATGGGGCTTGAACTCTGAGCCTGGGCGCTGTCCCTTAGCTCTTCAGCTCAAGGCAAGCACTCTACCACTTGAGCCACAGCACCACTTCTGGTTTTCTGGTTCATTGAAGATAAAAGTCTTATGGACTACTGCCCAGGCTGGCTTTGAACCAGAATCCTCAGATCTCAGCCTCCTGAGTAGCTAGGATTACATGTGTGAACCACTGGCACCCAGCATCTTTATTTTTATTATGTATTTGTACTTTTTTTATTTTTTTTTTGGGTCAGTCATGGGGCCTGAACTCTGGGCCTGGGCAGTGTCCTTCAGCTTTTCAGCTCAAGGCTAGCGCTCTACCACTTGAGCCACAGCACCACTTCTGGCTTTTCCTGCTTATGTGCTGCTGAGGGATTGAACCCAGGGCCTCATGCATGCAAGGCAAACACTCTACCACTGAGCCACTCTCCCAGCCCTTTTATTATGTATTTTATTGTAAAGGTGATGTACAGAGGGGTTACATTTACAGGCGTAAGATAATGAGCACATTTCTTTCTTTCTTTCTTTCTTTTTTTTTGTCGGTCGTGGGACTTGAACTCTGGGCCTGGGCGCTGTCCCTCAGCTCTTCAGCTCAAGGCGAGCACTCTACCACTTGAGCCACAGCGCCACTTCCGGTTTTCTGGTGGTTTATTGGAGATAGGAGTCTCACGGTCTCTCCTGCCCGGGCTGGCTTTGAACCGCGATCCTCAGATCTCAGCCTCCTGAGTAGCTAGGATTACAGGCATGAGCCACCAGTGCCCAGCTCTTTTTTTTTTTTTTTTTGTCGTGGGGCTTGAACTCTGGGATTGGGTGCTATCCCTCAGCTCTTCAGTTCAAGGCGAGCGCTCTACCGCTTGAGCCACAGCACCATTTCTGGTTTTCTAGCGGTTTATTGGAGATAAGAGTCTCACGAACTTTCCTGCCCGGGCTAGCTTTGAACCTCGATCCTCAGATGTCAGCCTCCTGAGTAGCTAGGATTACAGGCATGAGCCACCAGCGCCCGGCTAGCACGTTTCTTTCCAAACAGTGTTACTCTCTCCCTCATTTTCAGCCTCAGTTTTTTTTTTCTTTTCTTTTCCTTTTGTTGATCGAGGGGCTTGAACTCTGAGCCTGAGTGCTGTCCCTCAGCTCTTCAGCTCAAAGCAAGCACTCTGCCACTTGAGTCACAGCACCACTTCTGCTTTTCCGGTGGGTTATTGGAGATGAGTTTCATGGACTTTCCTGCCCCGGCTGGCTTTGAACTGCGATCCTCAGATCTCAGCCTCCTGAGTAGCTTGGCTGACAGGCATGAGCCACCAGTGACCCACCAGCCTCAGTTTCTTTTTCTTTCTTTTTTTTTTTTTGTCAGTCATGGGGCTTGAACTCTGGGCCTGGGCGTTGTCCCTCAGCTCTTCAGCTCAAGGCTAGTGCTCTACCACTTGAGCCACAGTGCCACTTCTGGTTTTCCAGTGGTTTATTGGAGATAAGATTCTCACGGTCTTTCCTGCCCGGGCTGGCTTTGAACCACAATCCTCAAATCTCAGCCTCCTGAGTAGCTAGGATTACAGGCATGAGCCACCGGTGCTCAGCTAAGACTCATTTTCTTAAATTAACCAAAGTATAGAAATTAACCAAAGCAGGAACCTGACAAGGGTCCTGTCTACCAGCTTTACTCAGGTGTAACAATTCTTGCTGTCCACTTGTGTATTAGTTTGCTGCTGCTGCTCTAACAAAATCTTACAAACCTGTGACCTAAACCACAGAAAGCAGTGGACTCCCCCGGACAAGGTCAAGTACATGGTTTTTCTGTCAGCCAGAGCTATGTTTCTCTTGGCTTATAGACAGCCATCTTTCCGGTCATATGATCTCGGTCTTTGCTCATCAACTTTCCTGTTTGTTTTTGTTGGTCGTGGGGGCATGAACTCTGGACCAGGGTGCTATCTCTGAGCTCTTCAGCTCAAGGCAAGTGCTCTACCACTTGAGCCACAGCGCCACTTAGGGTTTTCTGCTGGTTCATTGGAGATAAGAGTCTCACGGACTTTCCTGCCCAGGTTGGCTTTGAACTACAATCCTCAGATCTCAGCCTCCTGAGGAGCTAGGATGACAGGTGTGAGCCACCGGCTTTGGCCTCCTGTTGTTTTTTGAGACTGGATCCTGCTGTGTGGCCCAGGCCAGTCTCAAACTCTATCCATCCACCTGCCTCAGCCTACCTGGCACTGGAATCACAAGCAAGTGTCAGCACACCTAGCAGCCAGTGTCTTATGAGGGGAGACAGTGATCCACTGCAGTGTGTGTGTGTGTGTGTGTGTGTGTTTGTGTGTGTGTGTGTGACCCAGGCAGTCTTGCCTTCTGCCCAGGTTGGTGGGGTCCCCACCAGGATCCAGAGACTTTGTGCCATCACCGCAAACCACCTGCCACCAGTTGCCATCTCTGAGCCCTGAGAACCGCTGTCCTCTTCCCTGTAATTATGTTGTTGAACTTCATTGCAGTGATTTAAAATTCACTCTTTTTCTCTTCCCATCGTTTTCCTAATTTTCTTTCACCTGCCTGGCAAGCACTCTACCGCCCCCCAGCCTGTATCTCCATTCACATGTTATGGAATGCAGTACCCCCAAAAGAGTACCTTTCAACACATTATCTATCTCCAGTATCTAGCGCTCTATATTGGTGGGGAGTTTTTTTTTGTTGTTTTTTTTTTGGGGTCCGGTTGTGGGGCCTGAACTCTGGGCCTGGGCGCTGTCCCTCAGCTCTTCAGCTCAAGGCTAGTGCTCTACCACTTGAGTCACAGCACCACTTCCTGCTTTTTTCTTTTTGCTTATGTGGTGCTGAGGAATCGAACCCAGCGCCTCAGGCATGCAAGGCAAGCGCTCTACCACTGAGCCACCTTCCCAGCCCCTATTGGTGGTTTTTGTTTCTCAAGTCTAGGCTGCTCTCCAATTTCCTACTCAGCCCAGGTTGGCTTTGAACTCTTCCATCCTGGGATTACAGCCATGTGCCACCACACCCATTTTATACTCAGTACTTTCAAACATGATCTAGTGAACCATGTATGCTTATAACTCCACCTACTGGGGAAAGGGAGGCAAGCGCTCCCTTGAGCCTGAGTTCTATGGGAGGCTTCTTAACGTGCTAAGACCTTGGCTCAAAAAGAAAGAAAGGAAAAGAAAATAGGAGCTAGGTGCCAGTGGCTCACAGCTAGAAATCCTAGCTACTCAAGGACTCCAGGGCACCCTGATCACCAATGAATCAGCAAGAAGCCTGAAGAGCAGCGTTAGCCTTGAGTGACAAAGCTAAAACAGAGCACAAGTCCCAGAGTTTGAGCTTCAGTGTTGGCGCGCTCGTGCGCGTGCGCGCGCGCGCGCACACACACACACACACACACACACACACACACACACACACACACACACACACACACACACACACACACACACACACACACACACACACACACACACACACACACACACACCCCCTCGAGGCTGTGGAGCAGCTCCGCTGTGCACAGAGGCTCTGTTAGCTGTGGATGATCTGTCTGTACACTCACTGAGGTCCTGGCAGACAGTAAACCAGACAACTGACCACCTGTTCCTGCACAAAGCTCACCTACTACATGGAGAAAAAAGACAAACCCCGGCAAACACTAGAAATCGTTAAACTTGGAGGATTCAAACTAAAATATAATCCCTTTCTGTTCCAAGTCTTCTAAGCATATTGTATATTCCCTGGACTTCTTTTTTTTTCTTTTTGTCAGTTCTGGGGCTTGAACTCTGAGCCTACTCCAGGCTGGCCTGGAACTTGCTGGAACTACAGATGTGTAACTACGATACCCAGCTTTTACTGCAGATGAGGAAATTGAATTAGAGAGAGGCCAGAAGCCAAGTGAGGTTACCGTGAACCCCAGGCAGGCCTCCTTTACCCTCCCTGACAAGGCCCTTTCTCCTCCTTGGTTACCCAGCTTCCTCTGTCTCCCCAGACTCCTCCACCCTGCTGCCCCCGACTCCCGGGGCCCTGGAAGGGACAGCACTGCCCGCCTCCCAGCCTTCCTTGCTGCTGCTCCTGCTGCTGCTGCCCGCTGCCCTCCTACTGCTGCTGGCCACTGCCTGGTACCTGCGCTGGCAGAGGCTGGCAAGGGCGCTGCCCCACCCCGGGGAGCAGGTGAGCCAGCCAGGCAGGCAGAGCCTGGAGGTGGTGGTTACAAGGGACTGGGGTGGCTTGGAGGCCCTGCCCTGCCCAAGGCTGATCCCGTGGGGGCCACAGCTGCCCCCTGCCCCCCGCCCTCAGGATACACTGCTGCAGGAGCGATGACCTGGCCACAGCCTCATCTTGGTGAGTCCTCACAGAGGCCAGGGCCGTGCATGGGGTGTGGACAGTGTTGAGGCTCTGTGGAGACAGGAGAGCCGCTGGCAGGGGAGGGGCCGAGGCAGTGAGGAAAATGCCCCTCTGGGCCAAAGAAGAGGTTGGGGGAGAACTAGAAAACCTGGGGTGAGGGCTGAGAAGGTGGCTCAGTGGTAGAGTGCCTGCCTAGCATGCATGAAGCCCTGGGTTCCATTCCTCAGTATCACATACACAGAAAAAGCCTGAAATGGAGCTGTGGCTCAAAGGGTAGAGTGCTAGCCTTGAGCAAAAGAAGCTCAGGGACAGCGCCCAGGCTGAGTTCAAGCCCCAGGACTGGCCAAAATAAAAGCCTGGAGTGAGATTTTTTATTTTTATTTTTTTTTATTAGTCATGGGCTTGAACTCAAGAGCCTGGGCACTGTTCCTGAGCTCTTTTGCTCAAGGCTGGTGCTCTATCACTTTGAACCACAGCACTACTTCTGGATTTCTAGTGATTCATTGGAGATAAGGCTCTCATGGGACTTTCCTGCCCAAGCTGGCTTCAAGCCATGATCCTCAGATCTCAGCCTCCTGAGTCACTAGGATGACAGTTTTCAGCCACCAGCACCCGGCTTTGATTTTTTTTTTTTTTTTCCCGGTTGTGGGGCTTGAACTCTGGGCTTGGGTGCTATCGTTCAGCTCTTCAGCTCAAGGCAAGCCCTCTACTGTTTGAGCCACAGCACCACTTCTGGTTTTCCAGTAGATTATTGGAGATAAGAGTCTCATGGTCTTTCCTGCCCCGGCTGGCTTTGAACCTCGATCCTCAGATCTCAGCCTCCTGAGTAGCTAGGATTACAGGCGTGAGCCACCAGCACCCAGCTCTGGCTTTGATTTTTGTCTGAACTCAGAGCCTGGATGCTATCCTTTAGATTTTTTGTTCAAGGCTGGTGTTCTTACCACTTGAGCCACACCTCCATTTCTAACTTTTTGGTAGTTAATTGGACTTTCCTGCTCAAGCTGACTTTGAACTACTACCTTCAGATCTCAGCCTTCTGAGCGTGTGGGATGACAGGCGTGAGTCACCAGCATCTGGTGCCCTGCTGCTGGTTTTAATAGAGGAGTTGGCACTGATCACCATGGGTGTGGCTCAGTGACAGCCTGGCTAGTGGGGGTCCAAGAGGAGTGATACCAAGCAGGGGGGTTGGCTGAGGGAATGAGGGACCCTGGGAGATGCAGGAGTCTATGGGCCAGGACAGAGTAGCCCCCTGGGGGCAGGAATGACCTGGGATTCCAGAGGGAATGGTCTTAGCTGAGCCTCTAGGATGGCACAATTCAAAGTGTTCAAGTAACTTCAGCTACTGGCACAAGGATATAAGCCATGGGAGACCAGGTGCTGGTGGCTCAGGCCTGTAATCCTTGCTCCTCTGGAGGCTGAGATCTGAGGATCATGGTTTAAAGCCAGCCCTGGCAGGTAAGTCCAATTAACCACCAGAAAACCAGAAATAGAGTCATGGCTCAAAGTGGTAGAGCACTAGCCTTGAGCAAAAGAACTCAAGGACTGCACCCAGGCCCTGAGTTCAACCCCATGACGGAGAGGTGGGAGTGGAGGAGCCATGGGAGGTGAGGGGGGGGTGAAAAGAATGTAAATACGTGTGGAAATGCTAGGTTTCCAGGACCAGATGAGTCTAACAAAAACACTTCTCAAAGGGCACTGGTAGCTCATGCCTGTAATCTTAGCTACTCAGGAGGCTGAGATCTGTGGATTGTGATTCAAAGCCAGCCTAAGCAGGAAGTCCAAGACACTCTGTCTTGTTTTGTTTTTGTCAGTCACAGGGCTTGAACTCTGGGCTTGGGCGCTGTCCCTGTGCTCTTCAGCTCAAGGCAAGCAAGCACTCTACCGCTTGAGCCACAGCACCACTTCCAGTTTTCTAGTGGTTTATTGGAGAAAGAGTCTTGTGGACTTTCCTGCCCGGGCTGGCTTTGAACCGCAATCCTCAGATCTCAGCCTCCTGAGTAGCTAGGATCACAGGCGTGAGCCACAAGCACCCGCCTGGCTGTTCCTCAGCTCTTCAGCTCAAGGCTAGCCCTCTACTGCTTGAGCCGTAGCACCACTTCGTTTGTTTGTTTGTTTGTTTCTGGTGGTTAATTGGAGATAAAAGTCTCAGGGACTTTCTTGCCTAGGCTGGCTTTGAACCTCGATCCTCAGAGCTCAGTCTCCTGAGTAGCTAGGATTACAGGTGTGAGCCACCGGCACCTGGCCTTGAGACCCTTATCTCCAATGAATCCTCAGAAAAACAGAAGTAGCTGCTATGACTCCAGTGGTAGAGCACTCGGTTTGAGCTGAAGAGCTCAGGGACAACACCCAGACCCATTGTTCAAGCCCCATTTCCAAAAAACCAAACAAAAGATACTTCTCAAGCCCAGCCCTGGTGACTCAAGCCTGTAATCCTGTTACTCAGGAGGCAAGATCTGAGGATCCCAGCCAACCCTGGTAGACAAATCCCAGAGAGTCTTAACTCCAATGGACTTTTTAAAAAGCTAGAAATGAGCTGGGGACCAGTAGCTCACACCTGTAATCTTAGGTATTCTGGAGGCTTAGATCTGAGGACTGAACTTCAAAGGTAGCCCAGATAAGAAAGCCCATGAGGCCTGGCGCTGGTGGCTCATGCCTGTAATCCTAGCTACTCAGGAGGCTGAGATCTGAGGATCGAGGTTCAAAGCCAGCCCGGGCAGGAAAGACCGTGAGACTTCTATCTCCAATAAACCACCAGAAAACCGGAAGTGGTGCTGTAGCTCAAATGGTAGGGCGCTCGCCTTGAGCTGAAGAGCTGAGGGACAGCGCCCAGGCCCGGAGTTCAAGCCCCACGACCAACAAAAAAAAAAAAAAAAAAAAAGAAAGCCCATGAGATTCTTGGCTCCAATTAAATATCACAAAAGCTTGAACTGGAGCTGTGTTTCAAGGGATAGAGCATGAGCTTTACGCAGAAAAGCTCAAGGAGCCAGGCTCTGGTGGCTCATTCCTGTAATCCTAGCTGCTCAAGAGGCTGAGATCTAAGGATCATCAATTAATCACAGAAAAAGCGGTACAAGTGCTAGAGTGCTAGCCTTGAACGAAAGGAGCTCACAGACAGCACCTAGGTCTAGAGTTCAAGCCTCTGGACTGGCAAAAAAACCAAACAACCAAACAAACAAACAACTCAAGGACAGAACCCAAGCCATAAGTTTAAGAACAGGATCAGTAATCCCTCCCCTGCCGGGGGGGGGGGGGGGGGGGGGGGCAGGGGGGGGGGGGAAGCTGGAAATGAACTGAGGCTCAAGCGACAGAATACCAGAACTGAGCAGAACTGGCCCTAAATTCAAACCCTAGAACTGACACTGACACATGCCCACACACATACAAAGTTCTCAGCTGGGCATGGAGGTACATGCCTATAATCTCATCACTCAGGAGTCTGAGGACAAAAGGATCAGAAGCTTAAGGCCAGCTTGGGCTACATAAGGAGACTCTGTCTCATAACAGGAAAACAAAACTCCATTGTTATTTCCCATTTTCCACTCTTGTTTCTGTCTAGCCAGTCTTCCCACTCTCAATAACCATGTTGTTTCTTTTCTTTTTAGAGACATATTGAACTTCGGACTTTCCCTCTTTTGTGTAATGATTTTTTTTTTGGTTAGTCCTGGTGCTTGAGCTCGGGCCTAGATGCTGTCCTTGAGCCTCTTTGTATTCAAGGCTGGAGCTCTACCACTTGAGCCACAGCCCCACTTCTGACTCTTTCTGAGCAGTTTACTGGAGATAAGAGTCTCCATGGGGGGCTGGGAAGGTAGCTCAGCGGTAGAGTGCATGCCTTGCAAGCATGAGGCCCTGGGTTCGATTCCTCAGCACCACATAAACAGAAAAAGCCAGAAGTGGCGCTGTGGCTCCAGAGGTAGAGCACTAGCCTTGAGCTGAAGAGCTGAGAGACAGCGCCCAGACCCAGAGTTCAGGCCCCATGACCAGCAAAAAAAAAAAAAGAGTCTCCATGGGGCAGAGAAGGTGGCTCAGTGGTAGAGCGCTTGCCTTGCATGCATGAAGCCCTGGGTTCGATTCCTCAGCACCACATACGCAGGAAAAAAAAGCCGGAAGTGGCGCTGTGGCTCAAGTGGTAGAGCGCTAGCTTTGAGCTGAAGAGCTGGGGAACAGCACCCAAGCCCAGAGTTCAGGCCCCACGACCGGACTCCCCCCCCAAAAAAAAATTAAACAAGAGTCTCCAAGGACTTTTCTGCCCAGGCTGGCTTTGAACCATGATCTTCAGGTTTGTCTACTGAGTAGATAGGATTACAGGCGTGAGCCACCAGCACCCAGCTTCTACCAAGCTTTTAATAACCTAGTAAGAGTAACATTTGTTCATCCAACGTGACAGGTAAAGGCACTGGGGCCCAGCAAGAGGAGAAACCTGCCAGAGGACACACTGCCAGGACACAAAGGAAGCTGGCTGCAGGCTGGTCCTTTCCCGGGCTGGGCTGCCCACACTGCCTGTCTCCCCAACATGGACAAAATGTCCCAACCCAGCCCTCACCCTCCTTCCCCACCTCTGTACAAAGCCCTTGTCTCAATGAACTTGTATATAAATCATTCTTTTCTACCAGCCTTGTGCAGCCTGTGTGTGGACGGGGCAGGGTGTGAACAGTGCAGTGAACAGCTTTCCATTTTTCAGTTAATGCAATGTTTTCTGAGGCCTCCTGGGTAAGGTGTGGGGGGAGAAGGGAGGAATGTCCCGGGCCTAGATCTGGACATAGCTAGGACCCAAATGGGAGGCAGAAGCACCCCAGTCCTCCTTGGACTCCTGGTCTTTGAAGAAAATTCTGGACTCTCAGAACAGGATGCCACATGCTGTAGTGAAGGTTACACAGTGTGGAAGCCCCAGGAGTCATTCACCCAGGCCGGGATAGATCAGGCAGGCTGGCTTTCTCTAGAGGACGGGACTCTTGGGCCATAGGACATCGGATTTTGCCAACACAGCTCTGGGAAGAAAGATGGGAGCAGGGAGGATATCCCAGGGGAAAGGACACCGCCAAAGCAGGAAACCGGTGGCTCACGCCCGTCATCCCAGCCACTCAGGAGGCTGAGATCTGAGGATCGCGGTGGTTCAAAGCCACCTCGGATAAGAAAAGTCCGTGAGAACCAGCAAAAAGCCGGAAGTGGAGCTGTGGTTCAAATGGTAGAGTGCCATCCTTGAGTGAAAAAACTCAAGGCACAGCACGCAGGCTCTGAGTTCAAGCCTCAGGACAGGCGGGGAGGGGGGCGAAGGGGGCGAGGAACAAGCCAATCAAACACTGAGAGCCGCACAAGAGAAAAGCTTCTTGCGGGGAAGTCATTCATGTACGGCTCGTCGAACTCGCACTGGGTCCCGCACCTCCACCTGCTTTACAGACGGGGTTCTACGCGGGGCTCGCCCTCTGCGGGCCACCGCATGCCCTGCAGCCTTCGGTCGGAGCCCCGCTGGGGGTCATGGCGCTGCCCTTCTTCCCGGGCGGGGACGAACGCACACGGACGAGATCCATTGTACGGCAACCGTCCCCGCCGGGCCTCCGGAAGACCCATGTGACCTCCCCTCGCCCCGCCCAGATTCCACCAGCGTACACTGGATTGGACAGTTAGAAAAAAACCCGCCTTCCAGCGGGGCAAAACTGCGCACGCGCCAAAAACTTCGACCAATGAGAAGAAGGAGAGCTCGTCACGCGGCTCGGGCTGTATCACTTCCTCCGCCCCTGCAGCAAGGGATAAGAAACCCTGCGCCAATACTTCTTCCTTTTCCAGGCGGCTGCCGAAGATGGCGGAGGGGCAGGTTGGTGCTCTGTGCCGGCCGGGCGGCGTGGGGTCGGGCAGGGTCGGGGCGAGAGCCGAGCTGGGGCTTCCGACTCCCTTCCACGTGTACGATGGAGCCTAAAGTTGACAAGTAATCAGCATGGAGCTGTTTTGGCATAAGGGGAACCAAGCGTGGCCATAGAAAACCGTGGCCGGCTTTATGGTTCTGGAAATGGCAAGGACGCGGCTTTTTGTTCCTTTCCGAGGTGAGGGGTGTGGGTTTCCAGCACCGGAAAAGGTTTTTACTGCCAATCTTTGCCGGGTAACGTTGGCAGGACTTAGGGTGAGGTTTGGGCTGGACTTAGATCGATGATCGGGCTGATGTTGGGGCAAAAGGCGAAACAGTTAAGTTTGCGAAGACTCAGGCGGCTGCCCGGGCCCTCGGCGCACCTCAGTTCCCCTCGTCCCAGCCGTGTCGATTGTGTGTGAGGCGAGGCTGCACCTGGGATGGGCTCTCTGCGTCTCCCACGTTTTTGAGTGGGGGGGTGGAGGGGAATCTAGACAAGTGGGATAGAGTCAGCTTGAGAGTCTCCCCATAGCGCGGATATATTGCTCGGTTCGATGGCTAGCCTCGTTTTAGATGGGGGGAGGGATCAGCTTGAGGGAGTGAATCCCCCACCTCTAGTTTTGACATGGAGTCTCACTGTGTGGCCCATGGTGTCCGACTTTGGATTGTCAGCCTCAGCCTCCTGAACGCTGGGAATATGGGCATGCGCCACCACACCCTGACTGGAGAGTTTTTAAGGCGGAGTAAAATGTTTAAATTTGCATTGGGTATTCCACTGCCTCATAGGTGTTTTAGAAAGCGTGAGATCTACTTGCCATAGTCCATCAATTACCATATATACTGTGTTGCACAGAGCATACTGTGTTACTCACGGTATGTAACAATCCAAATTATCCCCTTGTATTAAGTTGGGCTTCTGATCGTCCCTCTGAAGCTGAGGATCTGTGCTTCAGCATTTGACCTAGGGATTCAGGCCCAGGGTGGGCGTTTTGACTAGTCTCATCTTCTCCCACCTTAAATGCTTGTTAAATTTCTTGTTAAGAAATTTAGGATAGCACCAGGTGTGGTGGCTTGTGCCAATAATCCCAGCTACCGGGGAGGCTGAGGCAGGAGGACCGCTTGAGACCCGAAGAAATGCAGGACATAACATAAAGTACGTCTTACACATGAAGGGTATTAGGTGGCTTAAGGATCGGAGATATAATGTGTACAGAAATAATCTTGGAGTCCATGACCTGTGAGGGGGATTTTGGAGTCCACCCCTAGGCTGATAGGTTAGCCTTGCTCTTGTTTTGAGCTGCTAAGGAGAAGCAGCTGGGGTGAGGGGCAGCATAAAGTGATGGTGTTTTGGGGTGGGCATGTCAGCCTGTTAATCCTTAACCTCATTCATCTTTCTCCCACAGGTCCTGGTGCTAGATGGCCGAGGCCATCTCTTGGGCCGCTTGGCAGCCATCGTGGCCAAACAAGTGCTGCTTGGTAAGTGTCCACATCTGCCCCATTCCAGGACACACACAGCTGGAGGTCAGTGATGAGCAACAATCACCATCTTTCGTTTGAGTCTCAAGACCATGAGATCAACCCCATGCACCGCTCTGAGACCTGCCAGCCATTCCCTTCCCTCAGTGGCAGAAGTGTTTTGGGTCCTTGAGCTGGAGCCCTGGTTGACCCTGCTCTTCCTTCCATCCCCATCTAGGCCGCAAGGTGGTGGTTGTACGATGTGAGGGCATCAATATTTCTGGGAATTTCTACAGAAATAAGTGTAAGTTAGGACGTGGGAAGAGGACTGGGGAGAGCCTGCAGGACCGATCACGGCAGTGGGGTGGCAGTGCTGCTGAGACCTCGGCAACCAGGCAGTCCTCCCTCATTCTCCCTCCCTGCAGTGAAGTACCTGGCCTTCCTCCGCAAGCGGATGAACACCAACCCTTCCCGCGGCCCTTACCACTTCCGGGCCCCTAGCCGCATCTTTTGGCGGACTGTGCGAGGTGAGCAGGTCCTGAGGGAGGAGGGGAAAGGGGGATGGGTGGCAGCCAATGATGACAACATCTCCCACTCTGTTCGAGTTTCCCAACCATGAGACTACTCCACATGCACTACCATCTGAGGCCGCCTCAGCCCACCATACTGGAGGGCTGCCTCAGAAGCTGTGCTGACAGACACCCTCTGCCAACAGGCATGCTGCCCCACAAGACTAAGCGAGGCCAGGCTGCCCTGGAACGCCTCAAAGTGTTCGATGGGATCCCACCACCCTACGACAAGGTGAGTGGCTCAGACCCTGGCTGCCTGCCCACGCACTCGTGTCTATGATGTTGGCAAATTACCTACATTGTTTGATCCTTGTGAAAAATAAAATCCACTGAGACACCCCATACCCAACAGCGTTTCCCCACGAGCTCTACCACCCCTCTATAAGCCTCTCTTCTCAACAGAAAAAGCGCATGGTGGTCCCTGCTGCCCTTAAGGTCTTAAGACTGAAGCCCACGAGGAAGGTGAGTTCCAGGTCACCCACGTACTGCCTGGGGGGGGGTTAAGGGCAGTAGAACCCTAATGGCAAGTGATGTCTTTTCTCACGATGGTCTGCGGATGCCACCGCGGGCAATGCCGATAACGCCAAAGGCTCAGCTGATGCCAAGAGGGGGATGGTCACATTTCCTAACAGCTGGTTGGGAGAGTGTGGGTGGGGGGAAGTCCCATCACTACAACAGTTTACTTCCCCTATGGGGATGCTGTCTGTCTTTAACAACCCCCTTCCTCCCAGTTTGCCTACCTGGGGCGCCTGGCTCACGAGGTCGGCTGGAAATACCAGGCAGTGACAGCCACCCTGGAGGAGAAGAGGAAGGAGAAGGCCAAGATTCACTACCGGAAGAAGAAGCAGCTGATGGTGAGCACAGGGTGCCTCTGTGGGACCTACATCCTGAGGAAGGGGTTCCAGGTAACAACCTCCCACCTCCTTCCTTGTCCTACAGAGACTGCGCAAGCAGGCAGAAAAGAACTTGGAGAAGAAAATCAACAAGTTCACAGATGTCCTCAAGACCCATGGACTCCTGGTGTGAGCCCAATAAAGACTGTTTATGCCTCATGCCTGGCCTTCCTGCCCTTCCTCATAGTGCTTGGGAAGTTGGGGACCTGGACCCCACTCACTGACCTGGTGCCATAGGCAAACAGGGACCTAGAAAGTGGGGACAATAGAAAACAGGTGCTTAGGACCAGTGAATCCTTTAAACAGGTCCTACACTTCTGACTGACCTGGCTTATGGTCTGATTGCAAGATACTGTAGTGAACAGCAAGCTGGTCAAATTGGTTGCAGTGGTGGAAGTACTTGGATGCTCCCAGGCAGTGAAGCCCTCCCTGTCCGGCTCTCCCTGCCCATGAGGCCCCTCATACCCTGCAGCTGTCTGAATGGGGCCCCAACCTACTAGGGAGTTAAGAAGTCCACAGCACAGGTGAAGGCCTGCCTACCTGCTTCTGTTGTTTCCCTCTTGTGATCAGAAATAAATTATTTTTGAAGTGTCCACTGTGTGCATGTGTCTGCTGTGGAAATAGACCCCTGTTAAATGTAGTAGGGGCTGAGAACTATTAACTTTCTGGGTGATGAGACCTCATTCTGACTCAGCTGCAGGGTACTGGGTTGCCAAGGGCCAGATACTAGAGCCAACTATGAAGTTAAGGCCTCACCTGCAGCAAAAAGCTGGTTTTAGTAGCTGAGCGTGGTGACATGTGCCTGTAATCTCAGTGCTGCAACAGTAGCAAAACTGGTTCACATAGATAATCCACCCCACCTCTGAAAAATAAGTAGTTTAGCTGCCACAAAATTGTAGCCCAGGTGCAAGCAAGAGGCCAGGTTACAAAAGTTGAAAATGGTCAAGGCCCAAAGTTACAGCAAGAAAGAGCAGAACTATGAGAGATGTTAGATCACTAATACAGTTTTCTCTAGGGCCTGAAATCTGGGCCTGGGCACTATCCCTCAGCTCTTCAGCTGGTGATCGCAGAGCTAACAGTTCTGAGTTTTCAGGGTTGTGAAAAAAATGGAAAAGCCTTGGACCTTTTAAGATTTTCTTTTTTTGGTCAGTGGTGGGGCCTGAACTGTGGGCCTGGGTGTTGTCCCTCAGTTCTTCAGCTGAAGGCTAGGGTTCTACCACTTCAGCCTCAGCCCCACTTCCGTTTTTTTCGGCTTATGTGGTGCTGAGGAATCCAACCCAGGGCCTCATGCATGCAAGGCAAACGCTCTACCACTGAGCCACCTTCCCAGCCCTTAAGATTTTTTTTTCCCCCCCTTATGAAAACTACCAGCTATTTGAGCACTTGGTAAATTGCAACTAGGAGAAATATAACTTTGCTGATCCCTGGCCAGACAAGGTACCAGGACACTACTGCATTTTTTTAGCCAAACCCTTCAACTCGGTAAGGCTGCTGTCCCTAACCTCTGCTCAAGGCTAAGGCTTCATTTGAGTCACTGCTATATCCTGCTTTTTTCTAAGTAGTTTATAGGAGATGAAAGTCAGATTTGAATGCTGGAGCTGGCGTTGAACTGTGATTCTCAGATCTCAACCTTCTGAGAAGCTAGGATTACAGGATTGAGCCATTTTTCCTAGTAACTTCTTAGGGTTTGAAACATCTGATGAGTATCCAGGGATGCCAGGCAGGCTTGCCTTGTTCTTAGATCTGCCAGGCTCAGCAAACCTCTTCCTAGAAATCACAACTAATAAGATAGGGGTGGTTAGAATGTGTTGTCAATGAAAACGCAACAGTAAAATCCACCCTTCATAAAACCAACATGAGCTAATAAAGCACAATCAACTCCTAAATTCAGTTTACTCCAGAAATTGCTTTCTTGACCAATAGTAGCTTAGGAAGCTACTACAGTTTATAAAATTCAATGTTACCAATAGAAAGGCAGGGGGGAAAAGTGAAAACTGCCAGGCACCAGTGGTTAACGCCTATTAATCTTAAATTACTAAGGAGCTTGACATCTGAGGGTCATGGTTTGAAGCCAGCCAAGGCAGCAAAGTCAGTAGGACTCATTTCCAAAAAGGAGTGCAGCTGTGGCTCAAGTGCTTGAACAGAAAAGCTCAGGAATACGCCCAGGCCTTGAGTTCAAGCCCCAGAGCCGTCAAAAGCCCCCACAAACGTCCTGAGTGCAAAAGTCACAGTCCACCGCCAATGGCTACGTGTTTAAATCGCATGCAAATACGGATTATTACCATCACCGTGGTAAATTCTAGTACACATGGAATAGCAGCAGACTAGTGACCTTGGTGCACGAATCTGGGGTATAAATGGAACAGAGGGCAGTCACAGTCGCTTAGCTTTCTAAAAGGCAGCCCGGCAGCCACCCAAATAACAAAATTACACGTGGTCCGAACACCCGCTTGCCCTGAAGAAAGATGGCCGCCGCCCCTTCAGGTTTGAAGCCGGCAGGAACTCAGCCATGCGGTTTCCCCTTTCCGTGTGAACGTATGCCTCTTGGTCACGGAATGGCCTCGCCGCGTCACCTCGTGATAACATAAGCCAAACCTTCCCTAACCTGAATGGGATTCTCGCGAGACCCTGCGTACGGCTTCCCGCCTTTCAGTCTGTTCACCATCATGGCCGCGTACATGCAGTCACTGGACCGCGTGCTTGGTTAGGGCCCCCTGTCGATCAGAATCATAACGGAAGTACCGCCCAGAGAGGTCCCGCCCCTCTCGCTACTTCCTCTCCGGCCCCTGCGTAGTCCATAAGGAAACCCGGACGCCGGCGTCGCTCTCTTTTTTTTTCTAGGCGCCCGGGAAGATGGCGGACATTCAGGTACGCGCTCGGGGCTGGGGCCGATTCGGGAAACAGGCAGCTGTATGGGGTTCACTTGCATGCACCCCCAGTGGCCTAGGCGCTGACTCCGGCGGCGGGCGACTCTAGGCTGGCGTTTGCTAAGTGGTGGGGCCCCGGCGATGGAGCCCGAAGGGCCCGCGCCGCGGCCTGGCTCCCGAGGCCGAGTCCGGGGAGGCCTGGCTTGCTGCTGAAACGCAGGGTTCCCAGAGCCGGGAAGGCAGCCCTGGCCGGAAGCGGTGCCGAGCGCTCGGGGCGCCTCTGATCTCAGGGATGAGTTGGGCAGGTGGGGGGTGGGGGGTGTGAGCTGAAGTAACCCCGCGTTTTAGGCCTAGTCTTTGAGTGAAACGGGGCGCTGGGTCTCCAGGACTGGCGTTTGGGAAGGACGGATATGGAGGGAGGAGGGGGAGTTTCTAGCAAATTTTCCAGGTCTGCTCCAAGATCAAGCCTCACCAGCTAGCTAGCTCCCTCTTCCCTGTAGACGGAGCGTGCGTACCAGAAGCAGCCGACCATCTTCCAAAATAAGAAGAGGGTGCTGCTGGGAGAAAGTGGCAAGGAGAAGCTCCCCCGATACTACAAGAACATCGGTCTAGGCTTCAAGACGCCCAAAGAGGTGCGGTTCCAGGACCCCAGGAAGGGAGATGACTACCATGCTGTTGCCCACGTGTTGAGCAGTTTGCCCATCTGATACAGTGGTTGGCCCTGGGCTGCTGGGAATTGTAGTTTTTCTTTGGAAGCCAGGCTCCTCCCCCTGTTCAGGAAAGCTTGTCCTAGTGTCCTCTTTCCTCCCTCCACTCCCTCTTTTCAGGCCATTGAGGGGACCTACATTGATAAGAAATGCCCCTTCACCGGTAATGTCTCCATCCGAGGGCGGATCCTGTCTGGTGAGTGAATAGTTAATTCTGGGGGGCTTGGGGACCCAGTTGCAGGATTCAGAAGAGTCTGGCACAGGATGTTTTTTCATGATGGTCTTCAGATGTCTACTATAGGCACTGTTGAGAAAAATAGTTGGCAAGGCTGATGCCAGAAACAGGCCTCTGGGAAATAATCCCACCCTATCTAACACTCACCTAGCAACTTTTCTTGGGCTTCTTGGCTAACTTCCCAGGAATCCTGAACTGTACCCTCTGACCCCTGCTGCAGGCGTGGTGACCAAGATGAAGATGCAGAGGACCATTGTCATTCGCCGAGACTACCTCCACTACATCCGCAAGTACAATCGCTTCGAGAAGCGCCACAAGAACATGTCTGTGCACCTTTCCCCCTGCTTCAGGTGAGCATGGGGGAGGTGGCCCAGGCCTGGGCAGCTTGAGATTGAATGAAGCCCCTACTGGCTTCACATTTCTGGTATCACATTGCTCTGTTATCCTAACAGATGAGTTTCTTTGTCTTTGTTTTTTCTTTCACTTTTAGTTGTGGGGCTTGAAGTCAGGTGGGCCTGGGCGCTGTCCCTGAGATTTTCCCCTCATAACTAGTGCTCTAACACCTTGAGCCACAGTGCCACTTCCGTTATTTCTGATGGTTAACTGGAGATAAGAGTCTCACAAACTTTGCCCGGGCTGGTAGCAAACTGATCCTCAGATCTCAGTCTCCTGAGTAGCTAGGATTACAGGCATGAGCCATTGGTGCCTTGCCAGACGAGTTTCTTGTGTTTTGTTTTTGCAGTTTTGGCTTGCTGTGAGGGCTTTGAAGGTCCAACTCAGGGTCAGGACCTCACATTTTGTTGTTGTGTTTTTTGTGGGGCTTGTACTCTGGGTGGGCTGGTCGCTGTCCCTCAGCTCAAGGTCAGCATTCTACCACTTGAGCCACAGCACCTCTGGTTTTCTGAGTGGTTTATTGGAAACAAAAGAGGCTCATGGACTTCCTGCCCGGGCTGGCTTTCAATTGTAATCCTCAGATCTCAGCCTCCTGGGTAGCTAGGATTACAGGCATGAGCCACTGGCACCCGGCTTTTCACTTTTATGTGTCTATCACTTACACTGTAGGCTCTTTTTGCTTATGTGGTGCTGAGGAATTGAACCCAGGGCCTCATGCATGCAAGGCAAGCGCTCTACCACTGAGCCACCTTCCCAGCCCGAGGCTGTTTTTTTTGTTGTTGGTTTTTTTTTTTAGGGGGGCGGTGTCAATCATGGAGCTTGAACTCAGGGCCTGAGCACTGTCCCTGAGCTGTTTTTGTGCTTAAGGCAAGTACTCTACCACACAGCTTCATTTGAAGTTTTCTGTGGTTCATTGAAGGTAAGTCTCATGGACTTTACTCCCCAGGTTAGCTTTGAACCTTGATCTTCAGATCTTAATCTCCTGAGTGGCTTTAGAGTTAACAGTTGTGAGCCAGCAGCCTCTGGCCTGCCTTAGTTTTTTTTTTTTTTTTGTCAATCGTGGGGCTTGAACTCTGGGCCTGGGCGCTGTCCCTCAGCTCTTCAGCTCAAGGCGAGCGCTCTACCATTTGAACTACAGCACCGCTTCCGGTTTTCTGGTGGTTTATTGGAGATAGGAGTCTCACGGTCTTTCCTGCCGGGCTGGCTTTGAACCGAGATCCTCAGATCTCAGCCTCCTGAGTAGCTAGGATTACAGGCGTGAGCCACCAGCGCCCGGCTGCCTTAGTTATTTTTTAGATTGGGTTTTGTTGTTGTCGTTCTTTGCACAAGCCAACCTGGACCAGCATCTGTGACCCTGTTTATGCCTCCTGTGTAGCTGGCATCATGGCTATCCCCTCACCCTGATTTGTTGAGATGGTGTTATTATTTTTGCCCAGGGTTAACCTAGAAGTGTGATTCTTAGTCTCTGCCTCCCAAGTAGCCACTGTGCCTGGCACAAAATTTATCCCTATGCTGTGTGAGTTAGAACAGAGCAGTAGCTCATTGGACATAGTTGCCAGGAGGTACAGGTGAGGCTGGAGGGGCAGCAGCTGACCCCCTAGGAGGCCTGCCCTGCCTGTTCTCTGTAGATACCACAAGTGAAAGACCATGGTGAGATCAGGGACTAGGGGGCAGGTTGCCCTGGGGGCTGGGATTGAGCCAGAATGGAACACCTCAACCTGTGGACTGAGACAGGGTTTTTCCGGGTATCAACTGCTATGGTCCTTTCACAGGGACGTCCAGATCGGCGACATTGTCACCGTGGGCGAGTGCCGACCCCTGAGCAAGACCGTGCGATTCAACGTGCTCAAGGTCACCAAGGCCGCTGGCACCAAGAAGCAATTCCAGAAGTTCTGAGATGACACTGCCCCCTCCCAAGGACAAATAAAGTCATTTTCCACTCTCAGGCCAGCCTGTCTCTATATATCAACAGTGAGCGGCTCCTCCCACATGGAGATGAACCCCTGGGTTAAGCTGCTGCCTTGCCTGCATGGTTTCTGGTCTTTCACCTGAATTGAGACCACTACCTGGTGCCATGCTTTCTCCTCCGTCAGTCTCTGGGCGCAAGTGAGGGAGGCCTTCCTGGCCTCCTTGGGAGCCCCAGGGGGACATTTTCCAGAGTACATGGCTTTCTAGGCCCCAGATTCTGGAAGCTTCTTTGTACCAGCTGCCTCAATCCAGAGACTGCAACTGGGTACAGCTGGCTCCCGCCTTTAATATCCTACCGACTGGAAGCCAAGATCTGAGGCCCACAGGGAGGGGATGGTTTTGAGATTCACCCAGTTAGCCACCAAATAAAAAGCTGAAAGTGTGTCTGTGGCTAACATTAAGCCAGCGCACCAGCCTTGAGCAAAAAAAAAAAAAAAGCCGAAGGGGCATCACCTGAGCCCTGGGTTCAAGCCCCAGTACCAGCACAAGCTAGGGGCTGGTCTGGATCCCAACTCCATTGCCAAGGCAGATTGCTCACATGGGAAGAGGGAGGGACAGAGCCACTGCTGGGAGGGGAGAGGGGATTGGGCTGGAGACAGCCCTGGTCTGAATGCCTGCCCTGCAGTTAAGGGAGGAGAGTACCTGAGAGGCATGGTCCAAGCCACATCCGCAAGGAACTTGAAAGATGCTGGAAGCAGCGACCTGGTGCCTTGGCTCCTCAGTAAGATGGTGTAGGGGACCCCAGGTCCCTGCCCCCCAGGCCTGCACCAGGGTCTGAGCACAGCACTGGTACAAGGGTTGGGAGACAGGGCCATGAGGAGAAGGTGTGGGGTGCTGCTCTGGGATGCCGCACCCAGCGACACGGGCTCTGCCTTTTCACCAGCAGGCGAGGGCGGGGTTCCTGCCAAAGGAAGTGGGCCCGCATCAAAGCGGGCAGGAAGGGGCAGGGACAGGTCAGGGGGTGCCGCCCTGTGCATGGGGGGAGACACCCAGCAGGAAGACCTGACAGGGTACCGACTTAAGAGAGTGGGGATCATATTTGTAGGGAGGGCCAAAGAGCAGGTGCTTCCGTTTGGGGTGCGGCCCTGTGTTTACAACAACAGCCCTATTCCCCAATTTCCTCCCTGTGGTTGTTGGGGCGTCTCCTTGGCAGCCCGTTGTAGCAGGATCACTGGCCTCCACTCACTATTAGGCCTGGAGGATCGGTTGCAAAGACCTAGGAAAAGGACTCCATCACCTGCCCAGTGTAGGTGAGGTCCTCACCCTGCTTAGAGGACAGTCCTGAAGCTGGGCATCGGTGGCTCATGCTTGCAATCCTCGCAGACAACACCCGGGCCCTGAGTTCAAGCCTTAGGACGGGCACAGACACACACACACAGAAAGTGAAGCTGAGCTGGCTGCCAGTGGCTCACACCTGTCATCCTAACCACTCAAGTGGGCTGAGATCTGAGGATCGCAATTTGAAGCCAGACCAGGTGGGAAAGTTTGTGACCCTCATCTTCAATTAACCAAGCTCCAGGTAAGGCACTAGTGGCTCACTACTGGAATCCTAGCTACTCAGGAGGCTGAGATTTGAGGATCACCTTTCAAAGCCAGCCCAAGCAGAAAATTCTGTTAAGATGTATTTCCAGTTAGCCACCAAAAAACAAGAAGTGGAGCTGTTGGCTCAAAGTGGTAGAGGAAAAGCTCGGGATCAACACCCAGGCCCTGAATTCAAGCCCCAAGACTGGTATACACACAGATGCATGCACACACACACACACACAAAGCTACAGCACCAAAGTCTGTTCTCAGAGCTGATGATCTAGCCCAACGTTTCTGTGAACATTCACACTAGCCTGGCTGGTGGGAAGGGGCTGCCCAAGAAGCAGGGCTGATCTCTCTGCATCTCTCTGATCCACTGTATTTCTCTCACCCCACGGCCTTGACTCCCCAGCACCTGTCTAATGGGATCAGTAACTGCTCCCATTTCATAGATAAAAGAACTGAGGCTGAGAGAGGCTGACCCCGAACAAGTTCTATCAGGATGTGGTTGGCACTCAGGTGCCAACAGGGGGCACTGCTGTGAAGGTGCAGAGGAAGGGCAGATGTTCAGGAGGCGGCCCTGGGAACACAGCTGCCCCTGGGCCTCCACCTTCAGGTCAGGGCCCCTGCAGTTCCTGGGGTCCATGGGAAGGGACTGGCCCTTGGTGCAGTGCTCTGACCGAATTGCCTTGAAGTAGAAACAGAGGCTGAGCTTGTGTACTATGCACACAGCCCTGCCCTTCTCCTCCTCTTGGGGAGCCTGAGAGTGTGGCCAGTCAGCTGGGGTGGGGTCTTTCCTTCACGAATGGCCAACCCAGAGGCCACAGCTCCAAGCTCAGAGAGAAGGCAGGAAAAAGCTGGAAGTGGTTTTCTGTGGCCTGTGGTTCTGTGGAAGTGGTTCTGTGGAAGCTGGAAGTGGTTCTGTGGTAAAGCAATAGCCTTGATCAGGTGCAGGGACAGCGCCCAGGCCCTGAGTTCGAGTCTCAGGACAGGCATAGGCAAAGTGGGGACGAGAGACAAAAAAAAGATAAACATGAGCCAGCACTGGCTGCTCATGCCTGTAATCCTCGCTACTTGGGAGGCTGAGATCTGAGGATGGCCGTTTGAAGCCAGTTTGGACAGAAAAGTCCCTGAGATACTCTTTTCTCCAATTAACCACTCAAAAACTGGAAATGGCTCTGTGGCTCAAGTGATAGAGCACTAGCCTTTAGCACAAAGAGGCTCAGGGACAGTGCCCAAGTCCTGAGTTCAAGCCCCCAACCAACCAAAAACAAACAAACATGAAAATTTTAATCATATCATATGTTGTCAGAACCAAACCACTAATTCTGCCATTTCCAGAGACCAGGTCTCCTTCATTGACATAGGTTGCTGAGTCTGTCAAAGGCGTTCCTTTGGAAGATGTTTACTGAAGCATGTAGTCCAAGGGTGACTTGAACCAGATGATTTTCTTGAGATATTTACTTAGGATGTGCTTATCTGAAGCTCTAATCCTCCTTTCAGGGTTAAAAGATGGTCACCTGCTACAGCCTAAGAAATCAAAGGCTTCAAGTTCTCTGTATGTGTGTGTGTGCTCACGCACATGTGCACAAGTATGCACACACACACACCCCAGTCCTGGGACTTGAGCTTGGGGCCTGAGTGGGTCACTTAATTTTTCCCTCAAGGCTGGTACTCCACCACTTTAACCACAGCTCCACTTCTGACTTTTTAATTAGAGTCTCACAGCATTTCCTGCCTGGGCTGTCTTCAAACCATGATCCTCAGATCTCAGCCTCCTGAGTAGCTAGGGTTACAGGTGTGAGTCACCCAAACCTGGCTTCACTTCTGGCTTTTTTTTTTTTTTTGTAGTTTAGTGAAGGTAAGAGTCTCATGGAAACTGTGCTCATGTGGCGCATGCCCTGTAATCCTTGCTATCCAGGAAGTTGAGTTCTAAGACAGAATGTAGCTCTGAGCTGGGCAGGAAAATCCTTGAGACTTTTATCTCTAATTAGCCACCAGAAAACCAGAAGTAGAGGAAGTGGCGCTGTGGCTTAAAGTGGTAGAGCACTAGCTTTAAACAAAAGAGCCCAGAAACAGTGCCCAGGCTAAGTTGAAGCCCCAGGAATGGAAGATAGAGAGAGAGAGAGAGAGAAGAATCTCACAAGCTTTCCTGCCCAGGCTGGCTTTGATCCTCTGATCTCAGCTTTAGGAATAGCTGGGCTGATAGGCAGGCACCCCTCCTACCAGCCCTTTCTGATCTTAAAGGGGTGGTAGAGATATAAAACTCCCATCTCCAGCAGCTAGTTCTTCTATTTTAACCAAATCTCATTTGAGTCCAAGGATGAGTTTTGCAGATGTTTTTCTTGAGGTATTTGCTCAGAGTGTACTAATCTAGAGTTCCAGGCAAATCATTAGTGCAAGGTTAAGAACGTGACCACTTGTTACAGCCTAAGAGGGGGGTCAGGACTCTGAGTTTCCTATTAGTACAGCCTGGCTCTTCTTTCTATGACTCAACGTCCCTAATCCAGCCCATCTCAGGCTCTGATATCTGGAGGAGATATATGGACATAGGTAAGCCACGACATCAGGACCTGGGGCCCTGGGGAAACCTTGGGTACTGGGTGCTGGTGGGAGCTCTGTAAGTTTGCGGGGGCTTAAGCCAAAGAGAAAGCTCTTAAAGGTCTTCTTTTTCCCCCCATCATGGTTGGTGCTTTACCACTTGAGCCACATTTCGACTTCCAGCTTTTTGCTGGTCAAAGCTAAGAGTCTCTGGAGTTTGTCTTCCCTGGCTAACACTGGTTCTCACATCTCAGCTTCCAGAGTAGCAAGGATTATAGGCATGAGCCAATCGTACCCAGTTTGAGTTCTTGATCTTTCTGCCCCAGCCTCTTGAGAGCTGGGACTGTAAGTGTGTGCTTCTGTAGTGTGGGGCACAGGGTGTCTGAAGTGACAGTAGACCCAGCTGGCAGCTCCTCAAGCTGTTTGTAATGGAGACCCATCAGTCTCCACCTACCCAGGACCATCGACGTGGCTGCCTGTCTCTGTCTAGCTAGCATTTTATCCTTGGCTTGTCTTCCTGTCTATCTAGCATTTTGTCCTTGACTTGTCTTTCTACCTTTCCTGGGAAGGTTCTGGAGAGGGAAGGTCTGGTGGGAGAAGAGGGTCTGGTGGGAGGGGGGCAGACAAGGAAGGAAGTAGAGGAAGCCGTGCCACAGCAGTGACCAGGATCATGGAGGGAGATGCGATAAATGATGATGGGTGGATGGCAGTGCGGGCTTCCCAGCTGCTTGCTGTGCACCTCAGGCCTGCTAAGGAAGGCTTGGGTGATTAGAACCAGAACCAGGACCAGGGAACAGACATCTGGTGAGGAGGGCTGGGTCTGAACCCTGGGTCTGAGGGAGGAGGCTGGGCCCTGGACCCTCAGGTCTGAGGGAGAAGGCTGGGGCTTCCAATTGTGTTCGAGCACCACATGCCAGTGGCTCACGCCTGTAATCCTAGCTACTCAGGAGGCTGAGATCTGAGGATCGCAGTTCAAAGCCAGCCCAGGCAGGAAAGTCCGTGAGACTCTTATCTCCAATAAACCACTAGAAAACCAGAAGTGGTACTGTAGCTCAAGCGGTAGAGCACTTGTCTTGAGCTGAAGAGTGCAGGGGACAGCCCCTAAGCCCAGAGTTCAAGCCCCACAACCCACAAAAAAAAAAAAAAAAAACTGATTGTGTTGGAGCTGGTCCAGACAACAGGGCTCTGGGGCATTTCACAGGGCAATAGGCTTCCTAGCAGGAACACCTACTAAGTGTTGTTTAGAAACTCAAGGGATAGTGTGTGTATGTGGCATGTGTGTGTGTGTGTGTGTGTGTGTGTGTGTGTGTAATTGTGCTGGGAGTTGAACCCAGTACATGTGTATGTGAGTACCACTGAGCCCTTTTCCCCAGCCCCCATGTTCTGGGGTGTCTTTTTTGTATTCGGTTCTGGGGTTTGGACTCAGGAGCTGCGGTTGGCTAGGCAGGGCGTCTTTGGTGCCACCCAGGGCTGGGGACAGGGCCATAGCTCCCAGCTCTGTCAGCTGGCATCAATCCAGTGCCTCTGAGGATGGCAGAGTGCTCCCCAGAGCTTCCCCGAGTCCGGGGTGCCCCCCACCCCCGCAAGAACCTGCCCCAGTGGGTCCCCTCCTCGGCTCCAGCCGCCCTGCCGGTGGCTGTCACTTTGCACATACAATCTGGGCAGCAAGAGAAAGACAAAGAAGCAAACAAAACAGTTTTCCAGAGGGGCGGCCTGGGCCTCAGGCTGGGGTGAGTCCTGCAGCTGGGGGGCGGGGTTGGTGTTCTTGGAGTTGGTGTGCAGTGTCCAGACAGGATGTGAGAGAGGAACTGGGGTCCCCAGTCACGGGAACTGGCCAGGGCTGCAGGCGCAGGGGACAAGGCGGCGGTGAGCCAGAGGGGGCCCTGGGCCTGGAGGGATGGGGTCTGGACCCCTGGGTCTGAGGGAGGAGGCTGGGTCTGGACCCCTGGGTCTGAGGGAGGAGGCTGGGTCTGGACCCCTGGGTCTGAAGGAGGAGGTCGGGGCTGCACAGCTGGGAGAGGGGGGTGTAGATGGGTGGAGAGCTGAGAGCTGAATATTAGATTTACCAATTTCTGTAATTAATTAACCCAACTGGATCAAATTAGGGGGTGAAAGTTCATGGAGAAGAAAGGCGTTGTTGTCATTTTAGAGTGGGCCCCCAAAGCCGACCCCCGAGTGAGGGGGGGGGTCTGGGTGTTGACAGCCCCGCCTGGAGGAAGGGGCGGGCCGGGGTCCGGAAGTCTCACGTGCCCCTCCCCCCCCAGGGTGCCCTCTCAGCATGGAGGTGCCCTGGCCCCAGCCCTGGGCACTGGGTCTCCTGCTTGTCCTCCTGAATCGGAGCTGGGGTGCAGGTGAGGGGCCAGGGGGCCTGCGGAGCTGAGGGCGTGGGGAAGGGGGAGAGGGGGCGAGAGGGGGGGAGGGCAGGGGCCTCAGAAGCCGCCAATGTCACCATTTTCTCTCGGTGGCCACCCCAGCCCGAGCTGCCCTGCCTGGGGCCTTGCGATCTTGCCCTCCCTCTCTCTGTCTCTGTCTGTCTGTCTGTCTCTGATCTGTCTCCCTCTGTGTCTCTCTCTTTCTCTCTCTGACTCTCTGCCCATTCTCCAGGTCTCTGTCCCTCTCTTTGTGGGTGTCTGTCCCCTTCTTTCTGGGATCTTCTTCCCCTCTCTCTTGGTTTCTGAGAGAGAAAGAGCTGTTTGGATCTTAGTCTCAGTCAGTTTCCCCCCACACACACTTTCTTTCCCTCCTTCCCTCTCTGTCTCTGTCTCTGTCTCTCCCTACGTCTCTGTCTGTCTCTGTCTGTCTGTCTGTCTTTCTGTCTGTCTGTCTGTCTCTCTCTCTCTCTCTCTCTCTCTCTCTCGCCTTTTGTTCTTCCCTGGGTCTCTGTTCCTCCTTCTGGGTCTTCATTCTCTTTCCTGGTCTCTGTCCCCCTGTCTTGCTGTCTGTCTGTCTCTCTGGTCTCTGTTTATCTGCCCCTGACTGCAGTCTCATGTGTGTATAGTGCCCTCGGGCTGAGAGTGTAGGTCCCCCCACCCCACCAGTTTGTTTCCCTCCACAGAGCCCCAGCTCTCCCTCCTCTACCACCTCACCGCCGTGACCAACCCTGCCCCCGGCACCCCTGCCTTCTGGGCCTCCGGTTGGCTGGGTCCACAACAATACTTGAGCTACAGCAGCCTGCGGCCATGGGCTGAGCCCTGCGGGGCGTGGGTCTGGGAGAGCCAGGTGCCCTGGTACTGGGAGAAAGAAACCACAGACCTGAAGAGCAAGGAGAAGCTATTTAAAGACGCCATTCAAGCCCTGGGGAAAGGTGGGCCTGAGTGCCAGGGTCCAAGGGAGGAAGAGGGAGAAGGCTTGGGTCTAAGGGAGGAGGCTGGGGTCTGGATCACTATGTCTGAAGGAGGCTGGGGTCTAGACCGCTGAGTCTGAGGGTGGAGGCTGGGGTCTGGATCCCTGGGTCTGAGGGAGGAGGCTGGGTCTGGACCCCTGGGTCTGAGGGAGGAGCCTGGGTCTGGACCCCTGGGTCTGAGGGAGGAGGCTGGGTCTGGACCCCTGGGTCTGAGGGAGGAGGCTGGGTCTGAGGGAGGAAGCTGGGGTCTGGATCACTACATCTGAGGGAGGAGGCTAGGGTCTACACCGCTGAGTCTGAAGGAGGAGGCTGGGGTCTGGACCCCTGGGTCTGAGGGAGGAGGCTGGGGTCTGGATCCTGAGTGCCAGGGTCCAAGGGAGGAAGAGGGAGAAGGCTTGGATCTAAGAGAGGAGGCTGGGGTCTGGATCACTATGTCTGAAAGAGGAGACTGGGGTCTAAACCGCTGAGTCTGAGGGTGGAGGCTGGGGTCTGGATCACTACATCTGAGGGAGGAGGCTGGGGTCTAGACCGCTGAGTCTGAGGGAGGAGGCTGGGGTCTGGACCCCTGGGTCTGAGGGAGGAGGCTGGGGTCTGGATCCCTGGGTCTGAGGGAGGAGATGCAGTCCCTGTGCTCCTGGGCTCTGCTCACCTCCTGTGGCACTCCAGATCCGCAAGTCCTGCAAGGGCTGCTGGGTTGTGAACTTGCCCCTGACAACTCGTCGGTGCCCACGGCCATCTTCGCGCTGAATGGTGAGGAGTTCATGAGGTTCAACCCCAGGATGAGCAACTGGACGGGGAACTGGCCCGAGACCCTGACCATTGGTCAGCTGTGGATGAAGCAGGCGGACACGGTGTGGAAGGAGAGGGACTTCTTGCTCTCCTCCTGCCCTCAGCGACTGCTGGGACACCTGGAGCGGGGGCGCGGAAACCTGGAGTGGAAGGGTGAGCCTCGGGCTGGCCCGGCCCCTCCATCTTCTTCATCTCTGGGGCCCTCCAGCCCCCTCCTTTTCCCTCCACCCCCCAAGCCCTTCTCCTGGGGAGGGGTGAACCTCACTCCCCCATTGGGGCGGGTGGAGTCTAGGCTTTTGGGAGAGTTTTTTTTTCTTCTTTCAATTTTTTTTTTGGGGGGGCCAGTCCTGGGGCTTGAACTCAGGACTTGAGCACTGTCCTTGAACTTCTTCAGCTCAAGGCAAGCAGTCTACCACGTGAGCCACAGCGCCACTTCCAGTTTTCTGGTGGTACATTGGAGATCAGAATCTCATGGACTTTCCCTACTGGGGCTGGCTTTGAACCGTGATCCTCAGATCTCAGCCTCCTGAGTAGCTAGGACAACAGGCGTGAGCCACCGATAGCCAGCTGCCATGCCTAGTTTGAATATAGTTCCTTGTAATGTGTTTGGTTTGACCAGATATATTTTCTTTTCTTTTTTTTTTTTTTTGGGTCCGGTCGTGGGGCTTGAACTCTGGGCCTGGGCGCTGTCCCTCAGCTCTTCAGCTCAAGGCTAGCGCTCTACCACTTGAGCCACAGCGCCACTTCCGGCTTTTTTCTTTTTGCTTATGTGGTGCTGAGGAATCGAACCCAGGGCCTCAGGCATGCAAGGCAAGCGCTCTACCACTGAGCCACCTTCCCAGCCCCTGACCAGATATATTTTCTGCACTTGGATTTATCCCAGGCTCTAACACTATCCCTCCAGAGGCAGAGGGACATGGCTTTGAGAGTGGCCCCCAGGACTACAGTCTTGCTGGCAACAGTTCCAGGCAGACATTGGGACCTGGAACTGCTGACAGCGGAGGCGCGGCCTCTTCCAGTTGACCTGACTTAGCAGCAAATTTTGCCAACTCGTCAGTGCAAGACTTTGAAGGAAAGCTGTTTGCTTTCCAGCTTTCCAAGACAGCACTTAGCCTTTTTTTGCTGAGCACTTACAAGAACCCCAAAAGAAGCTGGGCGCTGGTGGCTCAGGCCTGTAATCCTAGCTACTCAGGAGGCTGAGATCTGAGGATCAAGGTTCAAAGCCAACCCAGGCAGGAAAGACTATGAGACTCTTATCTCCAATAAACCACCAGAAAACCAGAAATGGCACTGTGGCTCAAGTGGTAGAGCGCTAGCCTTGAGCTGAAGAGCTGAGGGACAGCGCACAGGCCCAGAGTTCAAGCCCCACGACCAACCAAAAAAAGAAAAAAAAAAGAACCCCAAAAGACACCATTGCAAGACCCACTCTTGGTGAAGGAGACCTCCTTGGCAGGCACCCTGATCCCCTTATGTGTTGACTTTTGAAATTTTTATTTATTTATTTTTAGAGATCTGGTCTTGCTATATAGCCCACCCTGGCCCTGAGTTTGAATTCATGATCCTCCTGCCTCAGCCTCTATATTTATTTTATTTTATTTTTTGCCAGTCGTGGGTCTGAACTCAGCCTGGGCGCTGTCCCTCAGCTCTTCAGCTCAAAGCTAGAACTCCACCACTGGCGCCACAGCACCACTTCTAGCTTTTTCTGCTTATGTGGTACTGAGGAATTGAACCCAGGGCCTCATGCATGCTAGACAAGCATTCTACCCTTGAGCCACCTTCCCAGCCCGCATTCTACTTTATATAAATTTCCAGATTCTATCTGCTAAGATTATATTTAAGAATTTTTACTCCATTTATAGGAAATACACTAGCCTTAAATTATCTTGAGTGTCTCTGTGTAATTGTGTTATCAAAACTTTGCTCTAGCCGGGTGCCAGTGGCTCACACCTGTAATCCTAGCTACTCAGGAGGCTGAGATCTGAGGATCAAGGTTCAAAGCCAGCCAGGCAGGAAAGTCTGTGAGACTCTTATCTCCAATAAACCACTAGAAAACCAAAAGTGGTGCTGTGGCTCAAGTAGTAGAGCACTCGCCTTAAGCTGAAGAGCACAGGGACAGCGCCCAGGCCCAGAATTAAAGCCCCATGACTGACCAAAAAAAAAAATATGTTTGGAGAGTGGAGTATAGTATAGTTACTTGCCTGGATTCTATCCTAAGTCTACAAAAAAAAACAACAACTACAGATAGATAGATAGATAGATAGATAGACATATATGATATGTACATACATATTTACATGCATATTTGTGTATATATATAAATAAATATATAGGCATATGGTAGGAAATTGTTTTCCTTCCATCTCCTGGAAGAGTTTTTTTTTTTGGGTCCGGTTGTGAGGCCTGAACTCTGGGCCTGGGCACTGTCCCTCAGCTCTTCAGCTCAAGGCTAGCACTCTACCACTGGAGCCACAGCGCCACTTCCGGCTTTTTTCTTTTTGCTTATGTGGTGCTGAGGTATCGAACCCAGGGCCTCAGGCATGCAAGGCAAGCACTCTAACCACTGAGCCACCTTCCCAGCCCAAGAGTTTTTTTTTTTGGTGGGGAGAGGGGTCCAGTCGTGGGGTCTGAACTCTGGGCCTGGGCGCTGTCCCTCAGCTCTTCAGCTCAAGGCTAGCGCTCTACCACTTGAGCCACAGCACCACTTCTGGCTTTTTTTCTTTTTGCTTGTGTGATGCTGAGGAATCGAACCCAGGACCTCATGCATGCAAGGCAAGCGCTCTACCACTGAGCCACCTTCCCAGCCCATCTTGGAAGAGTTTAAGTAGTGTTATTTCTTCTTTAGTTGCTTTGATTTTTTTTTTTTTTTTTTTGGTCCGTCATGGGGCTTGAACTCTGGGCTTGGGCGTTGTCCCTGCGCTCTTCAGCTCAAGGCGAGCATTCTACCGCTTGAGCCACAGCACCACTTCTGGTTTTCTAGTGGTTTATTGGAGATAAGAGTCTTGTGGAGGGGCTGGGAAGGTGGCTCAGTGGTAGAGTGCTTGCCTTGCATGCATGAGGCCCTGGGTTCGATTCCTCAGTACCACATAAGCAAAAAAGAAAAAAGCCAGAAGTGGCGCTGTGGCTCAAGTGGTAGAGTGCTAGCCTTGAGCTGAAGAGCTGAGGGACAGCATACAGGCCCAGAGTTCAGGCTCCACCACCGGACCCAAAAAAAAAAGAAAAAGAAAAAGAGTCTTGTGGACTTTCCTGCCTGGGCTAGCTTTGAACCTTGATCCTCAGATCTCAGCTTCCTGAGTAGCTAGGATTACAGGTGTGAGCCACCGGCGCCCGGCAGCTATCCTTTTCTTGACTGTAGAGTATGCCTTGTGTTTGTGCACATGAGTTCATTATCTCTCCTTGGGGACAGCGGATCTCAAGCTTTTGGTGGGTGATAGGCACTCAGGGCATTTCCACAGGACTCAGGAGTGGAGGAAAAGATGCCCGACCCCCACTGCCACGATGTCTTCCTGTCACTACTCTGTAGGCCTGGGGGGTGGGGTGGGGTGCTCCTGGCCTGGCTCTGAGGATCATGGCTGGGGCTCATCTGTGCCTGTTCCCCCTCCCAGAGCCCCCCTCCATGCGCCTGAGGGCTCGGCCCAGCAGCCCCGGCTTCTCCGTGATCACCTGCAGTGCCTTCTCCTTCTATCCGCCCGAGCTGCAGCTGCGATTCCTGCGGAACGGGATGGCAGCTGGCACGGGCAACGCCAGCGGCTTCGGCCCCAATGGGGACGGCTCCTTCCATGCCTGGTCCTCACTCATTGTCAAGAGCGGTGATGAGCACCACTACCGCTGCCTGGTGCAGCACAAGGGACTGGCGAAGCCCTTCTTTGTTGAGCTGGGTGAGGATCCTTGAGAGTGCCTGGGCCCTAGGCTGCAGCCCAGCTTCCTGAGCCTCCGCCTCCTCCCCCATCTGACTGTCTTATGCCTCCTAATGCCAATGCTCCCGAGTCTGACTGCCTTCCATCCTGCTGCTCCTGGACTCGTGGACTCTGACCGCCTGGGCACCGCTGCAGCCAGTCCTCCTGGGTCTGACCACCTTCCATCCTGCTGCTGCTGCTCATCTTCAGGCTGAGCATCTCCTGCCTTGCTACTGTGCAACTGACCACTGTCCCTCTCGTCCACGCTGGGATAACCGCATGCTCTGTTGCTCTGGCTGGTTCTGACAGCCAAGCTGGGGAGATTCTGTCCACACCTAGGACGTCACCTGACTGACCTTTTCTGTGCCAATATCCGTGGGACTCTTGGTGCTGCAGGATTTCTGAGATTGGGAGGGACCGGGATGCCCCCCCCCCACTCCCCTGTCCTCACAGCACTGTCTGGCTGCAGAGTCACCAGCCAAGTCCTCAGTCCCAGTAGCTGGAATTGTCCTTGGCTTCTTGGTGTTTGTGGCGGCGGCAGGTGCAGGAGGAGCTCTGCTGTGGTGGAGGATGAGAAGAGGGTTGTCAGGTGAGTGGTGCCGAGAGGAGGGAGAGACTCAGAGGATAACCACTCTGGGAATGGCTGGGAATATGGCTCAGTGGTAAAGTGCTTGCCTAGCATGCATGAAACCCTGGGTTCGATTCCTCAGTATCACATACACAGAAAAAGACAGAAGTGGAACTGTGGCTCAAGTTGTAGAGTGCTAGCCTTAAGCACAGAGAGGCTCAAGGTCAGTGCCCAGGCCCAGAGTTCAAGCTCTAAGACTGACAAAAACAAAACCCTGAAGCTGGGTGCTGGTGGCTCATGCCTGTAATCCTAGCTACTCAGGAGGCTGAGATCTGAGGATCACAGTTCAAAGCCAGCTCGGGCAGGAAAGTCCGTGAAACTCTTATCTCCAATAAACCACTAGAAAACTGGGAGTGGCGCTGTGGCTCAAGCAGTAGAGTACTTCCCTTGAGCTGAATTGCTGAAGGACAGCACCCACGCTCAGAGTTCAAACTTCATGACCAACAAAACAACAACAACAATAAAAAACCTGGGAAGTGGGCCAGATGGGGTACATATTGACCTGGAAGAATAGAAACTTAGAGAAACCCAGAGGTGGGGACCAAATTGAGGAGAGAGGAAGACAGACATCTGGGGGTGAGGAGAGAAAGAGGGTGAAACTAAGATAGACATGACAATCAGAGACACACAGACTCAGAGATGTCAATACTGGAGCTTGAACTGAAGATCCTAAGCTATTTCACTCAAGGCTGGAGCTCTTCCCATTTCAGCCAAGGCCCCTTTTCTTTTTCTTTCTTTCTTTTTCTTTTTTCTTTTTTTGTCGGTCGGTCATGGGGCTTGAACTCTGGGCCTGGGCACTGTCCCTCAGCTCTTCAGCTCAAGGCTAGCGCTCTACCACTTGAGCCACAGCGCCACTTCTGGCTTTTATTTCTTTTTGCTTATGTGGTGCTGAGGAATCGAACCCAGGGCCTCATGCATGCAAGGCAAGCGCTCTACCACTAAGCCACCTTCCCAGCCCAAATTTATGACATTCTTTTTTTCTTGGTCAGTTTTGGGTCTTGAATTCTGGGCCCAGGTGCTGTCCCTATGCTCTTCAGTTCAAGGCTATCGCTATCAAGCCACTTCCGGCTTTTACTGGTTTATGTGGTGCTGAGGAATCAAACCCAGGGGCTCATGCATGCAAGGCAAGCACTCTACCACTGAACCACCTTCCCTCAGGGACTTTCTTGCCCAGGTTGGCTTTGAACTACAATCCTCAGATCTCAGCCTCCTGAGTGGCTAGGATGACAGGCATAAGTACTGTCTGCTGGCTTCTCAGCAATTCTTTTTTTTTTTTTTTTTGTCGGTCATGGGGCTTGAACTCTGGGCCTGGACACTGTCCCTCAGCTCTTCAGCTCAAGGCAAGCGCTCTACCACTTGAGCTACAGCGCCACTTCCGGTTTTCTGGTGGTTTATTGGAGATAAGAGTCTCACGGTCTCTCCTGCCCGGGCTGGCTTTGACCCGCGATCCTCAAATCTCAGCCTCCTGAGTAGCTAGGATTACAGGCGTGAGCCACCAGCGCCCGGCTTTCTCAGCAATTCTGACTACACCGTTTCCTCTCTCCTCAGCCCCTTGGATTTCCCTCCGTGGAGATGACGATGACAGCCTTCTGTCCACTCCCAGCCTGCCACAGGATGCTGACCCTCAGGACATAAATGTATCAGCCTGACTGTCCCCCACTCTGGCTGCGACAAATTAGTATAATCTCATCCCGTTCATGCTGTGAGACCCAATCCTGGCATCTCTGAGCCTCCAGAGGAGTCCTGGGCCCAATGTCCTCTCTCTGGACCCCTCCTTTTGTGGCCTGCCTCAGTTTCCCCTCCTAATGTATATGGCACTTTTCCATGTCCACATATAACATGAGTTTGGGCCCAAATCTGTGTGTTCTCAATCATTTGTAGGTTTCAAGGTGGGGAGGTAAGGGAGGGATGGTGGGGGGAAAGGAATACTGTCAGCTCTTCTGAGGACCTTTTTGAATAGAAATGAGAGGTGTGTCTTTTTCCTTTCTGAAAAATTTACACAATCCCTACCTATCACAGTGCCAGGCTAGAGTCTGACGCGAATCTTTTCTTGGTGAGGCAGAAGTGGAAAGTTGTTCCTTTTTGGAGAAATGCCACTCTTGCCCTTCCTCTTCGTTTTTAAATCACGACGGAAAGAAAGGGACTGAAATACATTTCCCATGAGCCTTGGGGGCTAGAACTACTGGGAATGGCAGCGCAGGGGTTCCAGGGCATGCTGGGAGTTGTAGTCCTCCCCTGGCGGGGCGTCCCTCCAGTATCACCCGCTCGGCTGCTCGCTCTTACTCCCTTGGCTTCCCGTTGTGGACGTGGCGAGGGGCGCCTGAGTCACGCCCCATGCGCTTTGGCCACGCCCCCGGAGGCATCTTGCGTGTTTATTGGCTAGGGGGCGGGGCCTAGCTGGACAGTGGCCAAGTTTGTCTTTGGAAGAGCATCCTGCAGAGTGGGAGCAGAGCGTGGCTGGCGAGCAGAGCAAGGACGGATCACGGGGTAAGGGGGTGCGCGTGGGGGTGCCGGCCGGGGAGGGCGGCTCCAGGCCGCGATCCTCGCCAGGGAGCCTGCCATACCTCCCGCAGGCCACCGCCAGGCCCTGCTCTTTTGAGTGGGATATCTGCCACGTCTCCTTCTAGGTTCCCCCCTCTCCACCCCATGGCAGCTCTGAGACACTCCCCCCCCCCCACAAGAAGATCTGGGCCCCACAGTTGGACCTCCGTCCTCCCTTCCCCCAGAGTGTCCCCCCCCTTCAGGCCCCCCACCGCCCTTCTGGAGCTCAACACTTTGAAGCTTAAAACTTTTCGCCCGCCAATTCCTCTTTTGCCTCTTTCTCTCCATCTTGTCCTAAGTACACCCCCCCCCCCCCCCGCGCGGAGTTCTATTTCTAGCTTCTTCCCTGCGACCCCTGACCTCTGGCTTTAACTCCCCAGGGACAGATGATGCGGGGCTTATCCTTTGTGTTGCTGCTGTTGCTGCTGAGACCCGGGGCCCAGGCGAAGCCATCGCCCGATGCTGGCCCTCATGGCCAGGGGAGGGTACACCAGGAGACCCCCCTGAGCGAGGCTCCCCACGACGACGCCCACGGGAACTTCCAGTACGACCACGAGGCTTTCCTGGGACGGGAAGTGGCCAAGGAATTCGACCAGCTCAGCCCGGAGGAAAGCCAGGCCCGGCTAGGGTAGGAGAGCCAAAATTGGGGGCGCGGAATTCAGAGGGGGAATTTGAGGTCGTTATGAGGGGTCTGGGCTAGGAAGGGGAGAGAGTATGGGCTAAGTCCAAGTGCAAAGTTCCACTTCCTCTCCTGGGGAAAAATACAAGCTAAAACTGGGGTCTCAAGATGCATTTTTTTCGTTTGCAGTACTGGGGTTTGAATTCAGGTCATTGCTTGCTTCAGATGGGCAGGTGCTCTACCGTTTGAGCCATGCCCCCAGTCCTCTTTAGCTTCTTTTTCAGATAGGGGCCTCATGACTTTGCCTCTGGCCAGCGTCTCACCTCAATCCTCCTACTTCTGTCTCCCTGGTAGCTGGGATTCCAGGCTTTTACCACCACACTCACCCCAAATATGACATTTGAGGGCAGCAACATCTGTTTCAGATTCTACTGCCAAGCTACTCTTCCTTCTTTTATACCAGAAACCTTCACTCCTCAGTTGGCTGCTCTATAAAATGGGTCACATACCACCACTTCTCCTCGGTTGGGACTGATGACCTTAAGCTCAGACCTTATTTTACTCATCAACCCCTGCCAAGGAGATTCTGCACAGCCAGCCTGGTCTGATGGAGGTGGAGAGCCAGGGAGGTTTTGTTAGCCTCTTTTTTTTTTTTTTGGTTGGTGTGGGGTTTGAACTCTGGGCCTGGGCGTTGCCCTTCAGCTCTTCAGCTCAAGGCTAGCGCTCTACCACTTGAGCCACAGCACCACTTCTGGTTTTCTGGTGGTTCATTGGAGATAAGAGTCTCACAGAATTTCCTACTTGAGCTGGCTTTGAACCACGATTCTCAGATCTCAGCCTCCTGAGTAGCTAGGATTACAGGTGTGAGCCACGGACAGCTAAGCCAGAGAGGTCATGATAGTCGGGGATTCAACCCTGGAGAGCGGGCCCTGGGGACAGGGATGATGACAGCAGAGACAGTATCAGGAGGTCTCTGTTAGGGGTTGGTTGGCAATCAGGACCATGGAGGAGGGACGGGAAAGGCTCTGGGGCCATGGAAGAGCTTAAGATGCCACTTGACATGGGAGGTGGGCAGGTGAGGGGGGGACTGATGGTGGGTGATAGGGTTCTAGAACGTCAAGATACAGGAATATGGGGGTTGTGAGGGCTGATAAGGCAAGGGATGAAGCTTCAGAGTCAGTTGGGACCCTGCGTGCAAGGTGTAGGCCTGGGGGGCGTGGTCGTGACTGGGCGTGGCCATACAGGGCGCGGTTGGGTGTGGGGGCGTGGCTTCTCTGTCTCCCTTGGGAGGGGTCAGGGTCTGGGGGAGGAGTCTATGCAGAGGGGCGTGGCTATCCATGGGTGTGGCCTCCCTTGGTTTACTTGCCAGTCTGCCCTATCTAGGGGGCGTGTCTGCTCTGGGCGGGGCCGGGCGTGGGCGGGGCCTTGACTGACAGGTGCCCCGCCCGGGCTGGCAGGCGGATCGTGGACCGCATGGACCGAGCCGGGGATGGGGACGGCTGGGTGTCGCTGGCCGAGCTTCGTGCGTGGATCGCGCACACGCAGCAGCGGCACATCCGGGACTCGGTGAGCGCGGCCTGGGACACGTACGACACCGACCACGACGGGCGCGTGGGTTGGGAGGAGCTGCGCAACGCCACCTATGGCCACTACGCGCCCGGTACGCGGGGACCCAGCCTGCCCCAACCCCCGTCTGGGGACCCTGGCCCCTGCACCCCAGAATCCCTGCCTCTGCAGCCCCCCTCCCCCCACACTCTGAAAACACCTGTTCCTGATGCTCTTCATTTAGGGTTACAACCTCTATGACCCTCCCCCCCCCCCCCCCCCCCCCCCCCCGCTGGGGACGCCTGGCTTGATGCCCTGTCATCTGACCCCTGACCTCTGAACTCTTATCCCTCATTTTACCTGTCCCAGATTCCTTCCTTTTTTTCCCCTTTTGGTTTTCCCCCCTCTTTTGTTTGTGTTTTGTTTTTGAGATGGAGCCTTGATGACTTTATCCACGCTTTTACCTCAGCCTTCTGAGTAGCTGGCATTACAGGTGTGCACCACCGTGCCCAGCTAATTCTTACACCTTCTGGAAGTCTCACTGCCCCCCAAGTTGGTTCCTCCTGTCTTTTCTATTCAGCTTGGTCTTTCCCCCTTGACGTGTGGCTCACCCACATCTATCCCCCGCCCCCTTCCTCAGGGGAAGAATTCCACGACGTGGAGGATGCAGAGACCTACAAGAAGATGCTGGCTCGGGATGAGCGGCGTTTCCGAGTGGCCGACCAGGACGGGGACTCCATGGCCACTCGGGAGGAGCTCACGGCCTTCTTGCACCCCGAGGAGTTTCCTCACATGCGGGACATCGTGATTGCTGTGAGTGAGGGTGGAGGTCCCCAACCCTGCTCCAAGCACTTCCCCCCCACAACTCAAGCTTCCCATCCCTGCTCCCCTGGCCCTGCTTCTCAGCATTTACCTATGAGTCACTTCCCATTCAGCATCTTCCATGGGGAGCCCAGACCACAAAACACACATCAGGGAGGGGCCCATGTCCTTTGTCCATCCCGTGAATCCATCGCTCCCCTCTGCGATCTAATCTTGTCACTTGTATATAATATGTCCCCAGAAGAGCCTCAGACACCCCAATCCTGGCTGAGCCTCAAGAAATCCCCAGTCCTGAATTCTGAGACAGCTCCTACTGGACTTCTCTTCAAGATTCATGTGTAATATTTACCAGAATCTGCTCTATTCTATAGCGAAAGGATTTTTCTTTTGCAAACAGACGTTTCTTACCAGGCATAGTAGTGGTGCAAGCCTGTAATCCCAGCACTGGGGACGCCCTGGCAGGGGGTGACCTTGAATTTGAATCTGTGCCTTCCTTGGGTATCTCGGATCTGTGCATTCATGAACACTGGGGTCTGCTCACTCCCCCCCCTCGTGTGTGGTGTCACCCCCCAGACATCACCCACCTGCCCCCACATCCACCCCCCCCAGACTTGTACCCTCCTCCCCAAGCACAGTGCCTCTGTCTCCCCAGGAGACCCTGGAGGACCTGGACAAGAACAAAGATGGCTACGTCCAGGTGGAGGAATACATCGGTGAGTGGGCCTCCGCGGGCCGGGGACGGATGGCCAGCAGGTGTGACGGGTGCCAGGCTGGAGCCTGGTCCTCATGGCCCTGTCCGCTCTGTCCCCACCCCAGCCGATCTGTACTCAGAGGAGCCAGGCGAGGCCGAGCCGGCCTGGGTGGAGACGGAGCGGCAGCAGTTCCGTGACTTCCGGGACCTCAACAAGGATGGGCGGCTGGACGGCAGTGAGGTGGGGCATTGGGTGTTGCCGCCCTCGCAGGACCAGCCGCTCGTGGAGGCCAACCACCTGCTCCACGAGAGCGACGCTGACAAGGTGCCCAGGGTGGAGGGGAGACAGATAGAAGGGGAGACAGGAACCCAGGTGAGGGACGGAGACTCAGACGGGGGGGGGGGGGGGGGGGGGGGGGGGGGGGGACACAGACCTAGAAATCGAGGTGGATAGACCTCTAGTTGGGGGGACAGGCCCAGACGGGGTGGGGGAACAGGAAGTTGGGGCGCAGAGGCCGCATGCACATTTTCCCCCCTGCCTTGTGTGTCCAGGATGGACGCCTGAGCAAGGCAGAGATCCTGGGGAACTGGAACATGTTCGTGGGCAGCCAGGCCACCAACTACGGCGAGGATCTGAC